AGAGAACGAGCGGTTCCGGTCGCCCAAATCCATCAACGATTTGGCGAAGTGTCAGAGGCACTAGCCTGTACTAAGAATACAGAGCCCAAAGAGGCAACCGAACATGTCGACTTCGAAACATTTTGGATGGGTCCCTCGGTCGGACATACAGTATGTGCGACTGGACGTAGGCCCCACTCACTGTACTGTCTTGCGCACCGCGTCAGATCCCATCTACAGTACAAATCTGTCACGATGGCCCGCTCATGCTAGTCTGAGACGCTGCCCGCCTGGAAGGCTGAACTAGCTGTCCAGCACTCTACTCTAGCCGAACAGCTAATCTCCTCGCCAGATGCATTGTGGGAAGACCCAGGAAGGGAGGCGGCGGCATATTGCGGCGCACCGGAAGTCAAATGTCTCCGAAACCATTGGACAAAGCCTCAGTGAAACGAACAAAGCACGACAGATTAGGCATTTGCGACCGCTCGGCTTAGTGATGATGACTTCGTGTTGAGCATTCGAAGAGGTTAGCTCAAGCAGGAAAGAATGAGCCTTTGTTTCACCACCAATGCAAGGCGAGGACATTCCCATGCGAACAGTGCCCACAAGACGCAGGGTGCTCCAGACAGATGCCACATTCACCTTCGGCGCTTTCCCATGAAGACATCGCAGAGATGCAAACACGTATTCGAGACTGGTGAGGCTCTGGCAAGTGGCCACCGCCCGAAAGGGCCCACAATTACACAAGTCCCTTCTTCCGAGGACGAGTAGTTGATACAATACAAACACGGAGGCGATTATTAACGACGATATTTCACGCGCTTTACTGTTTATTGATGTACCATATCTGGAAAGAGGGCTGGCCGTTGCTGTGACAGAGTCGGCGGCTTGACCCTGCCGTTGTAGCAATGATTCTCAGTTCGGGTGGTTGGCCACGGTCTCTCCAGAAATAGCATGCTGTACGAGTGACCTGAGGCCAGAGTCTATTCGAAGAATCTCGAAGTGGCGGAAAGCTCGAACATGGTTACACCGTCCTATAATTCCGTATGTGCCGATCAAGCATTCACCTCCCTTGGATGAGGGTTGTTGATTGCAGACGAAAGGGCTTGAATAATTAGCATCGACATTTGAGGTGGTCGACGATGGGTGAAGGCCCAATCGATTAGTGGGAGTTTAATGGCGGCCCACTTGGGGGTAAGCCCAGCAGCCGGGTTCACCGTATCGCTTCATCGTCCGTGTGTCTGTCTACTGGTGCACGTCAAAGAGGTCTGGTCGAGGGGAAACAGCTGGCTTGGGTTTGTGCAGGGGCGGTCAACGGTGTGGTTTTGTCAAGACAGATGTCACTGTGCAGTTTGCCAGCTGAATCTCAGGTGTAGATACCTATCCCAGGCTTAGTGTGCCTGCTCGGACCATCATGTGGCAAGCAGGTAATCCGGACCTATATGGGTAAGCAAAGAAGAGGAGGAATATTCCGACTCAAGTGGGTGCGGCTTCAGCCCTTGTCGTAGTCTCGAGCGCACCGCAGCCAATGCTCACGTAGGAAAGGAGAGCGGTAGGCGAGCACCTCATGCAAAGAGGCGAGTGAGAGGTTGCAAGAGGCACTGGCGGTCAAGATAGACCTAAAACATGCCACGGGACCCATACATGATACAACTAGTCGCTACCTTAGGTAGGGAGAGCAGGAATCAGGGACCGAGCACGAAAATGGGGATCGGGCTTGCAGGCTTGCGGCGGCTTAAGTTTAGGGAATTAAATCCAAGGGCACATCCTGAGATGATCGGGGACGATTCATTTCGGCGTCATTATTGAGGGAGGTACGGACTACGACGAAGGAGGAACTGGGTTCTGGCACTAAGTACAAGACTGCTTCAAAGTTAAAGATGCTAGTGCAGGGTGCTGGAATAGCAGATCTTACCTACCTAGGCACTCGATAGAGCCAGATACTGACACTACTACTCGTATACGGGAGTCCTCGGTGGCTTGTGGTTACCTTACAACAGGTAGCGAGTACGAGGGCTGAGGCTGTCTTTGTGTGTCTGGTAGATTAGTAGAAGGGGGGAGGGTATAGGGCCGTTCGCTAGATACTGTTACTACTACAGTATGGTCACTACAGTAGTTAGGAACGGCCGTCGGAGCAGAGCGTACGAGTCACATACAGGTCTAACTAGATACCTAAGGTAAACCGTAAGCAGTGCCTGTCGTCTTTCTCCCAGTCACGGCCCTTGCGAAATACCTCCCTTACCTTAGGCAGGTGTCGCGTCCAGCTGTACCTGTCAACACCCACAGTACCTGGAGGTACCTTGTGTCCCTACTTAGGTATCTACCTATCTACCTATCTAGGTACCTATCTACCTCAGGTATGGTAGGTATCTAGCTAGGTAGGCACTTAGTGCCACCATGAGGGTGCCCTGCGCACTCGCCCTCGCCTCCGCCCACTTCGCCCACTGCACTGCGCCAGGCATTGAAAGTACCGCCCACCTTCTCTTTCGGCTCGAGTTGAAGCTGCCACAGAGCGTCACGAACCCCAACTTTGCCCCTGGTCCACAATACAAGACAATACGATACAAGTGACAACAGCGGCCGGTGCGTGCGTCTGCTCGACGCTTTGTTCCAAGGTTCTTGCCGGGCCTTCCCTCCCTTCCACACGCCTAAACTCGGACGACAACCGTGGTGGCGGTAATGCCTTGCGGCCCTCATCCGAGCACAAGACTTGGCTTCCTCTCTACCTACATATTGCTGTCGGTAGCGCTTGAAGACTTGGTCAAGAGGTGGTCCAGGGCCCAAACATACTGTACAAGGTACAACGGCAGTCCACAAACAGAGCGAGTGGGATCAGGTCTATCGAACAACTGCCTCAAAGAGAACACCAACCCTGGCACCGCTGCACCGGTACGTTCATCACACAGTTTACCGAGATCTGTCTCCAGGGAATAAGATGTAGAACATGGGCTGGTGCTTCCGTCTCGATATGCAATCCCACTTCTTTCGTTTCCCGGAGCTGCTCCCTGTCGGCTACAGTATGTACTGTAACCCAGAGGATGCTCGACTTGTACTTGTACAATATCCCACCCGTGGTCCTGGTACCCACGATCCTCTTCCTCCCAGTCCTCCTCCTATTGTACTTGAACTCGGGAAGCGCTGGCCAACTGCTGGCCGTTCCGCTTGACAATCCCACTATTTCCTCTGACAAGCTCTTGTCTGTCTTTTGCCTCAAGCTACCTACGCACCCACTCCAATCGACCTCCTACGAGTAATCTGTACAATACGAGCATTGTCCGAAGCTGCAACGTCCCTCTGCGACCTGATCCGTCCTGGACCATACCGTACCCTTGTCACGCCTCCCCACGCCTGGTCGACCGTCTAGTCTGGCACTTCCGTCGGCTGGCCCGTCTCTTGCTCGTCGACATCATCGACTCTGTCAGTCATCGCTCATCGGGAAGCAAAGCTCGGGTGGCCCACTGCTGCACCATTACGGCACCGCTCACTTTGTGGATTTTTCCGAGGCTCGCTTTGCGCCTCATTTCGCAAAGCCTGCCTGGGCTGTGACTGGCTCCCACCTGGACGCACCGCCGGACCAGGTACCAAAACTCTGGGTGGCTCCATGGCCGCTAGGCCACCACGCTTGACAGGGGGCAGCGACTTTAGGCTGTCTCCTTCGCCTTCAGTCGGCGCACTGGGCCTTACTTAATTCCTCTTGACTCTCGAGTGCCCTCCCCCCAGCTCGCGACCCTCGAATCGCCTCACTAGTAAATTCCGCCCTCAGCAGGTCACACGTCGCGCGCTGACCTTGGCCCATGATTTTCCGCCTGCAAGAGCCGTCATAGACCGTCTTCTAAAGCCCCCCCGCCCTGATCCGCCAATCCCTAGCCCTGCAACGGCATTTGCTCTCTAGGGAGCCGTCAACCGACGCGGCATACCTGGCTTGGTGCCCCTACAGCCATCTCCGTCCAACTCTCTAGCGACCTGCGAGCCGACGCTCAAACCCGAAAGTCCCTCTCTTGTCGTGATCGACATTTCAAGAGAGCATCCTTTGTTTCTAACGTTCTCCAGCTTTGCCTCGCCTTCTTCGCATCACTCCGCCTACTTTTGAGAGGACTGACGATCATTGCCATCTCGAATCCCCCGGAGCTGACGACTTTCAGGCGTCGACGGTACCTGGGACTTTCTAAGATCAGCACCTCAGCTGTCTTCTCTTCTCACCATTCGCCCGTGCATACAATAGGACCCTACACCTACGGGTCCTGAACGACTCTTGCAAACAACCGCCTCGGCGCCGGCTCGAGTATAGATATTGCTGCCCAACAGAACTCAATTTCGCACCGCCATAACCGTTGCGCCCGAAAGCTATTCTGGACCACTGGGCCCTGGTCTTCGACGGGTGACGACTTCCTGGACTAGGACTTTTCCGTATCGCAAACATCAAACCGCCTTCTCAACCACCTCGCAATCAATTTACAATCCAACTTCTTCCATCCGGATCAAAATCCGTCTTGCGACCCTATTTTGACTTGATTGTTTGGGTGGGCTGTTGTGTTTGCTTTCTCTTGTCTTGGGCCGCCATAACCTTGAGCAGACCTACTTACGACTCGTCCAAGTCGTCGAGTCAACATCGGGCCTGAAGCCGACTTTCTATCATCAACTATTCGAGTGCGCTGCGTCCCTGCGGGTTTGCTGTCCAGAAGAGACCTCGTTGCGCCGAAAGGAAAGCAAACCCCGCCATTTGCGCCATTTGGCATTGTCATTCTGCCCACCAACCAACGCCCTCTGTTGATTGCTACTGTTCGCAATTGGACCTCCCTGCAGCCTGCCTGCACCATCGGTCACAAGGTGCAACAACAGGAGTCGCATGCAGCCTGGTGCAAACGTAGTATAACGGTTTGCCATGAGCCTTTCCTGTTGAGCGCGCTTTCCACCATTGATTGTGCATAGGGTCATGCGTCATTTGTTGTACCACGTTCCATTGGGTATAGAGACGTGGGAGGTACAGGCTTGTTCGCTGCACGCAGGATCGGAGGTTGAGAATGGATGATATTAGTGACGTGGATGTAAAGCACGAACGATCCAATCCATATCCTCCGTCGCTTCCACTACCACCACCACCACCACCACCAGGCGCTGTCCACCGCATGCCGCCAGCCGAGACCCCTCCGTTACACAGCTATCATCAATCTCAAGCCGCAGCGATGCCACCACCAGCCCCAGCCTGGAATCCGGCTCCGTCGCCATATACGAATAGTGAGCCCTCTGAACATCGACCACCCCCGCCAGATCTTGGCCATCAGCAACCGTATCCGCCTCCAAGTCAATCATATCCGCCTCCCCCTCCACCGCCGCCCCCTCCAGGAAGAGAGACTCCAAGCTACCCCCCGGACCCGGGATACGGACGTCCAGGAAGTGTATCTGGTCCCACGAGATCTCCCGCTGAACTCAATCGTCCTCCATATCACCCTGTGAGTGCTCCCCACGAACCTCCATATTATCAACCTCCTCAGGACTACCGAGCACCCCATCATGCCTATTCTGGCCCCGAGAACCAGCCCAACGGGACTCATCAGCCGCTTCACGTGGTGACAGGCCATGACATGATGCCCAGCCAGCCTCCCGGACCACCTGGACCTTACGGACCTCCTTCAGCAGGACCACCGGCGACCCCAGGGCCTTATGTGCAGCCTCCTTATTACGATCCAAACTACCAGCAGAGAAGGAAGCCTGTGCGAGCTGCACAAGCATGCGATTCGTGTAGACAACGGAAAGCGAAATGTGACGAAGGTCGACCAGAGTGTCAGCATTGCAAGGACAACGGTCTGAAGTGTACCTACCGAGAGGTGCCCCCCCAGAAGTCAGAGAAACAGATACTCAACATAACCGATAAGTTGGAGACGATGAGCGGGAACATCGAAATGCTCATCCAAAACCAGAAAGCTCAAGCCGAGCTTCAGCAGGCCCAAGCCGAGAAAATCAATCAATTGCTGAATACATTGCAGCAGAAGCAACAGTCCGAGGTTGTCGCCGCGCCTACGCCAGATGAGCAACTGGACGCTGGCTTGCGACAACAACAGCAGTCAACGGTTACCCACAACCCTCCTGATCCAGCATATCCCTTCCGTAGAGGAGAGAGCTCGGACGCTCAGTCAACGAGACGACCGCAGGTGCAGCCGAAAACTTCCACCGTGCAAACAGGAGAAGGAGAGAGGGAGAACTTCGAACTTACCTTGCCGCTGAAACATACTACAGCAGCCCAGAACCTTCTTAATTGGCCTTCTATCAAGAAGCTCATTCCACCTCGAATCACGGCGTCGTACGTTATTGACGAAGAGACTGGTCGAGGCTTGTTGCGCCTTTATGGATCTGGGGAAGGGGAAGACAAGAATGATGGGCATGAGGGTGCTCCAAGCCCAGCTGGTAGTACTTCTTCAGACGGTCGCCGGATCGATGAGGAAACGTCCTCTTCACCGCATGGCGTCTGGGGAACCGGTCAGATACACGCACCGACCCCGTCCTCGATCCCCAATAATCCTCATGCTGTGCGAGATCATCCAGGTGGTGTAAGCCCTCACGGGGGGCTCATGCTCGATTCCGATGCTGTCGACCGGTATTTCCGAAGCTACATGGACCACATGCACATTCTCCATCCATTTCTAGAACCTAGAGTCATCCGCCACATGATCCACACCTTCAAACGCAAATACAGCTGGGATGTCCGCAGTACACCACACACTGCTGCTACCATTGGTACCAAGCGGAAGCGAGAGATGACCGAATCTCCTACTCCGATGGAGGAGCATACATCAAATCATATCAACAGCCGCCCGCAGGGTAGACCACTTTCCACCGGAGTGCCTCTCATCGAACATTCGGTTGCAAATGCCATTGTGCTACTGGTTATAGCTTTAGGCAAGGTTTGTTCGTATCGGGAGCCGCTCCCGGGGCCAGCAACGACCACTAGCATGCGCACTTCTACTCCTCATGGTGCTTTGTATTCTGACTTGCCAATGCCAATGTCTGCACCGACATCACCCTTTAACGCCCAATCAAATTTGAACGGGACCAACGTCATGAGCATATCCAGCCCTGCAAATCCTCAAGGCAAGAACATGGATGCCATCCCTGGACTGGCGTATTTCGCGAAGGCGGCGGATATCCTCGGTGAACTTCCAGGCGGCACTGATGTATCGTACATTCAAGCCAACCTTTTGGCAGGTCTGTATATGGGCCAGCTCGCGCGCATAATCCCGAGCTACGAATACATCATGAAGGCTTGTATGGCAGCTCAGATTCTGATAGAATCCAGGCCTTACAAAGAGCGAACAATCAAACCCAATCGACGAAACCTGATCAACTTTGCATTCTGGTCATGCTTGCAGCTCGAGAGTGACATTGCGGCGGAGATGGATCTTCCTCTTAGCGGTATCACCCGCTTCGAAAGCTCACAGCACAAGGACATGCCTACGAGCGTGACCCTAGAGCATGGTCTTGATGGGACGTCGAATGCCGACGATATCGTGCGTTTCTACCTGTACCAGATTCAGTTGCGGATGACGATGAATAGTGTGCACTCCACGCTCTACCGACAGTCGAAAGATCCTAGTACCAGGCCCAGCATTACTATTATGGGCGTCTTGGACGAGAACCTGGAGAATTGGCGAACAATTCTCAGCAATTGGCAATGGAGCGACGACGACCACGAAAGCCCGGACATCAACACGGCCCGAATGAGGGGTAAGTATTACGGAGGCAAATACATTGTTTGGCGACCAGCAGTACATTACGCTCTTTTGATCAGTGAAGGTTTGCTGAAAGACCACTCGGATGAGTCTCCTGCGGGCTATGGCAACTCAGAGCTCACGTCACCTTCCGCTTCATATACGAGCGTAGGCGACCATCAGCCCCCCCGCCAACCTTCAGAAATGCCTTATATCAGTCCGGATCTCCTCCGTGCAGCAAAAATGTGTATTCAGGCCGCGATCCGTAGTACGACGTGTTTTGACAAGGTGCCTCGTCGTCTGATTGTCACCAACATTTTTGGCACAGTCCATGCGTAAGTGTTTCTCTGACCCTGACGTGTGGCAGGCTTGAGCTGACTCGATGCAGACAATTTGGTAATATGCTTGTGCTGTATGCCACATACACAGCAAGGCACCCCGGATTGAACTCGTTGATCGACGAATACACGCTGAAGCGTCTACATGATCGTACAATCCGGATCCTGAGAGAGAATGAAGCCATATCTCCAGTTTTGGCCAAGGATCGCCAGATACTGGAGCATGTCCGGACGAAGGTGTTTGGGCCGCCAACATCTTACCCTGGTGTCAGCACCTCGTCCAGCTTTTCCTCGAATCGATAGATATATGGGCGGCGATTTTTGTTAACATATGGAATCTGATCTAAGTTGCTTTTTCTGGTGGAAACAATCCTCCCAATTTGAGCGGTGGCAGCATTGAAGCGTTTGGCATGTACATGTCTGGCATTTTGGTCATACCATGGAGTTTATGAAATATCGAGACGACCGAACCTGGGTGGCACGCATCGAGGTGTGTCTGTTTTTGTCACTGGTGTGTGTGTGTGTGTCTGTGAGGGAATGACTGTATTGGTGTCCAACAACGAGTGTGAGGCACATCGAAGATGTTCCTGGGTGCGAGAGGAGTGGGCAGAAGGCGACTTCGTCATTTTAGCCAAGATGACAAAGTTGGCCAAGCGAGCAGGGGATTGAGAACACAAACCTGGGATACCCTTGGGATGAAGCCGACTCTCGCCACTGTTCGATTGATCACTTTCTCGAAAGTGTACGAGGCGTGTTTTGCCATCACCCTCTAATTCAACGACTCTCAGCAAACACTCATTTCCGTATTTTGGATTGTTTACTTGTGTGGGTGTATCAGATTTGGGGTTGCGAAAGGGGGAAGAAGCGTGGACGGGTGGGCGCATGGTTTTCACTGTGGATGGTTCTCAGCCCAATTGTACATTATTACCGTTAACATCATCACCAACATCGACATTATAAGTTCCGGCTGGTCAACGCTACCTATGCAGAATCATGTATCCCTACCTATACCTCGAGGAGATTATCATCAATGGTTCCAAAACCCCCTTGCATATCCTGCTGTTTGAATGAAGTTGTTTGTTCTCATGGCGTCTGTCCACTTCACGTCGTCCACGTCGTCCTTCCGTACCCATATCAGGGTAAGCCAGGAACAACCTTTGGGACCTGGGTGCACTTGTTTAGCTGCATATAAGTGGCATCGGCCCAAGTGGTCCGAGTAGAGAAGCGTAGGGAAACAGTTGACGGTAGCCGGTAGCCGGTAGACTGGGTGGATTTGAGGCTGCGAATGAATGATGGGACAAATGTGTGGTCGTCTTTCGTCGTCGCCACCAACAGGACCAGGGCTCAGCTCATGCTCACCACCGACCAGGCATACAGACGTGTCCGGAGTCCCCATTGGATGAACGAGTACGTATTGAAGGTACCCATAGCGTACCCGAGTCCACCAGCCTTGCTGCGCCACACAGCCTGATGGGGTTGCGTTTTCTTTCAGCTGCTTAGAAGGAGTGAAATGACGGACTTGGCTATAGTCTACAGAGGAGGAGGAGGAGTACTCGTAGTGTGGCCATCCTCGTACGGAGTACGACTCCGTCCCCAGCACATTAGGTAGGTAGGTGTCATTCGATCCTGGCTGGGTGCTGATCGGTGATCAGAAAAGGCATCTGTCCCTGTCGAGCCATGTATGTACTGTATGTCACCTGGGTGTGTCGATCTCACGGGCTGTGGCAAATGTACCTGTGAAGATTCGTATGGCTGGCTCGTACTCCGTGCAGTCTGTGTCTTGCTTGACCGAACTCGCCATTGGAAAAGTTGGACAAAGATCAACTACTGTAGAAACTTGGTGGACTCGTCGAACTCTGTCCGAGCACACGGCGACCGAGGACTCGTCCCCCGATGTATGGTCGACACAAGTTCTCCGTATTCGGGACGAGTATGTGTGGCTGTGACGCGCTCCCGGGGCCACTAACTAGTCAGAGCGACTCGGTTAGAGCAAACGAAGCCTGTTGTAAATAGTAGGTGGTGGTTACCAGTACCTCACCCAAGCTATTGTGCCTTACGTCCTACAATGCATGCTTCTAGTTACCTCCCTCTTGGTTTTAGGTACTTGGTGAGCCCCCAGAACCACGTCAGTGATCCCACTGAACAGCCTCAGTACGGCGGTTTGAACCTTGTTCGTTGTTTAAAGTCAGCCTAGTCCAGTGAGTCCCGAGCAGTCCGAGGTACCATGTATGGTCCTCCAGCTAAGTAACCCCTCCATCATCGTCTTCCACAACTCAGTTACCATACAAAGTAGATGCCGAAGGGTTCACACAATTAGGAAGCTCGCTTACGAAAGTCAACGCAAAGATTCTCACCCGTTCATGCAGGTTGGCATTAGTTAGCATTCTGAGTACTCCGTACAGTACAGTAGCGCCCAAAATTGCCTTGCGGGGCGTACGTGTTACGAATCTTGCCCAGACAACTTCGCCAGAGCGCCTCTAACATCACCATCACTTCCCTTTCAAGTGCTTCACACAACCGAACACGTCTTTTTCTCTCTTGTGCCTCTCCATCAGCAAGCACAGGTCGTTATTTGGCGGAAATTTCCCTTCCCCGCGCGGGTTCCCTGGATGATCCGGGCGAAAGATGGAACATGATAACAATTTGCGGCGAAAAGACACTACAAAGGGCCCGCCACTGCGCATCCTTTCCCTGGGTAAGGCTTTGCAGTCTCCCCCGGAATCCGGTGTATATATGTGTGGCAAGATGACTGATGTTAAAGGGTCACAGATGGCGGCGGTGTCCGCGGTTATTCGATGCTCGTCATCCTTCAGGAATTGATGCACCGAGTCTACGTCGAGTCCGAGGGCAAGCCACCGAGCAGAGAGGCCACACCGAAACCATGCGACTATTTCGATCTCATCGTCGGCACGGGCACCGGCGGGCTTATTGCCATCATGCTGGGACGACTTCGACTTGACCTGGAAACGTGCATGAGCGTCTACGTGCGAATGACCAAGAGAGTCTTTGAGACGGACAAGACAATAGCCGGGATCCCATACAAACATACGCTTTTCAAGGCGTCGAAACTGGAAGAGGCCATTCGAGAATGTGTCAGAGATCACACCGTGTTCGAGGACGAGGGCAACGATGGAACCGCCGAGGGTGGCCGCGAGTTCGGCGATCTGAGCAGCCCCATCAGCACGGCCGGTGCGATTCCTCCGAGACGGTCCATGAGCATCAGGAGTAACAACTCAATGTCCATGTCGAGTCCGTCCGGCGTAAGGAATTCAATCATTTCACCTACGTTTAACGGCTGGGGAAATCCAAATGCGAGTTTGTACGACGGACGAGAGAACAGAACAAAGACGTGAGTTTTCCTCGGAGGTTACTATCTGGCGTGTTAGGATGAATGCTGACAAGTGGGTAGTGCGGTAACGGCGGTGTTTAAGGACACTCCAAAGAACGGTTCGTCGGTTTTGTTGAGATCGTACGATTCGAGAAAAGAACCCCCTCCCGAGGTCAATTGTACTATCTGGCAGGCCGGACGGGCCACCTGTGCTACCGGTCTGGCGTTCAAGCCTATTCAAATTGGCCAGAGCGTCTTTATCGACGACGGTGCCGGACAATATAATCCTGCGGTGACTGCGTTGGACGAGACGCTGAGCGAGTGGCCTGCTCGGGAAATCGGCGTCTTTGTCAGTGTGGGCACCGGCAAGCGGCCCGAGAACAGTGGCGTCCCGGAGCATGAGTGGTGGGAGGATTTCCTCGGTGGCAGTATGGGCATGTTCGCCGAGGCCAGACGACGGCTCATTGCGAAGATTGAAGCCTGCGAAGTCACCCACCAACAAATGATCAAGACCGAGTTGCCCAAACGTGGTGTTCCACGGGAGGTTTACTACAGATTCAACGCCACTAGTTCCGTCGGATCTGTGGGCATGAATGAATGGGCTGCTGTATCGACGATTCAGACAAATACCCGGAAATACTTGCGACAAGACGACACCCAGAGACTGCTAGGGGACGCGGCGCTGAAGATGGGCAAGATCGAAATCATGAAGAGACGATATGAGCGAGGTGACACACACACCAGAGGCTCGAGCTGGTCATATCGACAAAAACCACAGCCGCCAGCGCCACCTGTTGCACCAGCGCATCCTGGAGCGATCGAACTTCCGGCGCAGGACGCCTCGTCTTACACCCCTACACAGCATCCTCGGATCCCAGGCATGCCACCTTATCCGAACGACGAGTATGCTTCGTCCCAGGACAAATTCAGTCTTTTGCCTGGAGATACGAACTCGTCGCGTGTGTCCGGAGACCTTCCGTATCGCGGCGCACGTGATGAGAAGAATGTGTATCAGCCGCCTCCTGTTTCTTCGCTACCGGCGCACAACTACAATCCCTCCGAACCACCGCCACGGCCACCGAAGACTCCGATTGACGACCATGCCTTTCCCGTGCGGCAGCGTACCTCGCCCATGGCCACCGGCAGGACAAATGGCGTGCCTAGACCGCCCTATCCGCTGGACTACGATGCAGGACCGCCGCCGATGGTGAGTAAATTGAGGAAGCCGGAGTATATACCTGAATGAGGGAGAAGACACTGTGGATTTATTACATTTCGATCGTCCACCAACAAGAAGAACAAGTTCACGGATATCCGTTACGGAGTGGGACGGACGATACCCACGTAGAAGCATGTGTACGCCAACTTTTCGCGGGACTATTTCTGGATTCGAATGTCTTTTTCTAATACCAAAGTTTGATGGAAGGGAACGAACATTGCACCCTGGATACAAGGTCGGGAATACCTGGATTCGTCTTCAAGGATTTAGGGAATGCATTGTTATTGTCTGCTGAGGGTGGAAGAAAGGTCAACAACTGGTACGTGACCAATGTTATGATACTACGACTGATGCGTTTTCATCGGCAAATGATTTCCAGAAGCACACGACACAGTATGATACCCTCGATGCATGTATGATACGGAAGAGAGGCGGTTAGGAGCCGCAGAACTTGGGAGGAAGGAGGATTTAATGGTCTGAAATGGTCAATCATGAGGAGTTCTGACCCGCACGTACTCGTAATAGCCGAGTCATCTCATTCATACTCGTTGGCATTGACATGTAGGCATGCGTACTTTCGCTCCTGTACAATGGCCTAGTTAGTTGGCACTTGCAGAACTTAATTGGTGGTGCTATTACGAATGTGGCTTGGCCGAGAGAGCCACCCGCAGTTGCGCCATTGCGCCCTTTTTCGAAACATCTCCTGCGCCCACTCTCTCTGCCTTACTGCTGATGCGCTGCTCACGATGCTGATACGGATATTGCACAGTCTTCCCACAGAATTTAATCTCTACCGCTGATCTTATCCCGCTTCTCTCGCCATACCAGACATTTACGGAGTGCGTAATGTCCTGTTATGAAGTGGTGCCGAAGCTGTAAAACCGTCGACCTCAAAACGCGCGCCCTTGCCACACCACGATGCCTGGATTGACTGCTTCCCACGCCTCCCATTCAGGGACACGGCGGTAAGTAGAGAGACACAAATCCGGCCTGAGACGACATCACACGGAGGGCTAATTGCTTCCATCTGCCTATCTAGACATGGTCACACTCCGCCCCCTCGAACGAAACGCGACCTCGGTGGCACCCCCGGGAATGCTTCATGGCTGTCGTCCGTCGTCAACCTCCTCAACACCATCGTCGGCGCGGGCGTGCTAGCGATGCCTCTCGCCATGTCACACATGGGTATACTGTTGGGAACAATCGTCATTATATGGGCAGGCGTCACGGCCGGGTTCGGGCTGTACCTGCAGGCGCGATGTGCGAAATACCTGGAACGAGGGTCGGCCAGCTTCTTCGCCCTGTCGCAGATCACGTACCCCAACGCGGCGGTCATTTTTGACGGCGCCATCGCCATCAAGTGCTTCGGTGTCGGGGTCAGCTACTTGATCATCATTGGAGATCTGATGCCGGGTGTGGTCCGGGGCTTCGCGGACGAGAGCAGCTTGAGCCCGTTCATGTTCGACCGGCACTTTTGGATCACGGCATTCATGCTGGTCGTCATTCCGTTCTCGTTCTTGCGCCGGTTGGACTCGCTCAAGTACACATCTGTGGTCGCTTTGGTCTCCATCGGGTACCTGGTGATTCTGGTCGTGTATCACTTCGCCGCTCACGACACCCTCCCCAACGGACACTACGAGACGCCGCTGCGCGTCTTCAAGTGGGCCGGAGTCGTGCCTACGCTGTCCTCCTTCCCCGTCATCGTCTTCGCCTACACGTGCCATCAGAACATGTTCAGCATCCTCAACGAAATTGCCGACAATTCGCACTTCCGCACGACTTCGGTGCTCTGCGCGTCCAACGGCACCGCCGGGTTCATTTACCTCCTCGTCGCCATCACGGGCTATCTGTCGTTCGGAAACGAAATCGGCGGTAACATCGTTGCACAATATGCGCCGGCCGTGTCGACCACCATCGGCCAGGCCATGATTGTGGTTCTCGTCATGTTCTCGTACCCGCTCCAGGTTCACCCGTGCCGGGCCAGTCTCGACGCGGTACTGAAATGGCGACCGTCCGACAAGTTGAAGGCGAAACTCCGCTCTGCTTCCGCCACGCCGAGATCGGTCGATTCCAGTCCACCGCGAGATGTTCCCCTCTTGCCCGTGGCCAAGAAACGCAACACGGAAATGAGCGAGACTCGGTTCGCCGCCATCACGACCGTCATCATCATCTGTAGCTACATCGTCGCCATGACCGTTTCGAATCTCTCGGCTGTTCTGGCCTATGTAGGGTCTACGGGGAGTACGTCAATCTCGTTCATCCTCCCTGGTTTGTTCTACTACAAGATTTCTTCGCCCGATTCGCCTCTCCATCAACGCCTGCTCAAGGAGGAAGATGATTATGATTATGCCGATTCTGACGCGGCAAACTCTGATGACGAGGATGACCATGACGGCGTTGGTGGTGAGGAACACCAATCCTTGCTCGCAAACTCAGGACTACTCAGTCTCAGTGGCGTGAGTCTGTTGAAGCGGACCAAGAATCTACGACGAAATTTGTTGAGGAGGTTAAGTCTTGCCTTGGCCATTTATGGTCTTGTGGTTATGATCACCTGTTTGATCATGAATACCTTTTTTCTTGCGACTCATTGAGATCTCGACGACATATATCTCTGGTTTTGTGTGTTTGTGGCCTTTGAGGTTCAGAGCGATATTGGTTGGGTATATGGTGTTTGGACCTTCGCCCCAAGTTTGTGAGGCGATACCAGAGCTGAAAGAGTCTCAAATGGTACTTAGAACGATTGTCTATGGTGTTTAGGTCATGATTTGAGAGTCTCGGGGGCATTGCCAATACATGGATAGTCTGGTGTATGTTGGCAAGTCCAGAGAGACAATCCTCCAGAGTCGTACTGTGTTCGACAAGATGAGGTGAGACGCGGCAGGAGACAGCCGAAAAAAGAACTCGTCGGTGTGATCGATCACACTTGACCAACTTGACCAAGGACAAGAAGAGAATGCCAGGATGAATTCCAGGACGAACGTGGAAGGAAACAAGGGCACGGAGGAGGAAGAGGAGAATTGGGATTGAATACAACAGAAATAGTTAACTACACCCCATTATTCGTGTCGCACTGGAGTTTCACATGAGTTCAGGAACAAGAATCCATATTTTCATCCGTTTGGTCATCAATGACTGCAGGTGACTTAAACCCATCGCCAAACAAATACTCCTTGATCCTCGATACTCCGTATTCTGTATATCAGCCTACTAAGAAAGTGGCCGACATGGACAAATGTCTCCAGATTGAAAACCCCAGACCCAAATCAAACAAAAAAAAGAAAGGCTCGATGCTATCTCTGCATATGTCGTAAATTGTGTGGTCGTAAAACTTCGTCACCGTCCCATATCCCGCCTCTGAATGTTCCGTCTGTTGCTTTGTGCAGCAGGACCAAAAAGAAACCCCGATACACGTGTGTGTGTGTGTGTGTGTGTGTGTGTGTGTCGTTGGACGCGTTCGTGTACTTGAACAGGACTAGAATAAAAACGACTCTTTGCAAAACCCAGGCGAGTTCTTGAGGTTGTGCAGGAGGAGGAATAGGAGGCAATGCTTTCCCACGCTTCCCACCACCACCACCACCACCACCACCACCACCGTCGACGACACCACCAATTTATCATCGCCGACAAAACAAACTTGACAACGTGTCTCCTCCATTCCCTCCAAGACGTCGTGTTCAAATCACCGTCGATCCAATCCCGTCCATCACCGTCACCCTCACCTCGCGGCCGTCATCGTCAAAAGAGAGAGAGAGAGAGAGAGAGAGAGAATCTGACGCGGTTTCACGCGTATCGCGGCATGGAGATGATCTTCGAGGTTTTTTCCTTCTTGCGCCTCTCCTGGTCTCGAGCCTGTTGGAGTTGTTGTTCGGCGGACTTTTGCCCCATGGCGCTTCCGATGCCCAACCCGAGGCCGAGCAGGTTCTTGCCGAGTCCCTCTTTCACGCTCGTGCCTCTGGCCCCGGCGACCGTCATCCCGGCTCTCACGCTCTTCCTGCGCTCGACCTTGGCCTGGTATTCTTCGATCCCGAGGACCGAGTTCTTGCGCTTCGGCGCGCTCTCCATCCCGAGCGCCTTCCACGCCTTGACCCCCTTGCTCGCGCCCCGGCCGAGCAACTTCTTCGGCCGCACCGTGGAGTTTGCCGGGGTCACCAGGGGCGAGATCTTGTCCTGCCACTCGGCTTCGTCGCCGATCGAGATCGGGCTGATGGACGCGTCGGTGGCCGTGCCCGTGGAACGCTGTCTCCTGTGCGCCGCCGCCGCGGTCGTCGACGGTGAGGACGGAGAGCAGTGCCCGTCACAGAGGGCCTTGGGTCGCCTCTTCGGCCCGTCGGGACTGCCACTCGACACCATCGACGGCGTCGGCAACTCGACGGGCGAGGCGACCCGACCCTGCGCGTCTTTCGAGTCGATCGTCAACAGCTCGATGGCCTTTTCCAGGTCGATTCCAGACCCGGTGTCGCACATGGCAAGTGCCTTCCTCGCGCGGACCTCGCTGAAGCCCAGGTCGCGCACCAAAACCTTCATGGCCCTGTCCACGGGGTCCACCACCCCGGGTGTCGAAGCGTGAGGTCGGTCGGTGTTGCGGAAAGGCACTCGGGGACCCGGGTTGACGTAGTCGACCGGGAACAAAGTGGCTCCGAGTTTCGTGCTCGCCGTCGGTGTCATCCCGAGGGTGTAAAACACTGTCGGGTCGGCGGTCGGAGTGGCAGGGAACACCGGTGACTTATTCCTGGAAACGTCACTGGCCGGATCACAATCCGGTCGGATGTCAAGGCGGGCGTCGGACTGTGCGATCATGGATATGGGTCTTCTTTTCATCACCGTGGTGTCGATTCGGAGTGACTGCGTTTGGTTCACCGTCGTCGGCACTGGAAGAGTGGCCAGCTGCCGTTCGTCGAAGGACCTGGTGGGTCGGTGACTTGGCTTGCGCTGATGCTGTGGTTGAGCAGCAGGAGGAGGAGGAGGAATCCGGGTAATGGAAAAGCGCGCCGCTTTGAGCGTGGCCGCCTCGAGAAGTCTTTCTTGATACACTTGGGTGATCGCGGCGGTCAAAAAGAATGATCGGCTCCGTCCTGCAGCCGGGGCGGGCCACCTCGTGAGACCCAGCATTCTCGCCTGCTCAAATGAGCACGAAGAAAGAGCCAAGATCGTCTGAGGACCGAGTGTGAGCAGATAGCAGATCCACTCCCCAAGATGCTGAGCCGCAGTGGTTGTTTCCCGAAGATGCCAATTGTCAAATATACCAGCTTTCTTGGCGTCTGCTTCTCGTCCTTCGAAGCCAGAAAGGAGTCGCTGCAGACATTGCCAGATCTCAATCATGTCCTCAAGCTCCTCGGTATTGAGGCCACTCCCATTTCCGACGGCAAAGCCCGCGCCCGTGTTCTTATTCGCTACCCTGCTACCATTCAGCCAGTCGAGTTCTGCCTGTGGAGGACTTGCTTTCTCCTGAGAGTTACCAAAAAGGCTGCAGAAAGTCGAGATGCGCCAGAGCGCATTGTCAATCTGCTTGGTACGACCCTCGCTCTGACCGAGGAGCCCAACCAGTACATCCCGCTTACAATTGGGGCCGCAGTGAGCAACAATGAAAGCTTTCAGCGCCGTCAGGTTCTTGCAGTCGCGACGATAGTCTTTGAGAACAAATTCAGTTGACCCCTTGAGAGCCAGGACACTTCGTCGAAATTCCCAGGCCGGTCGAGATGTTTTGAAGATCAAATGGCTGACCAGATTGGACTCGTTGCGATGGAATGTGCGGTAGAAGCCCTTGCTAACCATGGCCATTGACCGAAGATCTTCCAAGCTGTGAAGATTGCACATTATCTTGTAGATTACTCGCTCCGCCGTTGATGCTGAGATTGGCTTGACTAATTTCCTTCGTCGTGCTTTGACGTTCTTTGGCTTGGAGTCATTCAAGCTATTCGACACCAAAATGTCGGCTGTGTGGCGGCGGTGCTTTTCAATTTCAACCCCAGCGTGCCGCGGGGCATCAGCATCCAAAGGTAGTTGACTTGTGTTCGGCACCTTCACGTGTCTGACTCGGTGGTCTTGGACAGACTTGGATCTCCAGGAGGGGAGCTCCGCCAACGCTTGACCATCAGACGTGCGCCTTGCTGAAGCACTCCTCGACCTGAATGAAGGAGGTCGGACATCGTCGGATCGAACGGTCAACTCGTGAGAAGCCAGTTCTGCGGGTACCGGCCGAAGGAGGAGATCCGGTACTGAAATGGATGCCTTCTGTGGTTCATGAGGCCCAGGTGGGAGCGGTTTGTCCAAGTTCGGCGGTGGAAATGTGAGTTGTTCTGCCGACGCGCCTGCTGGAGGGATCTTGCGTGCCTTCGATCGTATTGCTGGAGAGAGGGCAGAACGGGTTGATAAGGTCAGCGAGTCGGGCTTCAGTGAAGGAGCTTCAGACATGTCGTGTGAAGATTCCTGAACGTAACTCGAGCTTGACGAATTCCTCGTAACCAGAGGAGAGTAGTCGCTATTCCTCTGGCTGGGCTGAGAGTATGAGGATGATGACGTCGATTCATTTCGAACCAGATCGACGTTGAGGTGTTGAACAGCGTCGTCGTTAAATGACTTGACCGTGTTCGTTCCCCCATTTGCCGCCACAGCCGGAAAGCGGATCTGTGGTTTGGAAGTGGTAGAATGCTGATTTGTTTGCAGTCTAGGTAGCGCTTCAAGATGCTCGAATCTGTTGTAGTCGTCAAAAAGATCTAACAAAGATCGTGTATCGACCCGCGACAGTTCAGGTAGGCGATGAGCCAGCAGATCGGGTGCACTGTCCCCGCTACTATCGGTGCCATGTCGTCTGAAGAGAAACGAAGAGCGGTCTTTGCTTCCTAGACGGAGGATAGAAGTCATGGCTCCCGGCGATTCTCTGGTCGACACCGCTCCAAATTAAGCAAAAGGTCTAAATCGCGGCCCGGAATGGCCCTCCCGATACATTGCGCATGAAGGCCGTAGCACAGACCAACGGATGGTTTGGCAAGCAAAACGAAGATGTTGATATTGGGGGCTCCTGGAGAGGAAGTGTCGAGCAAGTTGTCGCTTGTTGAATGTCGTTTATCTTTTTGTCGGGGGTTGGGCCCAGTGGCATGAGGAGAGCTTGGTTATAGCGAAAGTTGGCCCAGTCCCTGACCAGGCTGACACTCGAAGCGGTTTAGGACTCGCTTCGGGGCGTGCTCGGTGGCGGGGGGGCTAAAGATATCTGCAAATGGGGGCGGAGTAGAGGCGCAGGTCTGATACCGGCCAATCTGGTCTCGTCAGGGCAACCGTCGCTACTATTGGCTTATAGAGCGAGACGGCTTCGGAGGTGTTGGCAGGATGGACAAGCGAGAACGCGGACTTTTGACTGAGGCTCTCACAGATTGACAATGGTCAGTAAGGCCTGCCCCTGAGCCGAAGTGAAGCCTTCTAAGTTCTCACGTTGAGGCGAAGCGACGCCGTGCGGCTCTCGTCGAGGCAGCTGTTGCAAAGGACGCGAGGGGGTGTCTCTGGCGACAAAATCGCCGTCCAAGGGGACCTGACCGTCTCTCTTGTACTCGTACACGGCTCGACCACAAAGCTGGCCAGTGTATGCGGACGAATGTCAGGTCCCCAATGGCGTTTCGTGTCGTTCCCACTCTTCTAATGACCAAAACCCGGGCATGATCTTTCGCACCAAGCGAGCCATTGATTCGCAGCGATTCAGCCAACATTGCTGAGTGCTCGGAGAGGCGCATCCGGCTCCTCGTTCATTTGCGGTTATGAATTGGTCTTCACGCATCCAAATCGCTGGTCAAGGTCGATCCAAAACTCGGCAGACCCGACGCCGCCTAGCGACCTCTCGGGCGGCATTGACGACCCCGAAAGAGAGATTCGTGTACTCCGTAATCTGCGACCGCCTTCGGCTGTAATTTGAGATCTACAGTTTTCCGTAATCGTCGAGTCAGAAATTGGTAAGGTGCTGTATTAGCAGTCGATGGTTGAGAGCCACACCTTGAATCTGGAACTTGCCGTTCCCGTTTGGTCCCTGGCTCTGACGTTCCGGATCTCGACTTTGATCACCTGGGAAAAAGGGGCATACGGCATACAAATGCGCCTACAAAATGTAAACAAGCCACGACTCCATTGAGGAAGATTTTGGATACGGCGTCCCTCTGTATTCGCGCTCTGCTGTTACCGCGCATCTAGCCAGACTCTTCCGGTCCGAAGGGACATAGATGCTAAAAACGACACCTATCCGTACTTCTCTGGAAGTGAGTCAGGCCTTGCGACCCTACAGAATACCATTCATGCTTCAACAACCAAGTACCTTGGTCTTCCCCCTTGCACGCAGCATGCTAAGCACTCACAAAAGTGATTGGGATTTGGCTCCCCGTACGCCCCTGAAACCGCTCTCATCTCCACAGGTGTACGTACAGTAAGCCTCAGTCGTAAATTGTAAGGCGGGCCGACCTATTATTTCGATGTGGACTTTGGCCTGAACGTACAAGATGGAGCTGAGCCATCTCCAGCTCCTCGCCAAAAACTCGTCTCGAACCTGACATGTTCAATGCACATTTTCTCCAGGAATTCAGGACTCCACCGACAAGGGTGGCGACAAAAAGTGCGCAGCATGCGCTGACACATATGATCTCCCAGTGTAGCCTTGAATGATGAGATACTGGCAACAGACCACAAGAATATCGTCGCAGGGGTTCGCAGTTTTTGAAGGTCCCGATATATGTTGAAATTGTGTGAAAATAGACTTTCGCCCGGTATCTGTCGTCTGCACGGACCAGACGGTGTTCCCGGCTAGTGATAAGAGACGACTTCCGCCCGCACCAGCAGCGAGTTCCAGATGCTTGGGAAGCGGCTTCTCAATACGGGCCGAGCATTTCTCGGCCTTGACTGGACGGTTGGCTGTTGATTCAGCCAAAGCCTCCAGTATAAGTTGCGTGTAACGGAGCCATGTGCTCCTTCCTGAACATGGTGAACATTGTTCAAGGCTTCTTCCTCCGCTTGGCCATGAGCTTTTTGTAGTGAGCCTTCTTGCCACTTGTCTTGGAGTCCTGTATCTCTGCGTACTTCCGTTTGAAGCGTCCCGTCTCTTGTTCCACCGCCATGGCCTCGTTCACGAAGTTATTGGAACGGTCTTTCTTGTTAATTCTTGCGCTGAAAAATTCTGTTGGACCCTCGATGACGGTCCCGGTCTGGGAAAACGTTGGTATCTTTCCTCTCCGGTTGTTCTTCTTATAATGTCTGTGGGGATCCAGGACTGATCGCATCTCGATGAGCTGGAGGTCGCGCTTGAGCTGGGGAGTCAGGTCCGTCTTTGGGAGGTCAAACCAGTCCGGACCAGCAGACACTTGGTCATTCTAATGCAGTCAGTACAAGAGCCGCACAAATACACAAAGAAGGCACAGTCATTGTCTTTTTTCAAGTCAGAGTAACTATGAATATGAATGCTCTCATGGATGCAGGGCAGGCCAGAATGGACTGCTGATCTGCGTCAAGAACAGAATGGGAATAATTTTCCTCATACAAACATGTTGGGACAGTTACAATATGCTGATAGGCACTTACAATTCTTTTCGACTTTCCAGGGAGTTCAAGTTTTTTCATCCTGTCGGCTAATTGTCTCTGGTCCTTGGCCACCGCAAGTTGGGGATTTGCCTGCGCAACACCACTGTGATCTTTGATGTAAGTTGTCTGACTCAAGTTATGCTGGAGCTTGGGGAGCCTAAGACAATTTTAGTTGTGCGTGCGCTGATTCGAGGGTCCAGACCATACATTTTTCTAACTGTGGCTTTCTCCAGCTCACCGTTGTGCAGACTGATCTCTTCATTGTTCGAGGCGGAAAGCCCTGGCGTAGTCTTCGCTCGGAGACGTTCCTCGGCCTCTGACAAGAGTCGATCTATCTCGACGTCATTCAGTAAGTTCGCCATCGTATGTGACGATTATCACGCCTTCACATGACGACCGATTCTTGCAAAGTACGTTGACCTATTTTATATCGCGAAGACTTGAAGAAATAATTTCTATGCGTGAAGGGCCTAGTGCATTCATAAACAGAAAGTTAGCCGAATACGACGACCTTCCAGCCTCGCCAACCCAGCCTCGTCCCTTGGTACAGCCTTACCACCAATCTAGATTCTCCTGGCTTGGGTAGGGCATCACATAACTAAGGCATTAGAATTGTTCCCACGAGTCAAGTTTTGGGAATTTGTAACTTCAGCGCAATATAGGAAGCCATGCTTTAAAACAATGGTTTACTATTTACGTGCAGATATGTGAATACTGGGCTCAGGATGCCTTCGCGGGCGATTGTAGCTACGGAGTACAAGACACCGATTCCTCAAATAAGCTCGCAGCAAAACTCCCACCAGGCGGACCGCAGCCCGGCGGGAACAGCTGGGCGGCTTGAGATGTAGAGAGTTGTCGGGCGATTGAAAAAAGAAACAACCTGGACCGTCACTATTGTATTACGGGACCCCCCAACTCCCCTGTCGAAGTAGCCAGACTGGTGTACTCTTGGAGGGACAGAGAGATAAGGGTCGGATGATTAATTCCAACAACAGAAAAACTTCAGCGTTGCCTATTTTGGAATGTGAAAGCCTCATACGAGACAAATGTGGCAGTGTAAGATCTATTATCGGTGCACCAAGTGGCCTTGAACAGGTCTCAATTTTTATTGGTGTGCCTGACATGCCAGCACACATTTGCTGCCCGACCTGTGAGGCGAGTTCTGCGATGCTCTGCATGTCGCTTCCAGTGACCAACTCTCAGACGGTACCGAGGACAGTATGCAGCTTTCTGCAAGCGATAGGGCTGACCTACCTGGGTGCCAGGAGGTGCTGTGATGATCAGGATATTCAGGTACAGTCAAAATGCGCAGTCAAAAGGGGTGACAAAACACTGCATTATGAGAGCCTCTTGGGCTTTGTCTGTAGATTTGATCGAGATTGCGATGTTGTCTCGCGTAGGTCATGCAACCTGGGTACGGAACGTCTGGCAAACGAGTCTCCCACGAGCATGGGCTATATATACGGTCGCTTTGAAGTGAGGCGGAGACCGGAGCGTCCTTATAGGCTCATGACGGGTCGCGTTCCTAATGGTGGTTGTTGCCGTCAACTCCCATTGGCCATGAAGCTTGATGTTTGTTTTGAGATGAAAACAGTCCCATCGAGATGGACTCGTAGAACAGGGTGGCTACGAGAAAAGTACCTGGACACAGAGAGTCATATTTCGTCGAGCTGGAGAGGCGGCTGTGCTCGGACCTGGAAGTGCTCGAAGTTGAAAAAGCCAGCGTCCTCCTTCCCCGCCTTCACCTTTTCTACTACTACCTAGATCGCGGGCGCAGGCTTTGCTTCAACCTAGTTATTCATCTCCGTCATCATACGATCCTCACCGACATTTCCTGCAATATTCTGTTTGACACTCGCGATTGTGCTTCGTGCTCGCAGGCAACTGTGCTCGCAGAAAACCTTTTTGATCGAATCCGTGCGCTTCTCTTTAGCACTTGCGCAATCCGAGACGCGATCGCGAAACCAGCCCACGACCTCTTTGAGGACTGCTCTCTTACGATCTTACACTTGGACCGCGCTGTCGGCCTTGCGTGACTCTGTTTCTACGCCACCCGGTCCCCTGCGACATCGGTATTCCTGTCGCTGTTGCGACTCTACCTCCTTCCTTCGGTCCGCACCAACTACCTCAGTATGGAGCAGAATCAGAAGAACGCGGGCCCTCCCATATACGATATCAGTCAAGGTGGTCACTATGGAGCAAGCGCTGCTGTGAGTTTCGGCCTTTGTGCTTCCCCGTGCGCCTTCGAGACCCTTAAATCGAGGATGCCGCGCAGTTGGACAATTCTGCGAAAGCGTATACGTTCCTTTCGAGAAATTGAACCATCGAACGGTCGCGCATAGCATCAGAACAGCCGGCTGACATGGTTTGACAGTTATCGGCGCAAGGCTACGTTCCTCATACTGAATTGTACTCAGGACTCTGGTCAAATGTACGTACCTAGCTGCCTTCTCGCTCAAAAGCTCCCTTCTAACTGTTTCCCCGCAGATCAATCAAGGTCTCACTGGCCCATCACGCGAGATCCTCGCAACTTACTGGCAGCAAACCATCAATCATCTAGAGACGGACACTCACGACTTCAAGATCCACCAGCTACCGCTGGCACGCATCAAGAAAGTCATGAAGGCGGATCCCGAAGTAAAGATGATTTCTGCGGAAGCACCTATCTTGTTTGCAAAGGGTTGCGACATCTTCATCACAGAACTGACTATGCGAGCATGGATTCATGCGGAGGACAATAAGAGAAGGACACTCCAACGGAGCGATATTGCGGCAGCACTCGCCAAGAGTGATATGTTTGACTTTCTGATCGATATTGTCCCACGCGAAGACAGTGCCGGTCATGGAAGTGGCTCAAAACGACCCACCACCAGCGGTCAAGGTGCTGCCCAAGTCCCACAGCAACAGCCTCAACAGCAAATGGCTCCTCCAGACTATGGCATACCTCAACATCCGTCGATGGGGCCTCCAGACCAGCAATACGGACGAGCACAAATGTATCCTGGCCACATGGGTGGTGACGGACAACAGGACCCGAACCAAGGTTATGGCCAGCCTCCTCAAATGTTTGGCGGAAACGATATGTACAATCCTTACACGCAGGGTCAATTTGGTGGAGGAGCCCAACAGGTAGGCTGATATCCATTATGATTTCTCCCATCCTGTATGGAAAGTTCCTGCCGGGGTGCACTCCAGGATTTCCTCACGTCCTCGTTTAGTTGAAGCACATCGCTGACTAAATCCATCATTACAGATGTATTCGAATATTCCAGGACAGAGGCCTCAAAGTCAAGGCTATGGCGCGCCGAGGCCAGGAACAGCAGGGCGAAATGAGCCAGTGAACGAGCCAGGATATGGGCCCGGCTAGGAAGTGGTGCCTATCGATTCAGGACTGTTACCGATGTTGATAAGAAATCTGGAGCCACGTACGCCAAAAGGGGCGATGATGAAGCAGAAGGGTATCAATGGATTCCCAAGACATGAAAGACTTAGAGGATCCAGCGACCGTGTGGGAGAAATCCGGTGAGCTTTGGATTGCCAGCAACCTCATTCGCCGCAGCAGGGTTTTGTTTTTGATGATTCGCACATTGCAACATGCACTTGACTTTGGTCTCAGATTCCACAAATATTTGGTTTCATTTTCCATGCTCTTACGTACAATACCCAGGGAATAGCATCCAGTCATGTCAGCCGAACCAGTCTGCACAAACATCAAGCGTACAGTGGAAGACAGGGAACACACACCTTTGACCCTCGCCATGGACCGCTCTGCAATCCATCAAGCAGGCAACGGTATGAAGCACATCGCATTCTTTGGTAGGACAACTTCACAAGCTTTTTTCATTTTGGAGCTACAGAGTATATAGGGGCGGAATGCCAGTTTTCCTTTCACCGCCTCCGCCCAGCGCACTTTACATGTATGTGCCTTTTCATTCACCGCCCACCTCAGGTAAGGTGCTAGGTACTTGCGCTGCCGCACTTCACAGCAAGCCGTCCTTCAAGCTTGTGAAATTTACGCAGTGAATGTGGTATTGTACCGTATGGACGTATTGTGCAGTGAAGATGGTGTTTTACCGTATGGATGTATTACGTAGTGAATATGGTATTTTATCGTATCAATATATTACTCACCTAGGTAGTGAATATAGATGATTTTCTACCGTATCGATGTACTACGCACGCCGTACAGGTGAAAGGCGCCCGTTACCTGTATGTTGCCTATACGTCACCGGATACATTGATACATTTAGCGCTCGAGGAACACCTTGGAATGCGAGGGGACGTGAAGCCAATCATGGTCTGGTTGATTTCATTGTTCATAGGTATCCCAGGTATCTAATTCCCAATTTTACCTGCCCAGACCTTGTGGTTGTATTTATGGTTTTGTACATGGCGCTGTACACCAGTGGTACTGGGCGCAAATCCTCGCAAGGTACAAGATCCTTTCCTCTTTCCAACCATTGCCTGCCGTTTAAGATCCAAAGACCTATCTGCCAGAGTTCATGAACCTATTTTGCAAGGCGGCAAATGTAGCATTGCCCCTCATACTGACCTGATGTCCAGACGCCGGGCTCTGCGGGCCAGGCGTACCGCTGCTACTCCCCCGGTTGTGACCATTACCTGCGGTTGGGCTTTGCACGGGGACGCGTACGACCTTTTCCAACAGCTGCGGGCCCTTGAGCGGGTCGACGTTGCGGTACTTCTTGTTCCGTAGGGAGATGTCGTAGAATTCGTCGGGCTGGTCGGTGGACATGAGGGCGACGGTCTGGATGAGCTCGTCGAGACATTCGAGCAGGATGGAGTTGTTCGGGAGGGTCTCGACGTAGCTGCGGAAGTGGTCAATGTCCATGGACAGTTGGGCGATGGCGGTCGTGGTGATGCGTTCGACCGAGGGGGAGAGGGGGAGGGAAAGAATCGCGGACGCCGTGTACGAGATGGCGTTGAACAGCATGAGGTCCTTGAGCGACGACGGCAGCGACAGGAGCACCGAGTTGATGATGTTGGCGAGATAGCGCGTCAGCGTGAGGATGTAGTTGGACGGTTCGGCGGGTGCGTCGCGTGAAAGCCAGTCGTACTCGGCCGTTTCGATGAGGTCTGACACCTTGCTGTTGACTAGTTCGAAGATGCGGTTTTCGGCCGTCTTTTGGTGCTGAAAGAACTGCGACGTCGCGCGCAGCGTGATGGCAGGGCCTGCCTGTGCTGAGGTGCGCGCTGACGCGAGGAGCGTCTCGAGCTCGTGGCATGCTGTCGTGAAGTGGGAGAGGTTGATCAAGATCTGCACGATTTGACCGAGGTATTGGGAGGAGAGCTTGGAGACGAGGCTCGCGCACACCTTGGTGCAGAGGAGATCATCCAGCGAGGTGAGAAGTTTGGCGTCGATGCGTGTGGTGAGAGGCGACGGTGCCTCGTCTTGCGAGCTGAAGAAGTAGAACTGGTTCAGGAAGTTGCGGATGTCGATGCAGCAGAGCGGGTACATCTGAGAGAATGGGAAGACGGTCGGGAATGTCATTTCGTGCACCGGTCGGTCGGGCGTGTACCATGAGACATTAACGACTTTTTCAAATTCTTCCGCGTTCTGGATCGGCATCGGCATGTAGTCGTCCGTACTGACAATCTCGATGAAGTCCTCGGAGAATCGTTGCTTCAGAAGCTCCGCGTACTTGTCGAACAGGATGAGGACGAAGTTGGAAACGGATGAGGTGTTAAAGTTGAAGGTGTTCATGGTCTGGATGAAGAGAGATATAAGATTTTTGATTTTCAGCAGGTGTTCGGCGTTGTCGACTGCGCCGAGAGCTTTGGACATGAGCGAGATGCCCTTTCGGCAGAGAGAATCCCAAAGCTCTTCAACGTCCGTAGTGGACCGCAGATCTGGCACCTTTTTCATAGTGGCGCGTTCCATGATAGCAAAGCCTGCGATATCCTCGAGTAATGTGTGTAGGTCTCCCAGCTCTTCGTCGACCAGTGAGATTGTGTTTTGGAGGAGAAGGTCGCGCTGTGCCCGGCGGCTGTTTGTGTAGTCTGACTTGAATTTGTCCATTTGGCCGAGAGAGCGGTAGATGTGTAATGCCTCGAAAAGAGGAGTGAAATCGACTTCAAGGTCTTCGCTTTTGAGGAGGTCAAACTCCTCGTGTTCATCAGCTACCAGCTCGATTGCAGAGTTGAGCTTGAAATTCCCCAGGTACGCATTCCTTTCAGACCGCTCCTTGAGACGTTGCTGGCGCAGGTCGGTGTGATAGAAGGATAGTTCGCCAAGGTATTGCGACATTTCCCGAACCCGAAAGAGCCAGGTATTGAGGTCGGCCATGACGGCTTCGGCGATGGATTTTTGAATGGCTGGAACAGACTTTTGGATCAGTTCGCTCAGTTTGTATTGTGTCACACTTTGTAGATGGACACTCTGAAGCTCATCGAGAGCTCGTAGAGCTGCGTAGTGTTTCTTCTGGTCGCGGAGCTCTTGCACTTGGTTGGCGAGGCGAAGGACTTCTAAGCAATCTTGCAAAGCATGACTGGCGTCGTCTATGTTTTGCCTCACCCCACGACATTCTACAAGCGCTTTCTTCTGGTCAACTAGCTTTTCTGTACTGGCTTGGATCGACTGGTTCAGTTCGAGGATCTCATGCGTCAAGGTCACGGTCCCTTCACGAATCCGAAGAAGCTGTTGCACGGAACTCGTAAACTCTTGGTGATTGGCATTGCATTGTCGCTCAATCTCTGTTTCCCTTTCAGCAGCCAAGTCAGATAGCTGGCTGAGCAGATGTGAAGTCTTGTTCCCATAGCTGTAATCTTTAATATAAGGGATCAGTTGATCCAGCGTATCTGTTTCCGAGGAAGAAGTAACAATCTTCAGTCCCGGTCAGCTCGGAAATTGCAAAGCGCAGGATCGGAGAATCAATACTCACTTGCTGAAGCACACTGCTTGTGTCATTCCCATATCGTGCTATTGAAGGCATACTGTATTTTGTAGCCGGGCCTGTTATTCGTATCGCAAGGGCGTCGAGATAGTCAAATCTAGGCTTCGGGCTAAAACACGGTGCGTCGTGGCCTAGAAAAACCCCGAATCGAGATCAGATATCGATATACAAGCAAAGTCACGATTGGCAACCGTCAGTCACTTTCTTTGGGGTGGAAATGTCTCTTTCATTGGGTGTGAACGGATGAATATGAGGCTATGGACAGGGCAACAGCCTTCTCCTGATCTCACACGGGAGATTCACGTACACCGAAAACACGCTAACGATTTTCGGTTAGCGGCATGCCAAGCGAAAGAAGCTTGTCGATCCTTGAACGTCAACGACATCAATTGTTGACATTCTGGGGGATGATATGATATTGCCAACGACCCTCTCCTCTCCAGCAGGGGCTGGAGACATGTGCGTCCAAACTCTCGTGTATGTATATAAAACAGTGACCGCTGTCAAGTCTTCATGAGCTTGCAGGAACGCGGTGTTTTGTCGCCAACGCGAGGGACATTGGGGACTGCAGAGCCTTTGTGCCCCTAAGAAGAGATGGATACAAAAAGTTTCGACCTGAGCAAGAAAGAATGAAGGTATACCTCTACAGTTGATGTCTTACTTCATGTTGGTGGACAAAAAGCTAAGTCCAGAGAAATGGTTGGGCCTACAACGCCTACAGGACTGTACGGGCCTTTCCAGATGAGTTCTCACACCTCCTCACAGTCCAACCCTCTGTGTGCTCACTACAGCTCCCTCACCGTCTCATTTTTTCTCCCCTAAAAGCAGCATGAAGAAGGAGAACCTGCCGGAATCTTGGATGGAAGTTAATTGAGCGGCTGGTCTCTCTTGGGCTCCGCGGCGCCATTGAATGATGAGTTCTGGTGAGAGAGTATGTGAGCTTGACGAGGGCCGCGGGGTGCTTGGATGAAAAATACGGACAGTCGTCACGGCGTGAAATACGGCGTCGAATACGGCATATAATACGCATTTTCTATGGGGTTTGGCTCGTCGCAGTGTCGTCATATTCAAAAGACGGGGCTTCCTGATCCAGACTCCTGAGCGTCTTCGTCTGCTTCTCCCTCTCACTTCCTGACGACGACATCATCCAGGCAGGACCCACGAGGAAATTCTCTGCTCTTCCGTCAATTGAAGTGGTAGTTCCCGTTTAGGCGGGCGGTGGAAGCAGCAAGGTGAGGGCTGTTCCTTCCTTCTATTTAAACCCCCTCTCCCCCTCTCCTCTCTTCATTTCCTCCCACCAATATCCATATTTTCTCTTCCAGCCTCCTGTTCCTTGGCCTCTCTTTATTCATCATTCTTACTCTCGACAAGCTCTACGCTCCTTTCGAACATCTTGCTCAAACAGCATCATCATTCGACTCTGGTAAGTCGAATGCATCCAATCTTGGTGTGGGCGGTGGCCGATCTCTCTCTCTCATCCTCCATGCGTTGTGTGGCATTCGTGTACTAACGGCTACTTTCCAGTGCAGTCGTCATGACGAGAACTCCCTTTCGTGGGTCTGCTCCGGCGTCAAGCCCTCATTCGGAGCATGACACCACCTTTCACGGAACACCCTCGACCAACCTGACCTCCTTCACCCCTGCAACTGGAAACATTGGCTACAGAAAGCCTTATGTCGAAGAAGCAGCCCAGCGCCATGCCAACAACTGGGAGGAAGTCCGTGAGCCTGCAAAGACTGATGCCATCAGACGTACCACCCCTACGAAGACTGCCAGGTATGCATTACTGCTGCTTCATACTTTGAGCGTCCAGCAACTGACCATATGCAGTGATGATGTCTTCCTGACTGCACCTGCCATGAGCTCTGGCCCACAACTCTCTCCCACTGCTCGAGTCTTCCAACCCATGTACACCTTTTCGGCAATGCCAACTGTTGCTCGTCGGTCTCCCCCCCTCGCTCGAGTCAACCGTCCCCATGTCTTTGGCCCACCACCAAGTGCTCGTCATGGCCATGGAGCTCACCAAACTCTCACTCCCCTTGGAACTATTGCTGGCGTGAGAACCCTTCTGCAGGACAGTGTCCCAGACACGAAGGTCCGTGGTGAAAAAGAAGCCTCCGCGTGGGAAGACCGCCGACCAGTGTCGCAAATCAAGTGCATCAATGGCCGCTTTGACACCGACATTGAAGCATACCTCGACCGTCTTGGTGTCTGGAATGTTGAGCACATGAACTTCATGTCGAATGCTTCCGGCAAATACATCAACGATGTGCACTTCTCTGAGGGGGTCTTCAGCACCGATGAAAAAGCCCCTCGTGCGTTCGTAGTCATGGGTATTCCTGCTGAGTTCCGCTCTCTCCGCGTTGCAGAAGCTTTCAAGGTTTGTCTTCTGCATTCATCCCGCCTGTGCTATTAAGACTGACTGCCTTCAGATTGAATCATTCCCCTCCTTGAAAACCATCAATGCCTCGCAAGTCGTTGCTGGTGGTCTCTTCACCGTTGCATTCTCCGATGTTCGAGATGCAAGAAAGGCATGGGACGTCGCTACCAAACTCGTTCCACACACTCGTGTCTTTTCTCTATTCCCAAGAGGTGTCGCTGCGGATCAAGGCTACAACCCAAGTCACATCAGTGATTTTGAAGGCCAAATCATCTTGTCGGTCTACTACAATGGAAATCCCAACTTCAAGCAACTCGAGGCTGCTCCAATTGTCGCTGAGATCAAGCGTCTCCTTGCTCAATGTGGCGAAGTCAAGGCCATGCACACCTTGCCATCGACCCAACTTCACTGCCGCGATTTCCGTGTTGAGTTCTACGACTCTGCCGCTGTCCCCGTTGCCAAGGACGTCATCAGTGGTACCATCCTCGAGGTTCGTTGCCTTGTCCTCTCGCTCTCTGCATCCATGACTGACAAAACTTTAGGGCGGTGTCGTTCTTCACGCCGAAGCATACTCTCCAGACATTGTCTTCCAGTCAGATGACGTCGATGCACCATTTGAGCAGCTCTCAATCACTGGCCGATCCACTGTTCCAGTTGACGAAGATTACGATCGTCTTGCTTACGCCATCACTCGTGATGTCCTTCGCAATGGTCGCCGCCTGAACAACACAAATCACAATGCAGTTGACATTGCTCGAATTCAATCTGGCATGGACGTCCGTACTACGGTGGGTTCCCCTCCTTCGGCTTGTCTGAACGTTCAATGACCATCTCCAGATCATGTTGCGCAACATTCCAAATCGTGTTGATCAAGGAATGCTGAAAGAGATCATCGATCATACCAGCTTTGGTCGCTATGACTTCATGTACCTTCGCATTGGTAACTGCAACCTCAAAGCCTGTCGTCTTCTTGACTCACTTGTTCCAGACTTTGCCAACAACTGCAATGTCGGCTATGCCTTCATCAACTTTGTCGATGTGAGTTTCTTCTCTTTTCTTGGCTTCAATTCGAACTCTACTGACAGCCACCAGGCTCCTTCGATCATTCCAGTATGCCCTTCTCATCTATTTCCTGCTGCTCTTGTTCACTCACTTTTCGCAGTTCGTCCTTGCTCGTGCTGGAAAACGTTGGAATTGCTTCAGCTCTGACAAAGTTGCTGAGGTGTCGTATGCCAGTGAGTGCGCATCTCGACCTTATCTAAACAGTTCACTGATGATTACTTGCAGCAATCCAAGGCAAAGACTGCTTGGTCCAGAAGTTCCGCAACTCATCTGTCATGCTCGAGCACCCAGCATTCCGCCCAAAGGTATACTGTGTCCGTCCTCCAACAGACACATGAGACTGACGATGCCTGTAGCTGTACATTGCTGGCAATGTTCCCGATGCTGGCCAAGAAGAGAAGTTTCCTTCGCCCGACAACCACTCCAAGATGCGCCGATCAGTCGAAAATGCTGAACATGTCGGTCTGTATCTCCCCAGATCCATGGGCCCTCGGAACATCAATCCCCGTGCTGTCCATCCTCGCCGCCGTCGTGTGAGACATGCTCGACGATTCAATGCGCATGGCGTCTATCTCCCTCCAGCACGTGCAGGAAACGTCATTATTTACACACCTCCACCCTCCCCAAAGTCACAGCCTCGTCGTGTCAAGTTTGTTGATACCAAGAGTCCCTCTGACCCATTCTCTGGAACACGCCCTTTCCCGTGAGCACATCTCGATTCCCTCTCACTTGCCAAACCAGGATGCTGACTCCATCTCTCTCACAGGACTTTTCGCTCCTAAGCAAGGCCAAGCATACCGTGAAGAGCAACGACGTCGTCGCTCTCAGTTCGATCGCGGTACACCAGGAGCTGAAAATGAATTGGACATGAATCGTCTTCGCCTTGACGATGTACATGCAGGTCCTCCTCGCATCAGACGTTACATTCCACATTACTAGCTCGACATGTTGGTGACGCTGGACGTCTTCGGAGATTCAGGTCACTCGGGTTGGTCGACATTGTTGGGAGGTTTTCAGTGTTGAAGTCTGGAAATTCCTGTCGTGCCCGCGGGCTTGGATGGTTTCTTGCCACCCTCTTGGGTTGGTCGATTGCTCTTGGACCTTTTATCCTGGGCACACCATCATTCAGTGTTTTGCTTGAGAGCATTTCTTTTCCTTCGCCTCATTCCCCATGTCAACGATACCCCTTGGTGTTATGTCACCACTGCCCTAATACTCCAAGTTTTCATTTCTCTTCGAATGTCTTTCGAGCTCTGCACGTCATGTTCTCACAGAAAAGAAGAGATGGCATATGAGACATGCTCTTATGGAAAGTCATTTTCCTGTCTGATCACCACAGGGTGATCAACTAGTTAACCAAAAAATTGACATTGTCACTGACAATACTACTGAGTCAAACACGCCGTCTTATCCACCTGATTTGCAGTGGATGAATTCTTTTCTTTGCTAACATACATTTGTTCGCCACTTGAAATATTCTGTTCCAGGGCCACTCCGAATATTCACGTGCAGTGACAGGCCGATATGGTGTATGGAACCGAACCGGCATACCATCATCATTTCTGCTGACCGCAAGATTCTATTCATCAACAAAAGCTACTTCAAATGCAAGTGCTCTGTCTATCATATACAGACTGCTGATCACTAGGAGCGGATTACCATCAAGCGTACAGTGCATGATGCCTAGTGTCAAGCCTCTCCAGCATGCAGTCACAACCTTCATTGGCAACACGTCGCTCTTCTCTGGATATTAAAATCCAACCCACAGGAAGTCCAGTCTCTCAGTCAACAGAGAGCGCTGCGGCGAGTGCAACGTGAAGGAGGGGTAGGTAGTGGGAGTCTTCCTAACGATTTCTTCTTCATCGCAACACTGTCTCATCGCGGTACTGCTTCAAAAAGGGAACGGGTTTCGAGCCAGCGGTGCCTCGTGCTTCTGTGGTGGGTTTACCTTCTGCACGAAGTCTCCTCGCTTCAGCGGCAACGGGTTGTACAATGTACCTTGAAACGATGGCGATGTGTCTCGTCCTGAACAGTCGGAACGCTTCAAGCACTGCGTGGAAGGCCGTGACCAGCGTCTGATCTCGGTCGGTAGTTGTTGTTGTTGTCGGTGTTGGTGAGCGAGCATCGATGATGTCGCGGAGCGACGGCAGCTTTTCCACGGCGCCAAGGAACTCACGGTGCTGTCGGGGCATGTAGGCGCGCATGCTGACGAGGAATTTTGACTCGTGCTGGACGCCGAACATGTGGTCAAGGAACTGGAAGAACGCGCTTTGGCCGGCACTAGCGCCGACGCATTTGGCGACGACTCGAGACCCGTCACTACACTGGAACGTGACGCCGGCAGGGAGGCCTTTGTCCTCGGCGGCTGCGCTGCCGGCGAGCATGGGTCGGATGTCTTGGTGGAAGACGGACGGATCGCAGTTGTCAAAGAGGACGGAGAGGATCTCGTGCATCTTGGTTAATGTCCTTGTGCATTCTTCCAGGACCGGGAGGAGGTGGAGAAAGACGCCAGGCTGTTGCTGTTTCTGCTGGACTTGGTGCTGGTGTACTAGGTCGAGCGCGTTCAAGAGGAGAGGGATGAGGCGGCCGGATTCGGCTTCGACCATGGACGGAACGAGGTTGAAGGAGTCCTCGTCCCGAGTGCCGGTGAATGTGGTGTAGCATTTGATCGTGCTGAAGTCTGCGAGGTCTGGACACGAGGAGGCTGCGGTGCCGCTGGTGTGGTGGTTCTCGTCGTGGTGTCTGCCATTGGGTTCCCAATTCCACAGTGATGAGCCGGCGTAGCTCAGCACCGGCTGCATGCCGAGATGGTCGCAGGCTTTGAGGAACGGGTCCGCGACGCTGGCTGGGACGGTGGACGATGGTATGCTTCTGTCTTGCCAGATGTATGCTTGGCTGAGGTAGCCTAGCAGGATGTAAGCCCGTTGCCAGTGTGCGAGCGTGGCCAGGTGCTTGGTGTCGAGGATGTCGAGAGCATCGATCGCCGAGCGGGCCGTCTGCTTCTGCAGAAGTTCCGGCATCTTCGAACACAAGTCGCGCCATGGCGCGTAGTATGCTGGCAATTCTACAGACTGGCTGGGCACGAAGCCTGTGCGAAGGTCGATGCCGTAGTCTTCAGGGTTGGGAATCGGTGGACGAGTCTGCATTGCGATCGACGATTTGTTAGGATGCTCTGAGAGAGAGAGACACGCGCACACACACAGAGAGAGAGAGAGAGGTGCATGGGAATGTAGAGGCAGGAAATGAATTGTACACAAAGGATAACATCAATAACTCTACAGAAGAACAAGTCGTCTCCGCGAGGTCATATTGGTCATGGCTGCGTCGCATGTAACGAGCACTGGGCTTGGAGGTCGGATGACATTCGGTGTCGACGCCCTTTACGTGACAAGATCTTCCCGTTTGGGACGAATCGAGTGCCGAGGATTTGGTATCCAACGATCGTATCCGCATTCGCCAACTCCACAAGATGAGATTTGTGGTCCGAGGGGAAGTATTTGCCGAAAGATACGAGTACGACGGCTGCGTGGGTCGATCGAGCGCGAAAACATCATTGGGGGCTACGAGACATACTGTGCCATGGACCTGAGATGAAACCGGTGAGGCGGAGCACCTCTACCTGTATAGGGCTTGACTGTCGACAAGAGAGATCTTACAAGACCGCACACTGAACGACCCGAAGAGCGAGAAGTGTACACGAATCAGCCGGTATTTTACTTTTCATCTACCCTACCTATCCCTGTTTCTTTCTAGTCATAATATGCAAAGGCTACCAGCCAATCGAGTATTGACTTTCACCACCTCACCCAGCCTTTGCAAACTCATTCAGCCATTGTACCAGCTTCTGCACGTTCTCAACGGGCACGGCATTGTAATTGCTGATTCTGATACCACCAACCGATCGATGGCCCTTCAGTCCCAGCAGGTTCCGCTTCTCTGCACCGGCCAGGAACGCCTTCTCCTTTGCGTCGTCCGGCGTCACGGCGCCTTCCGACCTGCCGGCAATGATCCGAACGCAGATGTTCATGCGGCTACGCACATTCCTATCGGGCACAACATGGTAGAGATCCGGATAGGCGTCGAGCGTGTCGTAAATCAGCTTGGCTTTCTGGTTGGCGACCTCCTCCTGGCCCGAAACCGTCTTGAATGTCGACACCAAACTCTGCAGCACCAGCGTGGCCACGTACAGGTTGAAGATGGGCAGGGTGTTGTACAGACTGTTGTTCGCGGCGATCGTAGAGAACGAGAACATGATGGGAGGCAACGCCCCTGAAGTGGGGAGCACGTCTGAGAGTCGGTGCAAGAATGTCGGCGGTGGGACAAGGCTGAGGAGCGACTTTCGGATGATCACCACCGCGATGCCAGCGATACCGAGATTCTTCTGAGCGCCGCCCTGTGTCAAAGTTAGCTTCCTCCCTTTCGAGTCGTCCTTTTTGGGGCGTGGATGACATGTACTCACAAAGATCACGCTGTACTTGGAAACATCGAGCTTCTTGCTCACAAAGTTGCTGGACATGTCCGCCACAACTATCCTGTCATTCTCCTCCAAGGACTTGGGAAAGCTGGGGAACTCTACACCATCCACCGTCTCATTGTCGCACATGTACGTCAGTGCACTTCCCTTGGGAGTCAATTTCCATTCACTCTCGGCCGGGATCTTGCCGAACTTGTTGTTGTTGCCTTTCCGCGCGTCGAGAGCGACGTTGACGTACTTTGCGCCGAGTAGTCGTGTGGCCTCCTGGCTGGCCTTGAGCGACCAAGACCCAGTGACGAGGTAATCGAGTTTCAGCTCGTTCTCGATTTCCTTCTTCACACGTGCGAGGACCTCGTCATCCTTGCCCTCGCCGAGATCTGCAACGGCCTTTCTCCGCCGCTGTTCGATCCAGCACCCAACCAGGTTTTGGCAGGCGGCACTGAACTCTCCGGTCCCGCCGGCTTGCATAAAGAAGATATCGTAGTCATCTGGGATGTCATAAAGCGCTGTAAGTGCTTGTTTGGCGTCGGCGAGGATCTTGTTCGCCGTGGGTGAGCGATGGGAGATTTCGGCCAAAGAGAGACCGGTGTCTTCGAAATTGATGAAAGCCTTAGCGCTTTCTTCAATGACAGGGGTTGGTAGAGGGGCTGGCCCTGCGCCGAAGTAGGCGACCTCTGCGCGAGAAGGCATCTTGGGGTAGCTGATGCTGAAATTTACAAGCGAGATCGAAGCTTCGCAGTGTCCAGGATTGGGGAAGGTCGTAGACTGTAGCAATTTCTAAAATGAAAAGTTGTTTATGCGGAAAATGAGTCAAGGGCACGAAAATCTGGGGAAGATCGAGACCAAAGAAGCGTTGACTCAGCGTGTGTCGGGGAAATTTTCCTTTCCGCCAATTAGACAGCAACACAGCGAGGGCTTGAGTACAGCACCGACGGCATGCAAAAAACGCTTCTTGAGTGTAGTGGGAGGCTTTTTGCAAGACTACTCGATGTAACGATGCTGGCCATGCCCTCAAGAGATTTCTGTCTTCCCTTCATGACCCCGGACTCCGGCAACGAATGTGTCCCTTCGCTTCTCTAACGGTTGTGCCCCTGCAAAATCTTCTCCTGCAAAAATCCTCAACCACCGTCGATAAGCATGTTTTGTCCCGTCCTTGAGTCACTGTAGGGATAACATATACTCCTCCTTCATTCCATCTGGGTTTGTTTGAATGTGGCTGTTGATGCTGTCACCATCTTCTCGATTGTACGCTCAATGGTTGCGATTTCCCCCTCCCCCGGCCTACACCTCTGTACCCTTCTCCAGTCCGGGCCGTGAACCGGGTGGAGGTTGTATCAATCAGGCTCTGGCATCCTCAACCTCCGATTCTGGAGCGGGGCCTCCGGATCCCACAAGGCCCAATGGACTATAGGTCCAGTCGCACTGGTTGAGAGAGAGACTGCAGACGAGATTTGGGTAGTATTTGCTTGTGTAAGCAGGCTTCGGGAGGGCATTGAGAGCGTAGATGTTGCTGGTGTTCAATTCGAGAGCCATACACCCGGTACTGGTGCTGGTTCTAATCCAGTACGTGTGGACTTTGAACCATTGATCAACAGCCGGACACGGGAAGATTATGTCGTCGCGGCGGACGAACTTCGGTAGAGGGTTAGGGGCAGGATGAACAAACGACGTTAGAAAAGCGATGATGATGTGTATGAGATACGGAAGCATAGCGAGGGACTCCTGAAGGGGGAAGATCGTGCTTAGGGAAGTAGTAGGGAAGTGTAGAATGAGAGATGCTCGCGCAAAGTACCCAGCATGCGAAAGGTTGAAGTATGAGGTATTAGTCAATGTGCATGCAAGGAATGGAGATTAAGACGAAGGAGGAAGCAAGGAATGGAGAATAAGATGAGGGAGGAAGCATTGAGATAGGTGTACAGGGTTGTAGATGAATGTCATCCAGGATATAACGTTCCTGCCTTTTCTCGACCCCCGTGGGAGACTCGACTCGACTCGATGGTTCTTGGGCGATGACACAAGTCCATGGACATAATTTGCAATGGGAAATCTAGAGAGATTCTTCATATCTGTTTGAAAAGTGTCTACTTCCCGTCTCTATTCAAGCCTTGTCGGCATCGCAACATGCTTCTCCTGCTTCCTGTCGTCCACGAGCGTTCAAAAGGACATCGCTAGCAATCCAGAGTAGCATTTAGGGGGGGAGCGTGAGTGCTGACAGAGGAACTAACAGTCCAGAAACACCGTGCCTTGTAATACAAATTGACGATGAGGAGACAGTGTCAAAAGCAAATGTCTTGAGGACGCCAGGTAGCTTTAGCAGTCCTTCATCTCAGCCTTGTTCAGCCTCGCGTCTGGGTCCTCGGGCACCTTAAATGGATGAACAAAATAAATTAATGGGCGCGTTCCCCACCATTCATCGTGCCCGCGGAATTTTGGGCTCGCTAAACTTGAGTATTCATTCACTTGCATTCACTTTTTATTTCAACAGACTCACCTGCAGCAACGCTGACAACGCCATCCATAATGCTCCTCCACTCCCGGTGACATATCTTCTCTTTACGCTCCTGTTAAACGACCGCCACAATGTCTCGGGGCAGAAGAGGCGGCGGAAAACGAGGTCCAGACTTGTCTTGGGACGATGAAGAATCTCTCGCAACTCCGACCGTGTCGAACAGACCTGAAGAGACATTTCCCGTACGGATCAGCCATTCTCTGGCCGTGGAATAGGCGGTTGCTGACTGATTGCGCTTTAGCCAATTGATCTCCCGGTTCCTCGGCCAATATCCTCAGACGAGCATCTAGCAATCAAACGGCAGATAGCCTTCCGCAGCCGAGCGCGCAATGGGCCATATTATGCTATTCTCGACCCCAGTAGTATTGCGGACGAGAAGAGCGGCAAAGTCCTGAAACGCGCAGGCTTTGACCCATTCAACGACCAGGAAAAATACACTGCGAAGTACCACAAGAAGAAGCAGGCCGTTCCCGACCTCAACACTCGAGAGTATGGTATGTCGACTTTGGCCCGAGGGCGCGCAAGGCAGCAGAGGAGACGGATAGTACTGACTTGGATTAGCACTACGGCTATTTCCTCACGAGCTGTGGCCGCTACTCGACCCACGCAAGAAGAATCCACTGTGGAAGACCGCAGACATCGATTTCGACGCCGAGACAAACGCACCTCGCAAGAACTTGAAGCGGAAGCGAGAACTTGTCATTGAAGATGCAGAAGATGACGACGAGGCCAGGGCTAACGACGACGGAAACGACACCGACGACTCTGATCCTTTGATGTCTGGCACACGACGATCCAGAAACAGCACCAAGGCGGCGAAGAGGCGGCGGGAGGACCCCACAACGAAGAAAGCGCACGAGAAGCGAGGTCTGGACGCGGAAGACGAGTTCTCCGATCCCGAAGTCACGCCTAGGTCACCAGGCAGGAAATCAGGCAAGAACAAAGGCTCTGACGACGAGGACGAGGACGACGATGACGACGAGCACAACGAGGATAACTCAGACGGCAGTGGTGATGAGGACGACTATGACTCCGGTGACGATGAACCCGTGGATTCTGAATTCGAAGAGTCGGACGACGAGGATGACAACGACTATAATGCCGAACAATATTTCGATGGAGGCGAGGGGGATGAGGATGACTACGGTGCCGGAGGCGACGAAGATGGCTCTTATTTCTGATTGTTGTGCAGAATGTTGATGCGCTTAGCGTGGGTCACTGCGCATGCTGTATGCCCATCAAGTGCCGCAGACTCCCGCAGCGAGGGACAATCAGGTTCGCGAGAACGGACGATGATGCACGAAACTGGAAGCTGGAAGCTGGTGAAGGGCCATACAGTGCTTGACATGCAGCTACAGTATCACGGGCGTTTCCTGGATTACTTCGATGAGAGAAGCAGATTCCCGGGACACAGAAGTCCTTAGCCTCAAATGTCGCAAACTATTTCACTGAGCAGGCAACGCCTTCTCTTTTACCGTTTGACATACCCCCAATCGAAAACCATTGCCCTTCCGTGAATGTCAAGTCTCCAGGAGGTCCATGCCACTTGAAATGTCACCTCTTATATCGCACATCTGGTTCTCTCCCAAGGTAACTCCGGACAGATGCCGTTCAACTGGTGTATTCTCTGCAGGGTGGTGTGATATTGTTCTCCAGATAGAACGTCTTCCTTCTCTGCTTTGTTCGTTTTCCCGCTTCCGCACTCCACTTGACTTCGGCTCTGACATCCGGACCAAATGTTTCGAACTCACTCATTCGCCCTAAGCCCAGATACCGTAGCCAACGACTACGCCTTCTCCTTGACACTGGACGATACCATCGGTAGTTTTCCACCTCTGAATTGCTCTCGATCGACAAATTGGCTTCAGGCCATGATCCTGGAATGTGGTGCAGCGGCTCATCGGGATCTAACATCTCCCAAAAGTCGGCTGCAGCTTCATCCATGGAAGTTGTAACCCACATCTCCCAGTCTTCTGCAGACGGCCCGTAGGTGAATTTCAGGACCTTAACTTTGACGTCACTGCCGCTAACATTCTCACGAAGAGAAAACACTGGGTCTATATCAGCGAGGAGGGCTTCCTCCAAGCTGCCATAAACCTGCAGATCTTGGCCAGCAAGTTCGACTTCGTAGGCCCAGTTCCGCAATCTACGTGTTAGTCGCTGGTGGTCAAGATCGCCCGACTGGCCCAAAAATGCCCTTTCGCCCAGGTCGAACATCAAGTATTGTAGCATTGGGGAGCCGCAGCTGTGTCCGAACGAAATTCGGATACCATCAAGTGATATAGCTTGGCGCAACAACAGCCTCCAGCCTTCAAGATCGATGGGTTCACCTGACATTGTTTGGGCTAGACGAACAACAAGACTTTCATGATTTTGAGTTTCCTCGACATTCAGGCGGACCAGACATGTGGAATCCAGTTTCTGTTGTAATAGCACCTGCCAAAACTCTTGTACAGGCCTCTGAGAAGTGCATCCATTATATGCCATCTTGAGCCTTATTTCAAAGTCAATGTCGTGCCCATGATCGGAGACTATCGCCATGACATTGCTGAGCATCTCCGAACAATTGACATTCCATACGGTTAGCAGAGAGCCTAGTGGGACAAGATTTTTGAAAAGTTCACGGAAGCCCGGGAGGTGTGTCATATGTCGGACGGCTTCGAGACCATCTCTCCCATGTCCATGGACATGTACAAGTGGATAAAGATACCTCGCCACGTCAAAACATGAAATACGACTGAATCTTGAGTCAAACTCCTACTGAGATAATTCGAAAAATCTAGGGACCTACCCGGCAGTTGTCTCGTTTGGGTCGGCTCCTTCTTGCAGGAGATACCGTATCATTGGGGCGTTGGCTCTCGCACAAGCCTCCTGCAGCCTGACATCAACACAGGCGTGGGACACAATTCAGGGAACATACGTGAAGTAACGTCCACCCGTCCTGATCTACATCATAGATAGTAGCCTGTCGTCTGTTAAAAAGGTTGCGGGTAGTACAGATATCATTGTTCCAAACTGCGTCGAAAATGGCTGAACCTCTGGGAACAATGTTGTACGTTTTGATGCCGAAGTAGGTGAGTCCGGATATTCGCATTCTTAGGAATTCGAATCTTTTCCCCAGCCATGTGCTCTGTATAGCCAAGAGAGAGGTAGCCGTCTTTGCTCTCTTTGAAGGAGCGAAAAGATTTCCCCGCGTCTTCCTGATGGTCATCTCCTCCTTGTCGGCACCGTCATCGTGGGACATATCTGCATTGTCTGCTTGAGAGTCGGCAATTGCCAATGACCTGGTTCGGTGTTGAATTTGCGAGACTAATTTGGCCGTTCTGACCTCGGACTCCGTAGCTATCAGTGTATGTGTAGTCATCTGCTGCTGTAGACTGAGAGCACTCAATGCACTGCGCCAACATCAATTGGACCTTTCTGTCGAGACCTTGTTCATACTCACATAGAAGCTGCTGACTGCGCTAACATGAGATTTATCTTCGCCCGCTCGATGCGCCTCGCCGCCTTCTCCATGAATTTCTCCTTGAGCACAAATTTGATGGACCCTTGCCATCGAGACCGTTCGATAGCCTTGGACAGCTCAAGACAGACAGGTCTGAGAATGTCAGTGGCCTTCTCACAGGAGTCCCGGCATTTTTGTATCACAGCCGGCGGTGCGTAACTAGATAGGAGTGGATCTTGATCAGCGAGAGTTTGCAGAATGTTTTCGGTGACTTCTAGCTCCTCCAACACCACTGTCAATTCTTCTGGGGCATGTCGAATTGATGAGGCTTTTGCCTTCAATTCTAACATTACTTTGCCAAATTGAAGTGATGCGGCCACCACGCCGACCGCCTCAGCCATGACAGGCTAGCCAGTAGAGTCGAACGAAGGCCGAGAGATGAAAAGGTTAGAAAAGATGCGATGGGCAATCCAAGAAGAAACTCGGCTTGAGGCCTTTGGTAAGGCTGACTTCAAGGCGCTTCGGGCTCAACGTCTTGTGACTATGCTTTGCCGAGAGACATGCAATGGCCTGCATTGGACTCTGTACGCGCCCAATGATTGTGCATCGTGAACCACGCTATCTGGCCAGCAGTCGATTGCAATTATGATTTGAGAGTAGAGGGGCGCTCTAGTAGGGAGAATGTCAAACAGCTCCCCATTGTACCAGTAAATGTCCTGCATAGCTACTCCAGCCCAGTGGCACAAGCAAAGGGCGTATGGCGTAGATGAGGCAGAAATTTAGCAGAGTACAATGCAGATGATGTCGGTCATAATTCACTTCACCGTGCCAAGTCCGGAGAAACAGTTTTGCCGTAAATCGAGGTCGATCCAACCAAGTCCTCAGCGAACAAAGTCATCAGAAGGATAGACACTGTTCATATCTGCTTGAAGCGTACTCTGGCATTGAGACGCAAAATATAGATGCTTAAGAGAATGGACATTGCCCTACGATGAGCGCCTACGAAGCCAGCTCCAGTAATGCAGCCAAATAGTACCGACCACCGTAGGTCGGTGATCATCCTCTACGGCACCGAAACCGGCACATCTCAAGATTTTGCTGAAGAAGTCAGCCGGTGCCTCCAGCGACTGAGGTTCGATACAGAGGTCGTAGGTCTGGACGATGTTGTATACGGTGATCTCCATTCCTACATGCTCACGGTCTTCGTTGTCGCCACCACTGGACAGGGTGACTTTCCCGAGAATGCTCGGAAGTTTTGGACCAGCCTCCTACGCAAGAAGCTTCCGCCCACCACTCTCGCAGGCATACAATATGGTCTAGTTGGCCTTGGAGACAGTTCATACCCGAAATTCAACTTCGCGGCTCGGAAACTAGAAAAGCGACTCGGACAGCTTGGGGCAGTCCCGTTGAGTGAGTCTTGCGAGGCGGACGAGCAAGGTGATGAAGGTACTGATGGTGCTGTCCTTGCTTGGCTCGAGCAATTCAGACAAACCGTCCTGACGAGATTCCCACTGCCTGAAGGCCAAACACCTATCGCGAACGACGTTCCTCTACCCAGCAAATGGCGGTTGAAACAGAGCCATACCAGCACCGACGATGGATCACCCGATTTGTCGGATGTGCAAAGTCAAGCCCACAAACCCTCGGCTTCCCAGCTTCTCGAAGCGACGCTGATAAAGAACGAGCGTGTCACGCCACTTGATCACTTTCAGGACGTGCGATTCATGGTTTTAAAGACTCCTCAAACAGTTGATTACGCACCAGGCGATGCCATCGCCATACTGCCCCAAAACATGCCCAAAGACGTCACATTCCTCATTGAGCGCATGAATTGGCAGGATGTTGCAGACAATCCAATCCATTTCATCTCAACAAGCGCATCATCGACCTCTACTCCTACCCACTTCGCAACGAACCCGATTTACAGGCGTAGGGGTCTCACTCTCCGAACACTTTTGACCGAGCATTTGGACATCAATGCCATACCACGACGGTCGTTCTTCGCAGCAATAGCAAACTACACTAGCGACAGCATGCACAAGGAACGGCTGGTTGAGTTCACTGATCCTCAATATCTGGACGAATACTACGACTACGCCACCCGTCCGAGACGAAGCATCCTCGAGATCCTCCAAGAATTCGACTCTGTCCAGCTTCCGTGGGAAGAAGTGACGAACATCTTCCCAGCCATGCGCCCACGCCAATTCAGCATCGCGAGCGGCGGCAGACTAAAGCACCTGGACGACGGCTCTACCGTATTCGAGCTGCTGATCGCGATCGTCAAGTACAGGACCGTCATCAAGCGGATTCGCGAAGGCGTGTGCACGCGGTACCTGGCACAACTACCCGTCGGCACCAAGCTGCCGGTCTCGCTTAAAACAGAAGGTCGCTTCTCAAAGGCATCAGACATGGCCGGGACCCGCCACCTCCTCATTGGCGCCGGGACCGGCATCGCGCCTCTACGTGCGCTCATCTACGAAAAAGCCGCACGACGTCCCGTTGCAGGAAAGTCGGCACTGGTGTTTGGCTGCCGCAGTGAGAAGGCAGACTTCTTCTTCCGTGACGAGTGGCCGTCGCTGCTGTCCTCGTCCGAGCACGACGAAACAGGACTGGAAGTCGTCACTGCGTTCTCGAGAGACCAGAAAGGAAAAATCTACATCCAAGACAGGATCCGGGAGCGCAGTAGTCTCGTCTGGGAATACCTGCGCGAGCGGCATTCCGCCGTCATCGTCTGCGGCTCCTCTGGCCAGATGCCGAAAGCCGTCAGACAGGCGTTGGTCGATGCGCTTACTGAACAGGCGCAGAAGAGACGCTCTGAAAAGCCGTCGAACGAGCATACTGAACATCCAGCCTCAGACGACGAGGTTGAAGATCCAATTGAAAGCCACGAGGATGCAGAGAAGTACCTGGCGAGACTGGAGAGGGGAGGACGATATAAACAAGAGACGTGGTCATGATCCAGGACGCGATCGATGATGAGTCGCAATGCACGAGTTGACGTAAAGAAATCTTAGAATGTTAAAAGAAATAAAAATTTACTTTAATGTAAACTAGACATAGAGGTATCTGCATACTCCTTTGTTGGAGAAACGGTGTATGTTGCATACCACTACGATAAGACACAACACATATCACCGGTTCAATTTGTCGCTAAAAAGTCATCAAGACATGATCGCCGTCCAACATCTCATCGCCGTTTTCGCATCATCGAATTACTAATTTTCAATTTGTTCAGACGGCAACGCTGGCCTTGTCCGAGCACCCACAGCCTGTCTTGCCAGCCAGGACCTGGGTAGTCGTCCTGGCGTAGCTGGGAGGCACATCGAGCGCTGGATTCCGGACGAAGAAGTTTCGCGGTCGAAGAAGCAAGGTCATCGGCTCTGCAGGCATGACGGGGTAATCCTCCGGCGAAGGGAAATGCGTGATGCCGAACGTGTGCCAGAGCACGATGTCCTCGTTGTCGATCTTCTCACTCGGGTTGGCGTTGATCCATTGTGGTAGACCCATGGACGGCTCGCCGGATGTCTGGGGAACGTGACGACCAGCGGGGTGGATTTGGTCGTCGGCATCTATAGGAAGGTACAGAGTCAGCATTTGAGTGAACGATTAAACCTCATGGAGAGAAGATGAAAACCGGGAGTCGGAGAAAACTTACACTTCGTAACGTGCACGGCATGGCGGGCGAAACCTGCACGTTTCCAAACCAGGCCGCCTTCCCGGGGAAGCAGCGTCGGCACCTCCCTGCTGACCAGCTTATAGGAAACCGGTTTGTGGGAGTAGGGGTTGAGTTTGCTCTCGTTGCACATCTCCCAGGTTCGCGAGGTGGATCCGTCGTAGTCAGACATGGCCTCAATCGGGTTGGTGAACTTGGTCTTCTTCGCGTAGAAGGCGTTGCCGTAGAAGTTCTCCGCAGAGCCGACTTCACCTGGCCCTCGGGCCGCATCGACTTGAAAGACGGTATTGTTGGGGCCGTCGATGTTCGGGTCAATGCGGAGACAGAACAGATGCTGGTGGTTGTGAGCGTTGACACCAGGGTACACCTCTGTTCCCCAGCCCTTGGTGTCCTCGCCGGGAGCCATGGCGTAGGTGTTCAGGATACCTGTGAGTTTGATCTCGAGTTGGACGGTGCCGTCCTGGTGGAAGATCCAGTAGACGCAGTACTCGTAGTTGGCGGCAGTGAAGATGTGGCTAATGATCAGTTTCCGGGCCCTTGTGACGATGGTGGACTGGAAATCGTCGCGGAAGTCGCTATGCTTGAACAGAATGCCTGCATCTTCTTCGTGGATGCAAATGGCGTTCTTGATGGTCATGGCCGCACCAGCTCTGTTGACGAACTCGGCGTCCATGTAGTGGATGCTGCCTTTGCAATCGCAACCCAGACTAAGTGGGTTGGTCATGTAACCGCCGCCGTACTCGCCGAGATCAAAAGCGTGCTTGCGTTGGTGAGGGTGTTCGGGGTTGCCATATGGGACAACCATCTCGGCAAGTGATAATCTGTAGAAGACGGGGCGCGCTTTGCCCTCGACTTTGTCAAAGTATGTGATGTTGTTGAGTACGATACCTTCTCTATAGTTGAATCCGACGTGAATGGACCAATTCTGCCACTCGATGATGCGGCCATTGATAGTGAAGCTGACGCCTTCTGGCTGAGTGATGTTGATGGGCTTGAGGTCGGTCCTGTAACCACCCAGCTCTTCAATGGACTTTACGTGATAGTTGTTGGGAGGCGCCTTGCTGAGAGGCCTGCGAACCTTGGGGACGTCGATATGGATGATTTGCCCCTTGTTGGAGTCGTAAATTGGGCAGAAATCGAGAGGATATGTGTATTGGGAATCATCAATATGAGGTCGGTAGTACATGAGTGCCTGTTGAAGTCTGACACCGTTGCCAAATCGTTCATCGTAACCAATGGTCCACGGGTCGCAGTAGACCTTGTGCATATCCTCGGGAGGAATTCCAAGAATACCACATTGCTCGATGACTCCGGGATCTTTGCGCATAACGGCTTCGACAGCATTCAGATCCTCGGTCGTAATCAGAGGCTGGGCATTAGGTGTATGCTCCCATTTGAGAACTTTCTGGTCCTCCAAATCGACATGGCCGTCGTAAATTTTGCCATCGGGCGTAATGACCACAATATCGGCGATGCGGCGGGGTTTAGGGGTGCCCTTTGGATCCGCCAACCACTTGAGCATCTGAGCTTTGGGCGGCTCAAGCAATGTGACGGCATTGTAGTATAGCTTGCCGTACTCCTTGCGTAGGAGCGAGGTCGCAGTCTCAATCTCCAGAGAAGAGAGAGGGTCGAACGGATGAGCGGGAGAGACAGCGTTGGACACTTGCTGTGCCAGCTGCTTTACTCGTTCGAGAACCATGTTTCACAGAGGCGGTGATGTACAGACTTACAAGGAGCTCAAATTGAAGGACAGGCCAAACATGCAATTGAGTTGGGCGATCGCCATTAATATATGCTGCGGGAGGGCAGGGCGTCCCCTCAGGATCAAAAAGGTAATCGTATGCCTCCCATGTCGGAAACACAGCAGACTGGACAATGTATGCCTCTTTCGCGGGCGATAACGAGATAAGGGTCCTTGAGGAGCGTCTTCCCACTCGCCGGCCCTCGTGGTTGACTTCCTCTTTATCGGGCACAGTCCAGGCCATGGCATATTTTGCTCTTTTGGGTTTAGTGTCTCTCCACGTCCTGGCTACGACGAAGCGTCCGAAGGCTCGTTGTCCGATGAAGCAGGTTACCGCGAGGTCCAGTCGATGATAATAGCGACTCCCTTTGTGAACGCTCAGATATGCTTCTCACCCTGTGGGTTAAAGTAGATTGTCGTTGACACGAAAAACATTTGGCATGCCTTGTATCCGTAGAGATTGTTTTTATCTATTTATGTTATTTCTCATAACCAGATGATTCCGGTCGGCCGGGATTCTTCCCCGGTGCGTCGGCAGAAGTGCGCGGGCTGCCTCTGCCTGACATATCAACGCCATATGCGCAGTCTGAAGTTCCAAAAGGATTCTGAGATGCAGGCTGATTAACTCGTGAGGTCGTACGCTGGTCTGACCCCAACCTCCTCCCATTCTTTGGTTGGCTTGCAATCTTCGTATGATCCTTCAGAGCTTCCAACCCTCGGCAATATCCTTTCTCTGGTTGTACCGTCCAGTATTTACAAGATAGACCTCTTATATGTACAATGTCCGTTGTGTGAGCATAGCAACGTCTTCCATTCTCGGTCCTCGGTAGGCCCACTCCAGCACTTGGTCGTGGTCGCGTATTGAGATTAATACTCGGGCTTTTGGCTCATGACTCAATGCTTCTCACCATGCGCTTCGGCATGTCCATGCGAGTCTTTCAGAAACAGCTGCTCGAAGATAACGTAACCGGTAAATGCGACGACGGCAATGCCAAATCCAGGGAACGCTCCCTTGAATCGATTCCAGCGGGTGAAAGGGCCCGTGTAACGCCACGCTTCACTGCAGAGTGTGAGTATGTAATTGCACTAGTGACGAGAGGTTCCATACTTCTTTGCCCAGGGATCCTTTGCACGCCATTGTGGGCTTGTGGCAGCATCTGTGAACGTCTTCATGTTGAAGCCGGTGGGATTGGTGGGAGGTGCCATTTTCGGTAGATGTTGGCGTCCTCGGCTGGCTGAATTGTAAGAGGAACACTACAGCTGTGCTAATTCTGCCGCAACAGATTTACCTCCTCACTGTAGTAAAGACGGACGTTGGCGCTGGAAAGTCTGGCTGCAGGAGATGTCTATTGTACCATCGCATGATGAGACGCATTTGGAGCTTGAATGCCAAGGCTGCATATCACCATCGGTCTCTATGAGTGACCGTACGAGAGCTCTGATCAATGGTTCACCGTAACCTCAGTCAATCTTCTTCAAGGATGGTCTGACAGGCATTAATCCTGGTGGATAATGAGTGAACAACCGTGTCAGACATGCACAATTTACTTAGAGAACGAGAGCCACTTGGGCATGTAACTTTATTACACTTGTCCCGCAAAGTCGTCTTCACAGTGTGTTATGACCTTTGCGACAGTTAACTTTTTCCATATTGAATCTACCATGGATTTGCGCAGGCTACCGTCTTAATGCTGAGGATTTATTGATTTGTTCGTACTCTTATGGGGACGACGTGAAACAATATATAACTCCCCCGATCGTCTTCTTCCACACGATGACCACGGATCTTTGTCTTCTCTCACGACAACCTCGCTGAACCACCATGGCCCCTCGGTATGGAAACCAACCGTATCACATCCAACAGAATCACCTCCAGTCGCACCAGCATGGCGCACTTCCTCCTCCGACCCATCTTGGGACACCCTCCTTCGGCGCAGCCGGTTCATCAAGCGCAAGCCCGTTCGCTTTAGCTGGGAATTTGAATAATGGCTTCGATCGCAACATGCTGGACGGAGGAGTCTTGCCTGGTCAGATGGGACAAATGGGCTTCCCCAGAGGAGGGCCTGTCCAAGCTCATCAAAACTATGATGGCCTAGGTGCTCCTCTAGAGAACAAGGACGACGCGCGAATTCGCAACGTCTGGAAGCACAACCTGAAAGAAGAAATGGCTACGCTCCGACAACTTGTCGACTCGTATCCGTATATTGCCATGGTGCGCATCATTCTCGGGAGAGATTCAAAGCTGGTACTGACACTTTATTGTAGGACACTGAATTCCCCGGCATCGTTGCGAGACCTATCGGCCAGTTCACTACCAAAGCAGACTACCACTATCAAACACTTCGCTGCAATGTAGATTTGTTGAAGATGATACAGCTCGGAATTACGCTATTCAAGCCCGACGGCAGTCTTCCACCTCCCGACGCAGTTGGAGCAACAAAATCACAGTTTCACGCGAGCCTTCTCCCTACACCTTGCACCTGGCAGTTCAACTTCAGATTCTCTTTGGAGACAGACATGTATGCTCGAGAGTCGACACAGATGCTTACAAAAGCTGGAATCGATTTCGACAAACATGCCAAACACGGAATAGAACCAGAAGATTTTGGGTCCCTCCTGATCAGCTCTGGTCTGGTGCTCGATCCTGACGTTCACTGGATTTCCTTTCACTCGGGCTACGACTTCGGTTACCTTATGAAGTTGATGATTTGCAAACCACTGCCTGAAGATGAGGCTCAGTTCCACAAGTATCTCGAGAAGTTCTTTCCGTCGCTTTTCGACATCAAATTCATGCTCAAGCATGCGGGGGTTAGAGGTCAGGTGAATAGCGGTCAACCGCTGACACAAGAAGCAGCCATGATGGTGCAACGGATCATGACCAAATCTGGACTACAAGACATTGCCGAGGAACTTGCAGTTGCGCGGATCGGCCAAGCACATCAGGCTGGTTCAGACTCCTTGCTTACTGGGCAGGTGTATTTCAAGATGAAGGAGAAGATCTTCAACGGAACCATCGAAGAAGACAAATACCGGCTCCAAGTTTGGGGCCTGAACGCCCAAATGCCCACAGGTGGACCGAGCGCTCCCAACATGAATGGTGCCACCTTCTACAACCACAACGGAACACCGTCGACTCCTCAGACAGGCAACATCGGTATGGCGGGTGCTTCACACACGCCAGTGCCTCACGGTATGATGGGAAGCATCACGCCCGGAGGTTTTGGAAATTTCTCATACTCAAAGACGATAAGTTAGGATCCTTTCACGGGCGATGAGCAGGAAATGGATCCGGTCCCGCATTATCGAGTTGCGGAGTTGGGGCGTGAGATAGACAGGGGGGTCATTCATAAGGAGATAGGCAAAAAGCAGGTTCCTCCAAAAGGTCGGAATAGGCGTTCGACCTGGCTTGGTCGTGGCCGCGGTCGTGGTCGTGGTTATGGTCGTGGTTATGCTCATGGAGCTTCAACCGATATTAGCTGCGGTGCTCGAGGCTCTCGGCCCAATGGACACTCGGTCTCTATCGCTGGTGGTCATGGACGTGGTCATGGTGTGTCTTCTTCATCAAATGGACATCGGCGTGAGTTTTCCAACGATGGCATGACGAAAGGAAGGAAGAATTCTTGACTTTCGTGAATGACAGCTCGAGGGCGCCGGGCGCGAGGCACAGGAGCACAGGCACTAGGAAAATGCGGCATCTGTGTATATGAATAGTCGAGTGTTTAGTATTGATTTACAGCGCTTCTTTTTAGTTGTCTTCTTTTTCAAATCGTATCAATTGAAAAAGCAAAAACCCCTCACTCGCGATGTCGGGGAGTTTCTTCAGCCCTCTAGTTGTTTTCCTAAGGAGTGCGTGCAACCTGGCATGCGACATTGAAATGGAGTTCACCGATCTTTCAACAATACACGAAACGTAGAGCAGAGGAGAGGATCATGCCTTGCAGCGATGGACATGATGGAGAAGACGTGTTTTGTATTTTCTCAACATAAACCAATCATGTTCGATGAGGATTAATTATTACACTATTAACATAAATATCCGCGGTGGTAGATATACAGATGTTGCCTCGGGCGGCCAACAATATACACATCGTCGACACACAAAAAAACGCTCCTAAATATCGAATCATCAAAGTGCCACCCTCACCCCCGCCATTTTGTCGTTCGCTATGCTCGCTCACAATGCATCAGCTACATGCATGCCATTGTCGTTCCGTGTCCTCTCTCCCTCTTGTACATTTTCGCTCGTGGTGATCGTACAATATAATACACACTGGGCTGATTTGATCCTTCAACTCTGTCTCCTCCGTGACGGGCATGGCTCAACGCCAAAAACATGAACATGAGATGGGAAGACGGCAGCTCCCCGGACAGAGCATTTACCGTCCGAAGATCATTCCGGGGTGCCAACTCGTCCTGCGTGCTTGTCCTTGTTCCGAAGAGCCGGCGCTGCTCCGTCTGTGCTCGTCGACGGCTTGCTCGGCGCCCGGCTGGGCCTTGTGGGACAGCGGGATGTCGTAGATCCTAGGCGGCGCCGCGGGCTCGTCCGTTGGCAGGAGGAAGTCGGGGATGTACTTTTTGAATTGCATTTTTTTTATTTAATTGGGGTTTTGATGTTTGTGTTGTCGTAGGTCTCTCGAGGCTGAAACGGTTCTCGTTCCCTGAAAGTGTTTGTTGTCACGAAGCGGTAGAACGTAGAGTGTGGAGATTTATTGGTGGTTGGACAGGTGTGGTGGTGGTGACGTTTTGGGGGAGAGACTCTCTCGAATTGAGACAATGCCCAGTGGAAATCTTTGTCGTTTGTATGTATGGTGGAAGAGAACAGCGACAAGCGAGTGCAACTTCGGGGGTCATATATATACCTACACGTAAGGTACCTGGGCAGGTACCTGGTATACTTTTTACCATGTCACGAGGGAGGACCAAAGTGCATCGAGGGATCCGATGCCCCAAAAGAGTCTGTCCACAAGAGAGACAAATGTCAAAGTAGAGTTGGCGTCATCTCCGGCACGCGCCCTGCGTTGCGTGGTCGTACGAGAAAGCGAGAAAAAACGAAATGCGAAATATCACTCACTCACTCACCTTCGCAGCGCATTGCACATCGCGCACAGGGCGCGGATGGCGCCATGGATGGTCAGGCAGGCCGAATGGGTTTTCCAAATTGGCTTTTTCTCCCACTAAGCCACCCAAGAATAGAATCGACGGCGGACTTTGGCGTAGAGTCTAACGATGAGCCAGATGTTTTTCCTTGGGTGGCTTGAAACATCGATCATTCCAGCAGAGATGGAAACGAAGATCGCTGACAAAAACGAGAGTTTGAAGAAAAGCGTGAGTGACTTTCGTACAACTAACAATATTGACTACTACGAGTGGCCGGAAGGGATGGAATTCTTGCGGCAAATATGACGTCAACAACGCGCAGCCTTGCTCAGCCTTGCCGTACCTGATGATGGGGTCCTTGTTCCACGGATGTAGCCCTGTACCGACCAACCTCCTACTCATACTTCGAGCGACATTGTACATTGTGAATTTCACTTTATTATGTGACGTCTATTTGGATAGGGCCGTACTGTCCACTGAGGGACGTCCTGCATCTAGTCTACTACCACCAGTGTCAAACGCTATGTTCGGGATACCATGGTCGTCCAGTACGCCTGGCAGATATCCTCCCGCGATGTAGTGTTGTTATAGACATTGTACGAGTCCTGCGGACCAAGGAGTGATATTTCCTTGGTGCACGAGGAGTTGCAACTTCGATAATTCCGGCTTCGCAGTCAATGATGATAGGGCCGCCTTCCTAGGGTTGCCTCGTGTCGAGGAACGACTCGAGCAATCTTTTCTTGCGAGCGTCCAAGGCCTTTTTGTCCTTTCCCTTGAGTTTGTCGTCGTTTTCCGAGCGAATGACGATGGGTGCGAATATATCGGCAAATGAACCAATCAGCTTCCTTCGTCGCTCAGGCTCTGCGGTGTCTTGCTCTGTTCCAGTGGCCGAGACCGAGGAGATACTCTGGGCCCGTCTACGGCGGAGTGCAGAAAACAACCCTTTCTTGCCCGGTGCTTCCTCAGAGTATATCGAGGGTTCTGTGCCCGACTCAGAAGACACGGTTGATGCCCGTGAGCGTCTTGAAGGATCAGGAGAGGCCGGATGTGCGATTGGATCAGCGACTGGGGCACCGCAGGGTACAAGCTCACTGATCAGTCGGGTCAATAAGAAGGTAACGAAGGTGAAGGACACGCTGTGGATGGGATGATGCAACAAAGGATCCATGACCGTATCTTGGAGTTCTTCTGGGGGAGGCTCGACCTTTCCTTTTTTCATGGTCGACAGGCGACTTTCCACCTCGGACCACACCTCTGCAGGAATGATGCCGTCCTGTAAGGATGCGAGAAACGACACCAAGACCTCAGCCAAAACTTCGAGTCTGACGATACATGGCAGATCGGAATTGAGACAAGCATCGAGAGGACTTGCGGTGTCGAGCGCCTCGCGGACAGCTGCTAGCATGTCTGATCGTTCATCACCTTCGTGGAAGGTCCATGTTTCCTTGTGGAACGGCCAGTATATGCCTACATTCTCGTATTGCCAAGGTGGAGTGTCCCCGTCATGGAGCATCCCCCATTCTGCGACCGAGCGTTCGACATATACTGGGATGATCTCAGTAAGAACATATAGCTCCTTCGGGGCAGAATGCTGACTGGCGAAAGCTTGATCATTATGTCCAGAATATGTTCGCAGCGGCAGTTTACGAGCGCCACCCTCGGGCGCCTGTACCAACTCGCCAAGATAACGAAAGTAGACAGACGGCAGCCAGTTACCTTTTACAGGCACGAAATGATCCCGTCCATTTTCAATTCTAAGCACCAATACGTCTTCGAGTGCTTCCTGTCCCCAGTTCAGCGCTTTCACTAACTCGCCTTCAGTGATGTTGACCAGCAATTCGACGGTCGTGGTTTCACCGGGGAGTAGGCTCATTGATCCTCTTGGGTCAGGGGGCCCCTTAACTGGCTGTTGCATTATTTCAGGGTCGGCCCTCACTGCCAGCCATCGCGGTGCGATGGAGGTCTCCTTTCCTGAACCCGTAGGCCGCTCGGCAAAAGAGAAGGATGCTGTGATCTGTCCAGTGTTTGCAATAGTGATTACCCTTCTCTTTCTCACAGCATACCGGACATCATCAAAGCTTACGGCATTCAGGTCTGCCGAACCGTCAGCATTCGATGTTTGTCCATCGGAGTGGTGGTCAACTACCACTGTCAACGCCGGGCGGCCTTCATTTTCGGCTTTGTCAAACTCTCGAGCCACTTCTTGATATACCTTAGCTTTTAGCTCAGGTATGACTGCATCGTAAGTCACTGTGAAGACAGCTCCCAGTGGCTTGTGATCTGAAGATAATACCCGTTGGTGCGAGACGTAGCTGTTGAGCTCAATCATGTCGCCATAGTCTTCATGCGTACGTACCAATTCGGCATCATTGCATTCATCGTCACGTTCGTCGTATTCGTCATAATCGTCGCCGTAGGCCATACCGTCGGTATCTGGATCATAGTCAAACAAGACGTCCTGCTCAGCATTGGCTTGGTCGATGCCTCGAGCTTTCATGGATTCGTCTTTCTTGCGAGCTTCTTCGAGCTGTTTAGCCTTCTCCTCGTACAGCTCTTTGTCGTGACGAGTGCGATACAGAATACGGTCGCACCAGCTGGGGCTTCTCTTCTTTTCTCCCGAATCAAACATGCCCACGCTGCCCACGTCGTATTTGTAGGTTGGCAGAAAGTTAATTTCGCCTTCCCGCCAGCCTTCGTGAAAGGCTTTCCGAAGTTTCTGTTGAAGCCTAAGCTGGTCATGTGCCAACAGCGACTGGATGGTGACATGAAGTGAGGCCGGGTCGGATTTGGGATCGAGTGGAGGATCGGCGTCACTCGCTGATGCAGGTCTCTCAGCATCAGTTATCTCGTAGTGGGTAGACGGCTGAGTCGGCTCGTCGCCTGAAGGAGGTTTGACGTAGCCTAACTCGCTGTCTATCCGTCGCTTGGACTCATTCTGCAGATCATACTCGTTTCGAGTGTGTAGTAATAACAACCTCCGGACGTCTTCCCCTGGAATGTCATCTAGACGATAGTTCAAATCACCGAACCAGAACGCGAGATCCTCGTCGCCAATTTTTTCCTCTCCTCCCTCAGAGCCCTCTCCCTCTATGTTGACGGGTGTAAATCGAGTGCGATTGAGAATCTGAGTCGTGTCCCATAACCGGCGGTTCAAGGCGGTCTGATCTGCTCCAGCAGCAAGATGGCAGTTGACAAAGCATAGCCGCGTCGCCTCAGCCACCACGAGCCTAGCCGAGACTGCACCTTTATTACCGAGATAACCCATCAGCCCAGTTCCGACCGACGTTGTGCTCACTGAGCCGAGAGATTCGGCTAATTCGGGCGAGGCGTAGATCAGGAGAAGTAGCCCAAGAAGCTGCTCCTCTGCCACTTTTTTATAACCACGAGGAAGAGCTCGTTTCAAGGCTCGTTTCCACTTTTTGCCAGGATTGGGATCAGTGTAGGGCCGAATTGCTTCGGCCATAGAAGATAAATCAAGGACCTCCTGTAGGCCCAGAACGTATAGGTCAATCTGATCATCGTGGGACTCGCCTGGCACATCATTTTTCGGCAGTGTAGTCTTCTTTTTCGTCGTCCTTACGCGAGCTTCCTGAGATTCGATTGACTCGATTTGCTCGTCACTGTCAGAATCATCGTCGTCGTCATGATCACCATGAAGGGATTCGCCGGACAAATCTTGGGAGAGACCCCTCACTCCATGACCCCCGACAAACCAGGCGCCTAGGTCCTTCTCCGTACCACTAATCGACGCGACGTTCCAACTACCAATCTTGATTTTCATCGACCTCTTGCGTACATACTCACTCTTCCGGGCCCTAACAGCAGCAGATAACGACTGAGGTAATGTGGTCTGAGAATCTCCAGAGGTTGGCGACGGCGGATAAGCTCCCGGTGGCGGGCCAGGCTTCGGCGGCTTTAGACCCCAAGGATCCGAGGACCTCCATGGTTCTGGGGAGAGTCGGCTGCCATCAGACCTGTCGGCTTTCAAGGACATTGCTTCCTCGCAAAGGATTGTCCCTGGAGATGGTGTGTCCTGCAGTCCAATACCGCCTTGTGCGCTAGCTCATGGCCGCCGAGGGTGATCGTCTGGTGGCGGCAGCTTAGCACTGCATGAAGCTGTACAGAAGAAACACGAAGCCACCATACATGATGGAAGGAATATCGGAGGAGATGTCTGTTGTTTGATTTACTTTTTACCTTGTCAATGATGCATGGTCGCGTGGACTGAATTTGGTTAATGACATGTTGGGCGGATGGAGATTTGGATCCGTGCACAGCCACCACCATCATGAGCGCGCGTCACGCTGACTCGTCCCTCGAGATCTGGATCAGCAGGCTGTATGTTCAGTGGGGAGTAGTACGTTAACTAGAATACCCTCGCTTTGTGTTGTATGATCAACATACATGGGCTTGCTAGTTTGTCCATGTTTCCGCCTATTGAGCCTATTCCGTCCCTGAGAGTCGAGCAGATTCTAAGCGAGCCTCTCTAGGCACCCGGCGGCCTCGCTCGGCGTCCTTAGTCAGGTAGCCTCATTAGCCTGGGCCAGCCTACGCAGGGATTCCCAAGGCGCCCGTGCCACTATCCTAGGTACGTAGGTGGGCACCTAACTCTAGGTGGTTAACTAAGTTAACTAATACCTTATAAGTCACTTGTGGTTACTATTAGGCCGCCTTTGATCATTGTTTGACAAACAAAATGAAACGAGATAGGCCCGCGCCTTTGCGTCACTGGCTCTTCGGTCTAAACATCGAGACAACAAACATCATGAGCTTTTGACAATCGCATCCATCGACGTCCCCGGTCTTTCGGTCTTTATTGTGGTATCCTGCCTGGGATTACCGTCGCCGCTTACTTTCTCACTGCACGCCATGTCCCTGTTCCGGTGACACACCTTCATTCCAAGATGAATACACGGCCCATCATCGACGAGTCCTCTGGGCCCATTGCTCTGTCTGCCGCCTTCAACAATGATGCGAGTTGTTTCGCCGTTGGTCTTGACACTGGTTTTTGTGGTGTGTATGATCCGACAGATCTAGTGGTACGCATGCTGACCTTACTCAGTATTCAATTCCGATCCATGCGAGTTGAAAGCCTCCAGAGGTACAATCCCCTGGCACACGTTCATTCTGCGACTAAGCTGGAACAGACCTCAATGCCGGGATTGGCACAGCGGAAATGCTGGGACGGTACAACTATCTGGCGCTCGTAGGAGGTGGAAAGAACCCCAGATGGCCACAAACAAAAGTATGCTGTGGTGCAGTCAGGACGATATGATGCAGACGGGACGTTGCGCTGATATACCCCCCTAGGTCATGATATGGGACGATGCGAAACAGAAGGTTGCAGTTACACTTGAATTGAAAACTGCGGTCCTCCGTGTCCGACTAACGAAGTCCTGGATTGCCATTGCGATCCAAAACAGCATACATCTGTACAAGTTCTCCTCACCCCCCGAACGAACAGCAATCTTTGAAACTGCAGACAACCCTCTCGGACTATGCTGTCTAGGTGCGAGCTTGGTGGCATTTCCAGGTCGTTCGCCGGGCAAAGTACAGTTAGTCGAGCTCGTATCAGGCAATGTCAGTATCATCCCGGCGCATACCTCAGCGTTACGAGCCATGGACTTGAGTGCAGATGGAAAAGTCCTTGCAACGGCCAGCGAGCAGGGAACATTGATCCGCGTGTTCTCTACGTCAAACTGTACCAAGATTGCCGAACTACGAAGGGGCGTGGATCCTGCTTATATCTTCAGTATTGCGATTTCTCCAAACTCCACCATGCTTGCAGTCACCTCCGACAAGTCGACTCTGCATGTGTTTGATCTCCCTGTGTCCTCCATTCCACAGCCCGCCAGCCCCAGAAGCCCGCGGCGGTCACAATCGCCGCATGTTCCCGGTGATGAGGACACTGCGACCAACCAGAAATGGGGGTTCTTGTCCAAGATCCCATTACTTCCACGTGTTTTCTCCGACATCTACTCATTTGCATCCACGCATTTCGAAATGGGCGATGAGAACGTAGGGATTAACGGGTCAACCTTGTCTTACCTTCCTGCTCTGGGATCGTTACCCCATCGCCCACAGAAAGGCATTTTGGGATGGATTGATAATGCCACCATGATTTGTATCGGCACTGGCAGAGATGCCCGATGGGAGCGTTTCAGAGTGGGAGAGCGCCCTGGGATTGCAGACGAAGGCCAAAGATCAGTCTGGAGAGATGGATGGAGGAAATATCTCGGCAGCTGAAATACTGGCTGGCCAACCTGAGAAAGACATTGAGCTGACCGCGAATCCCAAAGACATCCCTACCGGGTCCCTAGTCACCACTCGGGCAGAATTTTGTCGCCGAACCTTGGGAACTTACTGCTGTTAAGCAGGGCAGTGATGGTCTCTGTGGAGGGTGATTTTGTCCGATTCCAATTGGAAATGGTGAAAGCTTGCCAGAGGCGATTGCAAATCTTCGGTATGCAGTACGCAGGCTGCACTTGGAATCGCTAGTTTCGCACACAAGAACGGCAACAGGATCTCCCAACGACCGAAGCTCCTTTTCCGCCAGAAAAAATATGGCATTTGCGTTAGACCTTTTCATCGGTAACGACGAGCTCGTCCTTCTGTTGAGATGAAGAGAGTATTGGAAAATCTAGACGAAGTGCTTGGGTTGAGAATAGGTGGCCTAGGCAGGCTTGAACAACGGCGAGGATGATTTTCAAGATCATAAAAGAGATATTGTGCTAAATGAGAAAGACGAGAAAGCCAACTGAACCCTAGTGTTTGAGGGTTTGCTACGGAAAATCCCGGCATTTCTATTGCGATTCTGCTGCAACTGGACTGATCAATCATCAACAATATGAGAACTTGACAATCTCTACCTCCCACGTCTCGTGTTTTGAGTTACAGGCCTTGTTAGAAGAGCGATGGCATCGTACGAATAAATGGGTACATGCTGCTGAGAGTCTGTCGGGGTTTTGGGGCTCCGGCGTTTGGTTTCTCGAGTCACTGACGTGCTGTCAACATGTTCGCTCGCATCGACATTCTATCTCACCCATTAGCCAAAGAGTGTGGAATCGATATGCGGCGCTTGGTATCAAGGTACGTCAATACATCTCCAGTGATTGTGTTTCAGGTGTCATAATACCCTCAGATGCACTGTCTAGATATCAGACGATGACTTGTCTCGCTATGGAATTGCAGGGAGATATCCTTGCATTGCCATCCGACTTCCTCGCGTTCGACATAGGTAAGTGTCTCACCACGGGTCTTCTCCTGCTGCCAGGATAGTCCTGTCCTGTCACAAAGAAGGAGCACGCATTGCGTACAAACTCGTCTACCCCTCGCCACCAAGCGCGAGGCGATCAACCGCAATCTTGGCGTCTGCATCACACAATCACAACCACCAAGTCGCTTCTCGAGCAGCCCCGCTGTCCGTTCATTCGGAGGGACATCGATTGCAATGTTCAATCCATCAGGCCGACGCGTCGAGTCGTCGACCAAGTTTCCCAAGAACGACGGTTCGACCTCTCTTAGCCTTGGTTTTCATCAAAGAGGATTACTTGCTCTTACTCATACTCCAAAATCCTGTTGCATACGCTCACAGGCTCCTGGGTCAACTACACGCTGTCTTGGCTCGTGCTCAACAAGCATTACAACTGGCGCCAGTACTCGCACACGTACACAAGGTTGGGCAGCAATACATCGACGACACAGTTACACAGGGGCAAACTATAGGGGGCCTGTAGGGAGTCAAGATCAACATTTACAAGAACACCTCTCATCAAGGATAGAGCCCATGTTTCAAAGGAGTGACTTGACTATTCAACTAACTAACTAGCTCATCTAGAGCCCCCGCCAGCATCACAGAGCACAGCAGCAGGGCAAGCGATTAACATCGTCGTCCACATCACCTGGTATGAAGCCGACAAGAGCTCCCAATGGATCGTGACACTATCTTTGCATCTGGCCATCCATCCGATACGCTGTCCTGGGACGGCCCTATGCATACCGAAGAACGTCCATGGTCATGGCCACCCTGGTAGGTGTGTGAGGGAGGTTGTCGGCGTCGTCATTTAATGCTTCAACAAGGCATGAACGTCAGCGAGATATGCAACACACGAACATGAGACAATGATACGGCACCAAGAAGAGAGAACCAGGGGCAACACATACGGAGCAGCAAGAACATCCATTGCATCCGGAGGTCTCGTGGCCACAGGTGCTGCAGTGAGGATCCATTGTTCTATGAAGGTTTGGGTTATGGTCTGGGTCAAAGTATGACTTTGTCTTTGGGCTGTGTCTGTGTTTTCTTGTTCGATATCGTCGTGTCTAGATTCAATATCAAGATGTCCGTGAGAGAGACGGGAAGAGAAGAAGAGGAAGAAGAAGAAGATTACATCCTCACCCCGGATGTCCGAGTTTATATACCCTTTTCCACATTGCTTGGTGTTCGTCGTCTGATCCAAAGTTGCATGCCGATGCAGGACTCCGACCCGGTCGTGGTCTTCCTCGACCCACGCTCCTGCACAGCGGTGGGATTATGGACGGTCATGCCGTGGGATGTACGAGTAGAGAGAGAGAGCCACAGACCATTGCATTACATCGAGGTAATTGATTGAGCTGCACCTGACCTGTCCGTACCAGGGCAACGGGGAGATTTCCTCCCACGCTTTCGAGGGCTCGCTCCCTCGTTCCGAGTGCGAGACGAGTGCCCACTACCCCCCCCGTCTTGAAGCCTGTAGGCTGTGATAACACGTCCCAACGCTGCACGGTACCGACTCCCTCCTCTTCTCTCGAGCCAATCACCCGCCCCCATGGGTCGGGATTGACAGCAATCCCGCAAACCATTGCCCACGCGTGCGTGCCCGAGGCTGTTCGATTGGGGGCGGCCCCCTCTGGAGAGAGTTTCGCACACCTGTGACCAGTTTCGACGATCCGTGCCGTAATGGGCGTACATGTGCTGGCATTGCTGCGGGCGTTCTTGTGCCACCCACCCCCCAAAAATAATGTTGACTTTTCTCGACGGTCCAGAGGGAACTTCCACGTTAGAGAAAGCAGAGCAAGAAAGAAGACTTGCTCACTTGCTCTTTGATACACTCCAGGTCCCCCCCCGCCCGGTCGCGAGTTGCAGGCCAAGCGCCGTGGTGGATAAAGCAATACAGCAACTAGTGATTCCAGGTGAGGCAGTCAGTCCATGACACGTCCTACCACCTCACGTGAACTCCTTTTGGGACAATCCATGTGCTTTTTGGTCTTCTTTTTCATTTTCGTTCCCGCGCTCTTGGAATTGATACCTGCGGTACAGCGTCGTCTCGGACGTCTCAGCGGCTTCCTCCACTGCCGCGATCCTCGTGGGAAGCTTTTGCAACCGGACCCTCCCCCCCCCCCCCCCCGTGGATGCTGTCTCCGAGTTTTTTGACATCATCTCGATCATGGGGATAGGTACAGGCAGGAAGGATGATGATCGACTTTCTCTCGTTCGGACGCTCAGCCCAACGATCGATCGCCACTTGTTGGTGACGAGGAGAAACGAAAAAAAAAAAAAAAAAAAAAAAAGGGCCACGAAGCCACTCAGCTTGATATCCAGACATTGTTTCAAAGTTGGACCCCGGCTCGTAAGCGTACGATTGATTATTACCTTTGTTCACCTCTCTTTTCAGTCGTGGGGGTCTTCTGGTTCATTCCTTACATATTGAACCTCCAGAGGGTCCAAGCGACAAAAATCCCCCTTTTCCGTTCCCGGCAGACGACCCGTCACTCGTTCTTCTGTACAGGACCTATCCTCTACAAACCCTTGCGGAGGTCTCTCTACTTTACATAGCCATGTAGCCTCATACCAGCCCAATCGTCAAAGCGAGTCAAGGCGTTGAGCTTTTACCTGAGATGCCTCACTGGCCTTTCTACCAGGACGCGATCACATTTGAAGGGTCCTGTCATTTCTCTGAAGCTGAATTGAAAAGAAAAGTCTAAAGCCTAAGCCGCCATCCATAGGTCCTAGACTAGAGATCTAGTTTCCAGCATTCCTCGTCCAACTTGCAATAGAAACAATTGTTGTCGGGAGCACTGAACATAATTTCCCGTGGTCTCATATCCTTCTTGAGCTCGTATGAAGAGCTCAAGTTCGTTCCCACCTACACAACCTTCCAACGGGGTCATTTAGCTGCAATTGCTCCTCGTTCAGCACCTCCGCGCCATAAAGCAAAAGGAATAAACGTTCAAAATCTGCCGCCATCAAGCCTGGGCTTGGGTCCAGAAATCAAGGCTGGCAATCACATCCTCACCGCTCTCATCTTCGTAAGCATACAGAATCTGTACAGTCTTAGCACATGCATCACATCAAGCACAGTTCAATCACCTACCTCGCGCGTACTGGAATGAAGCATCCTTACGTTCTTGCCGGTCATGACATGGATCAACTCGCTAGTTTCGATATGTCTGATCTCGATGAAACTCGGCTCGAACGCCAGAATGTAGGGGTAGTTTAGAGCAAATGCCTGTGGTGTTCCTTCCCACGTTATCTTCCAATCTTGTCGAGCTCGCCACCCATTCCTATTGACGAAAAAACTGAAGTCGGAATAATTGAGCAGGAACTCGCCGTTGAGCCGTTCGATATGGATCGGCTTGACATTTTCTTTCCTCGTGACGAAGTCAAGGGACGTGTCAGCTTGGTCGAGAAGTGATTGCCGCTCTGTGGTTTCCAAAGACACAACTTCGAAACCCCTGGCACACCCAACACAGAGCGTTGATCTCAGGTAGTGCACAGACGTGGACTCGGCAGGAATATAAAATTCCTTGCTTATGTTAGCAAGAGTTGCTTCTGAATTCGGGGGAAACCTTACCTTGAATGGCTTCAAAGCATCTTGGCCGCTCGCAAACATCTTACTAATAGCGGGCTTCTTCTTGCCTTTTGTTAGGTCATCCATCGGCTCGTACACTTTGATTGTCGTTGACAGAGCCGATGTCTTGACAGAGCAAACCAAATGCCTACCTAATCCAATTCCAGCCTTGAAGAAGTTGGCATGGCCCTGGATCTTTCGAGGTCGTGTGGCCAGAGGGTTCTGGTTATTTGCATCGAGTGCTTCGAACGGATAAGAGGTAAGTGTTTTGTTCGAAAGAACCAAAAGGAGTCTATACTCCTCCAGAGTATCAATTTGAGACACCTGAGTCGCATCAAGGATTCGTCTTGGTTTGATCGACTTATCTTTGGTGAATCGATCGGCAATGTAGATCCCATTGTCAGTACCAATAATGAGTTTTCTCCCACCATCAGTTGGCACAAGGCAATTGACACGGTTTTGGGCGTTAAAGAATCCTTCACAGAGAATTGTCTTCGTATAAAAATCGCTGCTGCGCTCTCGAAGTTTGCTCTGCTGCGCTTCCACCAGTTCAATGAACTTCTTACGTTGTGTAATGGAAGTGGCGTAGAGTTGGAGCTCGTAAGCGCCTTTGCCGAGATGGCGGAAGGTGACGGGATACACTTCCTTCTGGCCAGGGGTGCTCGATGCCGACGATTTCGCACCCGGTATGAGACTTGAGGAAGGACGTTTTGCGATGCCCAATCGAGGAATAACCTGATCCATTTCGGCAATAACCAAAAGTTCCAGGGGGATTGGTTTTCGATAGACCCTCAATTCTTCTCTCTTGTTCACCGTCTTGACCCTGCACATCAAGACGGCGTGGTCAAACAAGTAGACTTGCACCTCCGCAGTATCGGTTGGGGACTTTTTGAAACCCATTTTGGTCAAGATGACACGATTTTCCTCGGTGAGCTTCAGGTCTGTATACTCTCCTGGATTCCACTTGAGCGACTGATTTAATTGCAGCAGGTTAAAATGATTTTCAGCCTTGCCGCTCTCAGCGTTGACCCGAGCGAGGAAGTCTTTGATAATCCCGATAGCCCTGGGGATGTCCTTCTTATCAGGGTTGTCGTCCTTGGTATATTTCAGTACATTGTCAAGTAGAAGTGGATACCGAGCTAACCGAGTCGTCGGTTTCGTGAGATACCCATTAAGCTCTAGCTTCCTCGACTCTTTGAGTCTTTCAGTCTCGTCGACGAAACGTGAAAAGGCCGGATTTGCCCCCTTCTCTTTCTCGAACTCATACTTGCCGTACATTTGATTGGCGCCATACTTGATGAATGGGTCGAATTGGGGAACCCATTTCAAGAAAACATCACCGATGCATTGGACCACATGCTGCTCCTTTTGTCTTTTCGACAATTCATCTGCGAATTTGCCGTTGACTGCTAGGACTTCGAGACAATTGCCGAAGACGGTGCGCACAAACTTTTCTCGCTTTTCTTCCTTGATTGGAGACACCACATTCCCCAAGCCGCGCAAGGGTCTTATCCAAAAGTCGCGTAGGTATTCCAGGTCCTTGACAAAGTCGCGCTCTGTGTACATGATTTCAGATATGACTTCCTGTCTCTTTTTCTCTCGATCATCAATTCTGTCGGCAACTTCTTTCGGCACGCTGTTGATCCAGAGTTTCTGTTCCTGGTCATCATTGTCGTGAAGACTGCCTCTTGAATTTGAGTGCCTCAGACCTGGCTGTGGTTTCAGATTGAGTCTCGCCTGCTGTTCTAATCTGCGAGGACATGCGATAGAGTAGCAGAGATTTTCTCTTGTGCAAGTTGGAGAATAGCATTCTGTGAGTAAAGTGAAAACTCCATTGACATCCTTCGATGATGCCTCCTCTCCCAGGGTTTCTTTGAATTGGTACACCTCTCCAGGCGCATCTCTTAGACGATGTTCATAGGTGACATCGTGGAAAAATTTCTGCGCGTCCAAGGCACGACCCAGAAGCAGAGCCAGATTGCGATCGGTTGTTTTTATGATATAGGCAATCAAGTCAACTGCTTCCGCACCTGTAAAGGCATTTTTGTAAGATAGATCGTTCTTCTCTCTATCGCCCACACCAATACGTTCCTGAAAAGCACTGGCTACACGCGAGAGGAGAGCGGGATATACCAACGGCGACTTTCTCTGAACAACAGTGCTTGTCGTGCTTTGACTCGAAGAATGGCTGGAATTTGGGGGTCGTTGCTTCATACTATCACTGCGTGACCCATTCATTGTAGTTCCCGTCAAATCAGAAGAACCAGAGGCGATAGAAGCCGATGACACAGTCCGTGGAGGGGCACTGCTCTCACTAGGACGGCGTGCACGGTGTGTTGGCGCGTATGCCGGTGAGCTTGTTGGATTTAAGGACCCGTCTAGAGATACCTGGTCTGCAAAGGGATCACCTTCGGACTCTCGGCGCCTCCCAGGAACAACCCTTCCACTAGTCAACTGTTGTGTATGATCACGATCAAACGAATATGAACCCATGGACATTGCGCGATCGTCAGGACGTTCAGGTATGTGCCGGCCTTGCGCAGTCGTTCTAGATGGGCCCATCCCGGTATATGGCTGCTGTCGGAAGGCACTCGCCGTACCTTGCTGGAAACTATTCGGTGGAGGTCGGTACCCAATAGTAGGCTCACCTGGTCTCACCATAGAGCGTGATCTGTATGAGTCGTTGTTCAGTGCTGGAGGCGGCATCCTGTTGGGGAGAGGCCTGCGCTCGTATGGATTGGGTATCATGTGTGGCCCTCCTGGACGTGGATCCATGCGTTGAGGAGGGGGGTATGGTCTCCGATCTGGAAACATTGGAGCAGGATTTTGCGGAGGTCTTGGATGACCCGTCCCGTTCATGTAAGGCTGGGCTGGGACTGAGCCGTTTGCACGGTCGTAATTCTGTGGAGTATGCCGCACGGGAGGAGGCGGCCCCTGTCGCATAGACATTGTGTGCTGGGATGGCTGCATACCCATGCTCAAGCTGTTGGATCGATCGTACATCATCCCTGAAGACTGGGTCGTCATTGTTTGTGATCTTCCCGGGGGAGGCGCTCCGCCAAAGATGTTGTGGAAAGCGGCATCTCTCTGACGGTCGGCGGGGCCACTCCCATAGTTGGGGCTTCTCGAAGCATGGTAGCGCGACTCGGGACTACCATAGTCTGCCATGCTCAGCGAAGAGATAGCAGATGGAGGACAGCCTTAGAAGAGGAATGAATGTCACCGAAGGTGCATCGAGCGCGATGAGATGGAGTTCGCCAGGGGTGTGTTGGGAGGCTGTGGTGTGTTTTCTTCTCTAACCCCCTTCCCTGTTTCTGCTCGTCCTCGTGCAATATTTCTTGCCTCAAAGCTATCGCGTGTAAAGGCCGCCACCGGGCGGGAGTTAATCGTAGGATAGAGGAATGAACAAGTAAATGTGGTGGTTAATACTAAGATTGAGAGGTGTGTCGTGGACGGCGTTGTTGTAGGTGGACGGAGTTTCATGTGATGTTGCACAAATTCATGCTCCGCCCATGCCAGCAGGAACAGAGCGAAGAAAATGAGAAATATGGTCTGAGGATGTGAAGATAACTTACGAATGAATGGGATATAGCCGTCGTGCTCGCAGTTGTGATTCTAAGTTGGAATAACGAGGATCGGCCGGCCGACACAGACACGAGCCTGCGCTTCAATCTTATTGGCTCCTTCCCCAAAGCTTTGGCTGCGACTGACGATCTTGAGAGCGCAGGCATATCTCTACACATTTACAACACCTCGACTGACGTTGTCGCACATCTCGTTGGATCCTGCCTTCCTACACTCGTCTCCCTGATCACCCATCTGAATCATCGAAGAGCACCCTTGAAACCCAGGCAAAATGGCTGGCATCATGGAGACACCAGGTAACGAATATACACCTAGCTTCGCACCTTTTTTTGGAATGGCAAGTTATGACCCTGAGCTTCTGACTGTGAGGAGGAGCTGACCATTTAACAGGCCGGCATTGCGTCTGCAGTATGTTTCTCCGTCTTTTCTACTTGATATCTTTACTAACGCCAAACGCGTTGAAGATGATATTTGGATGTACGATCTATGCCCGCGAAGCCCAATGATGATTCCAATACTAAAAAATCACAGGTTTGGGAGCAGCGTATGGGACGGCAAAAGCAGGAATTGGCATTGCTGGCGTCGGACAATATCGTCCTGATCTAGTTATGAAGGTATGACATGCGTTGCAATTCCTTTTCCAGCACAAAGTTGACAAGGCGGTAGTCGTTGATTCCGGTGGTTATGTCTGGAATCATCGCGGTCTATGCTCTTGTAATAGCCGTCTTGATCGCTGGAGACATGGAACCTCCCCCAGCGAAGCACTACAGCCTCTTTACCGGCTTCCTGCATCTGGCCAGTGGTCTCAGCGTAGGGTTGGCAGGGTTGGCCGCTGGCTACGCCATCGGCATTGTGGGCGACATGGGTGTGCGAGCTTATATGCAGCAATCCCGGATTTTCGTGGGTATGGTGCTCATTCTGATTTTTGGCGAGGTGCTGGGACTTTACGGTTTGATTGTCGGCTTGCTCCTGAACTCGAAGAGTTAAGCTACGATATTGGGGGGTTCCATGAGCCTGGTAAACCTCGCACGAATTATAACACGGTGTTTGTGCTTACGCGGAGATAATAAGTCGTCGACGATCATGTATTAGCAATATCACATGCATGGAATTGAGCATCGCTACACGCTATGACGTTCAGCAGGACCCAAGGAGGGGACCAACATAGATTTATGACAGGAAAATCGCGAGATTACCACCAATATTCTCGAGATCGAGAAGGAAAGTGTCGTGACCAAACAGACTGAGGTCTTCTCCGAGCTCAACATGGGTCACTTGGTGATTTCCCGTGGCACGCAAAGTTTCGGCGATCTCACGTTGCTGCCAGGCCGGAAAGAGGATATCGCTGGCTACTCCCATCACAAGCACAGGATGAGACCGTAAAGAAGCCATACCCCTGACCAGGTCTTGAGGTGGGTTGGTACTAGCTGAACCAGTCGCCTCATCCATGGGAGCCGTTGATTCTTGCTCTTCGTAGTTTTTGGATGGTAGGGTAAGGCTACAGGATAGATCGTTCCGAATCGGCGTGTCGGGGTGTTCCTTCAACTTTTCCAGGTTCTCCTGGCGGCGTAGCTTGGTCTGCTCTTGATGGGCAAATCCGAGGTCAAAAAGATCCATGGCTTTGGACACATATAACAGTGAGTTGGGGTCGTACTCCAGCGAAAACTTCTCGCCTGCATGATCAAGGTATGTTTCGATAAGGAAATCCGGACACAATGCAGGCTGCTTGCTAGGGTCTGCTCGTCGACGTCCAAATCTGTTCTCCCATTCGGGGCCACTTCGATAGGTGACCGTGGCTATCTCACGAGCAAGTTTCATTCCAGAATGGGGCGGAATACTGTCGTAGTAGAATCCCCTGTTCCATTTGGGGTCCATCATCAAGACCTGTCGTTGGGTATGCCTCATGGCGATGCTGTACGGATGACTTCTAGCACACCCAGAAATACTGACAATCTTCCCTACCCTATCGGGAAAGTGCACGCCAAAAGCCAAACTTTGCATGCCCCCCATACTTGCACCAACACTTGCATAGAGCTTCTTGATTCCTAAACCGTCCAACAATCTTGCTTGTGCCCGCACCATGTCGTCCATGGTCAAGATGGGAAATCTGGTTGCATATCTCTGACCGTCAGAAGGATCAATCGATGAAGGCCCCGTCGAGCCAAAGCATCCTCCTATCACATTGGTGCAAATAACAAAATACTTGTCAGTGTCAACTGGAGCCCCGGGCCCAATGAACTTTTCCCACCAGCCTGGCTTCGGGTTTGTTTCGGTGCTGTGCGCATGGCTAGATGCTGACAAGCCAGTATGCAACAAAATGGCGTTGGTCTTGTCTGCATTTAAAGTGCCCCATGTTTCATGTGCGATATCGAATTCTGGTAGAATGCCACCCCAGTCCAATAGTAATGGCGTGGGGCTGTGAAAGAGCATGTGTGTACCGCTTGTATAGGAAGGCTCTGGCCCTGATTCAAGAGACCTACTCTGCAACGCAGCTGTCTTCTGTTCTTGGGCATCGAGGCAAGGGAATGCCATGGCAGGGTTGGATGGTTCGGCAGGCTCCCATACAACCTGCTCTTGACGAGCCGTAGCCTGCGCATGGTGTCGCGAACGGGTATGTAAACTTGCACTTGTAATCTGGCTGTTGCTCGCAGCGTTCGACCGAGGCAGTCTATGTCGGAAAGGCGAGGTATTCGTAGTCAAGGATCTGGAGCCTCGACGGAGCAGGCGAGCAGCTATTTGGGCACCACGAGGAGTCGACATAGGGGACGGCGGTGCGGTATTGGAATCGAGGTGGTAGAATTGAGGACGAAGCCTCTCTTCAAACTGGACGACGGATTTTGAGATGTAGGCTCCATTTTCCCCTCTAACATATTTTGGTGATGCGTGTGTCGAAGTAGAGGCGAGAGACTGAAATCACATCATCATTCTCCAATCAAATGTGCTGCAGATCTTGATCGCTCAACCTGCCGCACTGGGGCCGCGAATACGAGTACGGACTCGGGCATTGCACAGGTTAGCCAAGCCACGTTTGTAGGCCCTGAAATGATATCTCTACCAGGGAAGTCTACACAGGTAGGGGTTCATGTAGGCAGGGCAAGCTGAGCGATCTCTTCAAAGGTGCACACCGCATCTTGCACCGTACTTTAGTGCTTAAAGTCAATGTTCAGGGGACTGGACTTCTGGCTGAGGGTCAATGGGGGCGCGGGGTTATCCCCTGAAGCCCAAGGAGATGCATATAGTTACCTCTGGTACTGGCTCCAGTGCCTAGGGTTGGAACCTAGGATACCTGATACCTGGATGCAGCTAAATGGCCCTTAAAAGAGCGTCAACCTGTATGCCGGACTCCCGCTACTCGGACATCTTTTGCCGTCAGAATCAATAATGTGCTGGGGACAGTAGTATCTCCAGAACCATGAGAATGCCTCCGATGCCCTAAAAAAGCTTGTTTGGGGGAAGCGAGGCCTAGTGAGCTCCAACCCCCTGTCAAATGGCTATTGTAGACTATAGTGCGAGTTGTAATTTGGTGGGCCTTTTCATGACAAGAATATCGCAGTCGTCGTAATGTCGCGCTCAAGCATATGATCCCTGTTGCTGTTTCTCCATCTTAAGTGCGTCCTCTCCTTTAATTCTTCCTGTCTGATCTGCTCTGATTGTAGAACTGTCGTCTTTCACCACCCCCCTACGAAGTCTCCGTCTCGACGATTGCGACCATCCCTCGTTCCGACGGTATTTACCTTCAGCGCCATGTCCGCGATCTCCAACACCCAAATTTAAAGACCATGTGCAAACCATTCAATCCTTGAAAGGTTGAAGTACCGGTCTTCTTTTCGGGCTCGGGCGGTCGCATTGAAGAGAGTACACGGTGTTCTGTGGGAGATCGACTGCATCCACTGTTTTCACAACATAATTCCTGCGCATTTTCCAGCCGTAATGAGAAAGCCTAGCAAGGCCGCCTTGGGGTCGAGATTAAACATGACATTTTCAACCAATACGAGACGTATTGCCGCAGTTGCTGTGGCTCTTGTCATACTGTTCCTCCTCCTGCGGCCGACGTCATCGTCCTCATTCGATTCTGACTTGATCCATTCGACAGCTCAATCGGCAGACCGGCCTTCTAGATCATATCCTCCTCCGAAACCCGGGCAGAAGTCTACCTCAGAAGAGAGCGCGCCGCGAGCCCTTGTCTCAAAGCCCTTGCGAGAACGCCTACGCTACCATTTCCCATACGATATCGAGAGCAAGTTCCCCGCGTATGTATGGCAGACGTGGAAAGAAGGCCCCGGGTCCGGCAAATTTGAAGCAAGATTAAGACCGTTTGAAGCAACTTGGACAACGTTACATCCTTGGTTCGTCCACGAAGTGGTCACAGACGACGCTGCCGTTCACCTCATCAACTATCTGTATGCATCCATACCCGATGTGGTCGAAGCTTACGAAGCTATGCCTCTGCCAGTACTCAAGGCTGATTTCTTTCGTTACTTGATCTTGCTCGCGCGGGGTGGTATATACAGTGATATCGACACTTCAGCCCTAAAATCTGCCACCGAATGGCTTCCCGAAAGCCTCGACAAGTCTCAGATTGGCCTCGTGGTCGGAATCGAGGCTGACCCGGATAGGCCAGACTGGAACGAATGGTATGCTAGAAGAATACAATTCTGCCAGTGGACGATCCAGTCTAAGCCAGGACATCCTGTGTTGAGAGATATCGTGGCCACTGTCACCGAAGATACCTTGGCCATGAAAAAAGCTGGCCGTCTGCAAGTGGGCAAGACTCCCGACAAGAGCATCATGGAGTTTACTGGCCCTGGGGTCTGGACCGACGCTCTGTTCTCATATTTCAACAACAGGGATTTCTTCGACTTTAGTTCGCGAACATCAAATATCACCTATTCGGATTTCTTTGCCATCACGGAACATAAGAAAATTGGCGATGTCATCGTGCTGCCAATTACGAGTTTCAGTCCAGGAGTCGGCCAGATGGGTGCTGAAGGTCCAGATCACCCTATGGCGTTTGTAAAACATGAATTTGACGGTACGCTCCCCTGCTTTAGCAACCGCGAGGTTTCAAGACTAACAAACCTGCAGGATCATGGAAGCCAGCTGACGAACGTATGAACAGCGTATAGAGAGTCGTATGCGCTTTCTGAATTGTACACATATATGTTTCATTGTGTCGAAGAGTCTTGGGGACTTCTAAAGCATAACAGAGATGTACGCTTGTTACGTAAGGGTAAAGCTACCGTTGGAACAACAGTTGGCGGACTCCCAAAACCCAATGCGCACGCATGCGCGCACCAAGCGTCCGTGCGTTGACGAAAAAAGGCGTTCTAGGTTCGGGCACAGGGCAGCATCAATGACGGCAGATAGCATCTGCGGATCTTTTTTAATTAACCAACCTGATACAATATTGATTGGCAAAGCTACGGAGTATTGAGCAGGAATAATGAACCTACAAGCACCTAGTTATCGTTCTATGCCGCTCCATATTCTCCAATAAACGGAGGTAGCTTCGTGTCACGGGCAAATAGGTGTGCGGGAAGCCTGATCGCCTAAAGCTGCATGTGAGTTGGATCAAGATCCTGTTGCGTCTGGTCCTGTTCGTACTTGTATACCGCGACATACAAAGCATCTCTGGTCCGATAAGGACTATTGAGGGTCTAGTTCGAAACCCATCTGCTGATGTCGATTGAATCTACCAGCTCAAGGCGAGCAACTGACAGACTCGCGAAGAATTGCTTACAATACTTGATTTCCAACGACTAATGAGGGCGCTTTCCAAACGCGATTGCTCTCGGGTTCCACAAGCGTAGACCGTCTGACGCTCAGGCTTCAGTTGGTGCCCATAAGTCACTCGTACCCAAACTCGAGAGTTAGTGCCCCATCGCCAGCCTGTATAGTGCGAGTATCGAAGTCGCGAGCCTGCAGCCTCTCGCCGCCCCGCGCAGGCTTCCCCCCCCTGTCTAGTGACGCTTTGCTCTGCTCTTTTCAGATAGTCCAACAGTCTCAACATCCCGCTCTTCGTCATCTTTGCTCCTTGTGTTTCAAACTCCACTTGGCGAGCAGCAAGACTGGAAAGTGTGTTGTCGTTGTGGTCGTTGACTGCTGAGTGATTGCCTTTTCTTGATTGTGCTGCCACGGCGCGGTGGCTTGGATCGGCGGCTGGCTTTGCCCACGACTGCGCACTCGTCCTACCGTCGATCTCTCCGTCCCGCCACTATCCTTCTTCTCGCTCAATCTATATCTTTACGCATCCGCCTCCTGAATACGTGGTCGCATGAGCGCATTCAGATACTTGCCATGTTCCAAGGCCTGTACGGCACCCACGACTGAGGAAGATGCGAATTGGTTGCACAGATGAGCACAGCGACGCTTCAGCCGTCGCAGCAACAGCAGCCGCCGCGAGCGGCCTCTGCTCAAGGTCACAGACAGAATTTGCGACCCAGTAACCCGCAGAATGCCAGAAGTGCCTCCCATCCTCACCCAAGTCGCCAGAGCGACAAGGACCCGGTCATCGACCGACCCGATACATCTAAGGCGTGTCGAGTAATGCCTCCGGAGGAGATTTCAAAAGATCCAGAACAGAAACAGTTGGGACAGTCGTCAAGACACTTGAAACTCAGCGATTTTGAGCTGATGCGGACTCTGGGTATGAAATTTTGTCGCCTTGCGACCAATTCTGTGAAGCTGACAGACCGTTGTGCAGGGACAGGAACATTTGCTCGTGTTTGGCTTTGTCGATTTGCGCATCCTCAACCGCCGGATAGGGACAGAGTTTTTGCATTGAAGGTCCTGAAAAAGGTCGATGTGATCAAACTGAAGCAGGTTGAGCATGTTCGCAACGAGCGTGATGTTCTTGCTGCCGTCGCAGGGCACCCCTTCATCACCACCTTGATTACCTCATTTTCCGACGACACTTCGCTATACATGCTCCTGGACTATACGCCCGGTGGAGAGATCTTCTCATATCTCCGACGAGCACGTCGGTTTCCTTTCTCAACCGTTCAATTTTACGCCGCTGAAATCACCCTGATCTTGGCCTATTTGCACGAAGTACAATTTGTCGCATATCGAGATTTGAAACCCGAGAATATCTTGTTGGACGTAGACGGCCATCTGAAACTCGTCGACTTCGGCTTCGCTAAATACCTGCCCCCAACCGCCGATCAAGCATCCCCCAATATCCCCAATCAGAACCACCCCTATGCGAAACCGGCATCAGAACACCCTGAGCCACAGGCAAGTGGAGCAGGGGTGACTTACACTCTCTGCGGCACACCAGAGTACCTTGCGCCTGAGGTGATCCGGAATACTGGCCACGGGACGGCGGTCGACTGGTGGGCGCTGGGGATCTTGGTGTACGAAATGCTCATCGGGCAGCCACCCTTCTGGGATCAGAATCCTATGCGTATCTACGAGCAGATTGTTGCTGGCCACATTCGCTTTCCGACGTCGCACGCATCCCAGCCAGGACACCGTCACAGTCTTCACGTTCCTAGGGCGGCGCGTGATTTTATTCTCGCGCTCTGCAAAACGGATCCCACGCAACGGTTGGGGCAAATCGCAGGGGGCAGTAAACGTGTCATGGAACATTACTTTTTCGACGGTGTGGATTGGGATGAGATCTATTACAGGAAACGAAGAGGTCCCATCATACCTCGAGTCGAATGGGCAGGAGATGCGGGCAATTTCGATGAGTACCCTGATCCTGTTGAAGGCGAAGAGAGCGAAGGCGGTCGGGGCAGGTATACTGACGAATTACGTGAAGAATGGGAAGCTGCTTTCAAAGATTTTTAGCCCAAGTGCTCTTCCAATGTGGAGAGTTGCGATCAACACTGGCTTTTTGGGTTGTGCCAGAGTCGACATGGGATAATGATCTTTCCGTCATCTTGTTACTAGGTAGCTTTGGGATTTATGTTACAGGTCATGGGATTTAAGGAACTACCTGGTGTTTGACTCCAGGGAACTGTGGAATGAGCAACGACCCTCGCGAATTCGAGCTCGAGGAAGTGCTGGATACTATTACTTTGCGATTACTTTGTGAATGTCACACTGTTGGGGATAGAATGTTGAACAAAATCAACCTATGGACGATGCTCTGTATTAATGAAACAATAGAATCGGATGACTGGAAGCCCTCCGAGATTTACGAAGTAGAGAACCTAGGGTAATGAGATAGGAGACCGATACCTACCTGATGCGAAACTCCATTGCCCGGTCGGTTCCATTCAAAGACCTATCGCGCTATTCCGGCCGCGAGGCTGCGAGGCAAGGCTGTCCAATGTAGAGCAATCAAGCGATCCATTGGCCGCGGCAGCGGACAAACTACGTAGTTCACAAACAGCATCATCTCCATCCATCCAACGGAGATGCAGGCAGTAGATATTATTCTTTCCAGCACCATTTCTCTCACTGTTCCTTTTGTTTCTGCACTATCTTCCAGCCAGGCTACGGGCCATTTTCCCTCTGCTGCCTCTTCTTCTCTGCGACTTTACTTTGGGTAGATGCCCTGACCCTTTCCCCACGGGTACATCATACCACATCCTCCTCGCCGCTCTGCAACGACCTCTGCCGTTATGATGGCGGCTGCACATCCAACCCAGGATCAAATCTCACAGGTGGTTGCAATCACCCAAGCAGATGATTCGGCCGCCAAATTTCTGCTCATGGTGAGGATGAAAAGAGATCGGGACTGAGGAGATCACGCTGAGGCCAAAATCGCAGAAGAGCAATAACGACGTCAACGCCGCTATAAACGCCTACTTCGAGGATCCGGTAGGCTCTTTGAAGGAGCCAGTGAGTCATCTTTACGGCAGTAGAATTACAATGCTGAGGATGTATAGCCGCCTGCAAACCAATGGCAAGAGCAGGATAATGTACCATGTAGGCTAAATGGTCACTCACGGGGAGCGCGCTTGATATTCGGTTGCTGAGTTGAACTTTCCGTATAGTTGCCGATGATTCCAGCATGGGAGGCATGCCTGCTTTGTCTCGCCCACCCTCGCGAGTCGACGGCAGCAGATCCTTCGTTGATCTGTCGGCAGATCACGCCGCAGGTACACTTTCTGCTCGTTTTGAGTCGTGTATGCGGCCACTAACGCAACGATAGCCAATTCGAAAGATGCAAAAACCTTGAGAGAACAGGAGGAGCTGAACGACCCAGAAATTCAACGTGCAATGGCCGAATCCCTGCGTCAAAACGGGCCAGCACAAGAAAATGGGATTACTGGCACAGGAGCACATTTTGGACCGGCAAATAGAGACTATTATGACCCTTCTAATTGGGCCCTCACCACCTTTTCTACAGCGCGGGAAATTATCGATCACCCTCCTCCCTCAAAGCGACGGCGTATTGATGATCAGCCAGCCTTCCTACGAGGATCCAAAGAAACGGACTATCTCGCTCCGCTCTTAACCATCTACCACAGTATCCCCCTAGCTCGGGAAGCTTTGCTAATGCCAGGTCTCAAAATACACGCTTATGGCCATGACGATAGTTGGTGGTCAGGCACAAATGATGAGAACACGAAATCGTTATCTACCGATAACAACCTACGCGTCGACCGAGATGACTGCAATGTACTCGCCGAGATTCAATGCTTGATGGCTTTCCTCGACAAAACAAATCGTGCTTATGGCAGCGTTGATGCACTCGCTGATCTTCACCGCGTGAGGAATAACAACGATCCTTCTTCATTTGTTCGGGTGATGCAAGCATGGAGCTCCGCGGCTCTGAATCAGGATCCAAATGAGCAACTGACACAGGTCTTCACCTCCACTGCCGTGAAGGAGAATGGTCCCGAGAACAGTCGACAAGAGGAAGAAATGGTCTGCGTGGAACCATACGTCAATCCGTCACTTGGTCAAACCCTTGTGGATGTGCTGGACAATACCGTCTGGAACGACGAGAGGGGGAATATCGATGATGTGTGGATTGACCACGCGGCTGAGATTTTCACAATACGCGTTCGCGATCCCGATACTGGTAAGAGTGAAATGAACTTGCACCTGGATCCTGTATGGTACCCGGATCGCTATATGCAAGAATGCAGGGAGGCAAGCATGCATATCAGGAAAGAATTGCGAAAAATCCACTGGGAAGTTGAGCAATGCACAACAATACAGAGGCGCTGTGACGTGTTAAGGATGCCTGACAACAGGGTCCTCATGGTTCGGGACGTGCTCAATGCGGCTAGTAAAGCATCTCTAGGCGTGGCTGGGAGGAAACCAACCTCTGATGCACTGTATGGTGGTCAGGACAGCATGGGCATGACCGAAGATGCTGTGAGTTCTCGTGAGGTCGAGGACGTTCGAACCGAGCTTCAACTTGTCCTTCAACGTATTCAGCAGAAATTTCAACAGCTCGAATCGAGAAAAGCCCAACTTCGGCATACAATGCGCCAGATAGCGGCCCATCTCACACGGCCTACTTCAGAAAGCCCGGATTTCCCGCGGAGGAAGTATACTTTGCAAGGGGTATCAACGACAACCAATATCACCTATGTCCGCCGACCGAACCAAGACCTGCTACGACTCAACGACGACGAATCTTCAAGTGAAGACCAGGAGGGCCAATGGTGGAAGATGGCATGGTTGCAGGAGGAGAGCAGTACAGTGCCCCTAGCACCTGTAGCGGGGCCTGTCACCCGTGAACAAGCCCACAATGATCCAACCACAGCAGCTGCGGGCATTTCAACAGAAAGGGAACAGTCGAAACAGTATACTGTATCCAAAGTAAGCGAAAAGGATGTGCTTGAAGCGGTGAAGAGTGCACATCAGTCCGTCCTGCTGGTCTACGCGACCGAGAACGCGATGAAGTTCAAAGGCACTGAACTGAGCCTTCCTCTCCGACACTTCGTGGATCGTGACAATCAGGCATTTGCCGAGGAACTCCGAGAGGAGGAAGCCACACTGAGCAACGACTCTGGAGATCACGAGCTCGAAACCGAGTTTGAGGATGTACCTTTGATTGATCAGACCGGGTCGAGCAGTTCCGTGCGTGAGTTTACGCCAATGTCAACCTCAAGTCCTGGAATTCGTGACGAAGAAGGACAACCGTCACCTAAGCGAGCAAGAGAAGGGGACAGCGGTTTCCACCCAGAGTTACCACCTTCATATGAAGAGACTGTAGGCAGACCAGAGATGCAGGAGCGAAAGGGAAATAAGATTGGCTTCCATGCGGAGCAAATGCTGCAGAAGTATGGGACGACGGATAGCGCCACCGATATCGACGAGAAAGCCAATCCAGAGGGCGACCCTGTGCGTCTCGAGCATTCAGCATAGAAGTTGTCAAGGATCGTGGGTTACACAGAGTACGGAAACTTCCACAGACTTTTCCACCCGGTATTACACCGCGATGTCTTCAGGCTTAAGCAGGAGACCATTTGAGCAGAAATATTTCCCGAAGGCCTGAAAAGGCTGGCGGAGAGTCAACAGTCTACATGACATGTCTCATCACGACATCTGCTGTGAAGTGACGCACTTCTATACGAGATAGAAATGAGGCGGGTGGTACCTCTGCCTGCTCGTTGTGGCGCACACACCTCCAGAATCACTTGGTGTGTCTAGAGTGTCTCATTACCTCGTTAACTTCCTGACTCGTTTGCGGCGAAAGGCACATAATCCGTCGGTCAATCTTCTCCGTCTAGGAGGGCACGTAAAGTCGATGCTCGGAGTGGCCTTCAGTGGGTGGAACGACCTGTCACGACGAGGACAGACACTTTTCACACAGTAACGAGTACAATACTTCCTTAGCCGCAAGCCCCCAAGAACCGGGAGACCAAGGCAGCCATGTAATGCGGCGACAGGGCCAGGGCTGCCACGGAAATGCAGGTGTCATTGCCGGGAGCCTATCAACACGAATCGACAGCACATTAATTACTGTTAACGTGAGCAGCCCGGGAAGAGGCACCCTCCCCGGTCTCCATCCTCTGACATTCCACCCTGGCACCGTGCGCCCAGTGTGCCGGCACTAGGCCGTGTATTGGAGGACGCCTGGCTCCTGAGATACAGTAGTGCCCTCGGCTTGCACACTATTGCTGTCGAAAGCACTCTGAAAGCACGACCTGCGTCAGCCTCTTGGGGAAGCATTCTATGTACGCAGCGCAAGGGTCACTTGTTCTTGGTCTGCAATTGTGCCCGGCGACGGATCGAGCTAAGCAAGAGTACGGAGACTCAGACTCGTAGCCAACTAGTCCATGGGTTGATACGCCTGCGGCAGGGAGCCACCCTTCCTCAGTCGACCATGCCATCGCCATATCCCTATCTCCATCCTCATTGCTGTCGCGCAGCCTGCAGACCCCTGCAATTGGGCCCGAAGCTGCTCATGCCATGCTGCTTGTTTCCTGACCGGGGGCACAGAGATGCGTTCTTGAATCTTGAGCCTTGCTGCGGTGGGCACAGAGCAAGCGGTGTCTGCTAGTACTTGTACAGCAGACGATGGCGTCGACTCCGGAGAGATCGACATGCAAGGAACACCATGGCCTTGAAAGTCTGCTTCTACTTCGCGAAACCTGAACCGCTTTCTTTTCTAGAAGTCTGTCACCGGGCTGCTTCGCGACCTTGACCTCCCAGGGTTAAATGGTGTGAAGCCCTATGCCGGCAAAACCAGAACAAACCCTTGAATCCGCCACAGGCTAAGAAACCGGCTAGTGAACCCACTATCTGCTGGAGTCCGGGAGGAAACACGGTAGCTCCAACAGTCACGAAAGGTTGAGGCGATCGACTGGGGGCTCTCAAGAGTCAAGACTCACTAAGCTCCCTGTAGACTTAGTGTTTCCAGCCCACTCAGTCACTGGTAGCGTGATGGTGAGTATCTTCATTGGGCTTATCAAGGTCTCCCTCAGCTTAGTCTGGCATGCTCGGGATGGCCCATCAGTGGTTGGAAGTCGTCGGCCCTCGATCTCCAAACCTAGAGCAGTGACGACAGCTGATAGAGACGGCATGTTTGGAGCCTGTCGAATAGAATGGCAGAGATGGGCATGGGAGGCGGCATGTCAGAGATGAGAGGGGACATGGTGAAGGGGACAGGTTGAAAGTGAAAGGTGTGGGATGGAAGACTATCTTGTCTTGTCTCTCTCATTCCCTGTCTCTCCCTCTCTTCTCTCCTGCTATCCGTCTTCTCACAACTCACCCTCCCCCCCACCTTGTCCTGAACTCCTACTGTAGAACTATCATGGCGCAGGGTGTAGCCTAATCCGCCAACCGATACCGAGGACTGGAAACAGGATCCGGGATAGCTACCAATTGTTTCGAGTTGCCTGGGCATCCTGACAAAGTCTAAAGGCTCGATGCAGACTCCGTAGTACTAAATTGTTAGTCGGCCGGTAGTCAAGGGTCGGAGTGGGAGGTGAAGACGCGAGGTACTTAGGGAGTTGTACTGAGGATCAAACAGTAGTTTCTTATTGGTATGAATGCGCGAAGGGGAAATGTTGGGCACCGTCGTGATTCATCCAGGCCTCCTCGTGCTCGTAATTACGGAGTAGAGAAGCACTAGGTAGGTAAGTTACCCAAGTCCATGTCGGTATGTCGTTTCCTCTACCTCGACGAGAGAGCATCAAGTCGAGGATCGTGTCCATTGAGTAGGACTAAGTTACTGTGCGACTTATCTCCCTCCCTCCCTCATCACCGGCGGCAGTGCCCAGCCAGACATGTTGACTTATCACCACGCACCACCAGGACCGCTACCACTCCTTACTCCTGGTCTACCAGGCTACCTCCATCCGTCCCATCCCTGCCATTTACCACCAACACCCCCTCTCTGTAGCTGCTGGTGTTCGCTGCACCCATGGCTCGATCTGTCCCCATGTTGCCATCCCCGTGTGGTCTGATCTGAAAAGAAAACGATTTGTCTCACGTTTGTTCCTCAGTGTTGATCTGCGATTTGCGAGCATTGTAAGCAGGTGTATCCACTGATCATCCTCCGCGTTTATCTAGATTCTACTGGTACTGCTCCCTTGTGCGACTGGGAGCGTTATGCAGGCCAATATCAGGTCCGAACCTCTCTCCCGGCTACCAACAGCCTTTCTGACATGCAGCCTATTTAAGCCCTGGCCGCCCGACCCCCCACCATCCGCCGCCCGCGCGATCGCGATTTGCACTGCGAGACTCAGAGACTTGGGTGCGGCCTGTCCTGGCTGTCCACCTAGAGGCTGGCTCCATGATGCTCGGGCCCGTTCTGCAAGCCACCGCAGCGCCGGATTGGCACGATTGCTCATCCTGGCGAATTGCCAAACACGGGCCTGTTCTGGCTTATCGGTCCTATCGACTGGGCCACTCGACGCCCGCCAAAATACTCCCCGTCCCAAGCACCACTACGAATCATCCCTCCCTCTTCCTTCAGCCTCTCCCTCTCCTCGTCGGGGTCTTTGCTCTCCTTTCGCGCTCGCTGCTGCTTAGCTGGTTTTGCCCCTACTCCGTATCTGCCTCTCTCCCTCTTGTCTCCGGATTCTTACTCTTTCCACATCTCTGGCCCGTCGATTTTTTCAAAAATCACCGTTACGCTTGCGCGACGCCCCCCAAGAGACGCCGTTGAGAGCTTTATTTGACGCACGATAAATCCTCGGTCGCGTCTCCCCATTGGCGACCCAGACACTGACTTGGTCGCGTGTGGAGCCCGCTATCAGTGACTGGTGTCGTTTTTCAGGTACCACGGCCACGATTTTGTTGGAATGAGAACATCCTCCCCATCCCGACACGACCCATCCACCATCACCAAATCGCCGTTGCACTTGGTCGCCATCGCCCCGGACAGCGTCGTGGACGACACGTTGCGACAAGCCACTCCATCATCAAATAACGACGAATGCGTAATATGAGTGCGTGTGCTTCAACCGCGTGTACGTTGAAACCGCCATTTCGAGCGCCTTGAAGGGTGTTCGTCGCAAGTTTTCTCTAGGCCGCATCCTCTGCCACCTTGTCCGGCCAGCCATAAGCCACTTCGCCTTGATACGATCTGAAACTCTTCAGCGAGCGAAGAGACCTCCCATCTGGCACCGTGCGCGTCGGACGCGTGATAGGCGAAATCAGTTTCGGCTGTTTCTTGCACTTCAGGTATGAGCGCAATCGCTTTCAGCCCTCTGGAGAACCGGCTACATCCGACACCGTATAACATGCCGATCCATCCCACCGGTTTGGATGCCATGTCGTCCGAGCGACGCATGTCAACGGCCAACGAAGGTCTCATGGCGCTCCCGACGGTCATGTTGCGCCGTCTGCCCAAGAATACAACTCCCGAGGCTGTACGGACAATGTTACTGTTTGCGAAAGACCTCCAGGACGCAGAGATAGTCCCCAACGAATACGAAGATGATGCAGGGTTCGCAACAGGAATCGCGCGCTTCGGGTCTATGGCTGGGGCATCCGAAGCGCAAGCCATGTTGGATGGCAAAGCCAACACTGCCGGGCAGGCGAAGATGATTGTTAATATCATCTCAAATCACCCCCTCGCATCCATGGCCCGGCGGAATACGATGGACCCTGCGACAAGCCGCAAGATCGCACAGTCCCGATCGCCACCACTAGCTAATTCTCAAAGGCCATCGAGGTTCAACGGCACATTCCAGTCGCTGGACAAGTCATCCCCACCATCGGTTGGATCACCACCAGATTACTCCTCCGCCGACGCCGTGCCAGTGATGCCGATCGTGTTCTCTCCTCAGTCACCAATCGCCAGCATGGTCACCGACCGGTCTCGGGTCAGTGGGAAGAAAGTGATTGACGAAGATGGAGGAGATGACGATACTGGAGAATTGCTCAAAGATCCTCTGGCGTACATTAACAATTCATCCACGGTCAATGCAGGACGGAATTCGACGAACCAACGAATTCCCACCTCCGCCTTTCAGTCACTGTCCCTCAATACCAACATGGGTGGCATGACGAACGGCTTTGCCTCTCCTCGGTCCGCTGCGCAGAGTCGGACGCCAAATTCTCAGTTCTCTCCAGGAATCGGCTCGAACGGTTCGTATGGATCTTCTAGCCAGCCCTATCTACGCCACAACTACCCGCCCGTCAATCCGGCGGATCAGAATCCCCCGTGCAATACGTTGTACGTGGGTAATCTACCTATTGACACTTCTGAAGACGAGTTGAAGGCCATGTTCTCAAAGCAGAGGGGCTACAAGAGACTGTGCTTCCGGACCAAACAGAATGGACCCATGTGCTTTGTCGAATTCGAGGACATCTCCTTTGCCACGAAGGCTTTGAATGACTTGTACGGAGCTCAACTGCACAACAGTGTCAAGGGCGGCATCCGGTTGAGTTTCTCCAAAAACCCGTTAGGTGTGCGTTCAGGTCAACCCGGAAGCTCCAACCCAGCGACACCACTCAGTGCGACGGGGCCGGTTAATCTCGGCGGCTTCAGCAGCCTTGCTCCTGGCGGGTTCACAACTGCGAACGGTCCACCGCCAGGACTGTCCGCACCCCCAGGCTTGAATATGACACCGCCGGGCGCCAATGGTACTCTCCCGCCTGTTTTCGTGAATCAGGGGTTTCCGGCTGGGGCCGGAGGAGCGGCAGCACACCCGAATCTGCGGGCCATGGGAATGAACAACAGTCCGGCGAACCCAAACATTGGAGGCATGTATCCTGATTATATGCTTGGACGTTAAAGGGAGTACCTACGAAGAAGTGCGCTGGTTTGATCTGTATCATGAGACGGGAGTGGAGGCAAAGTCGTCCGACGGTGCATTCATCACGAGGGTTGAATTCCCGTGAACGGCAATGGCATCATATTTACTGCTAGACTGGGCTATCAAGCGACCAGAAGCACTTGGCGTTACGGTGGATTGGGTTTTGTCCTTCCTTTCTCTTTTTGCGTATTTGGCTATTTATCACGAGATTCCCCTTTCAGCGGACAGCAAGCAAAGTCAGATGGGCAAGCAGGCAAGCGACACGGCGTTTCATATCACTATCACGCAGCAGCCGGCAGTTGACAGGGCTGCAATGGGAAGGCATGAACACAGGATGGGACGCTGAACAAGGCACAGTCATTCTTGAAGGGGTTATTCAGGCATCAGAGTTTGTTTTTGTTGTGGCATTAGGGGGAAACGATACTTGGAGCATATATATATCTACCTTAGGTATACGCACCATCTGCCGGTAGTACTGCATGACATGCATTTTTTCTTTTTGGCTCAGGTAGGTATGCTCTGTCCGTACTTATGATATGGATTCGTAAGCAAGACATTGAGGAAAGACAGGCTCAGGGCATGAGGGGATGGAATGGCGGGTTTCTGTTGCAGGGCGAACACGAGCTGAATCGCGTAGAGATAGAAATCTTACTGCCAACAGCCAGGAACTCTTTGCCTCCCGAGGAATATGCATGATAATCAGGGATTCTCATGGGCAATGGGCACGATGCACTGGCCACTGGTGTATGGTGTTTCACCCATGATCCTGGCATCGCTTGCAATACTTGCTTGGTACAATTTAGCCTGGTTGTTATCGCTTCAAGCTGGTCTGAGTCTGAACCCCAGCGAGCCTAAGGTGTACAAGTACCAAAGGTAACTAACTAGCGAGCCTCTACTCCATATCACAGGTGGGCAGAGCGTAGGGAGGATTCATAGGCCGTGTCCACATCAGCCAAAATGTCTTCTGAGACTGTCGGACTGTCCAGTGCCCAGGCTCGCATCGGGCACCAGCCAATCTCGCTTGATATCGACCTTTACCGGCCTCTCCAGGAATACGAATAGGAACAACATCGTCCACTCCGTCGTCAGGATCAGGCCGGTTTTTCTGGGAAGTTCTTCGTGGTTTCTTAAAACTATAACTTACAATATGGACAACAAACTTTTCGTGCCCAAGTGGGATCTACCGTGCACAAGCAATACTGACTAGTATTCCGTGTCCGTACAGCACTTCAATATCCCCAGCACTAGTTAGTGGTGAATTCGTGTCGCCTCGCCTCCAGATACCCTGTCTGAGCAGCGTTACGTGGATGGGTATCTCCCCTTTGCTTTATTTCCCTGACGTTCTGAACACTCCCCAATCTTCAGTGCTCGCCTACACGTAGATACAATAATTTCTGCTCGGTGCTGGCGAGCTCCTCCGTACTGTTTCAATGGTGGCCAAGTCGATGTCACTTTGGCCATGCCCCTGTCTAGAGCTCGGTCTCTATTCCGAAGTCTAAGCGCGAGTAATGCGAATGTGCACGCGAACTCGAACGACAACCGCCAGGGCAGCATCGGCACCAGCACGAGCACCAGCAAAAGCAAATCGACGGTGCCGGAACACGATGAAGGCGAAAACGGCGGCAGCTCACTCGTTTCCAACCTGGGCTTCACACTTGCGAGCATCACCACCCGCCGACGGAGCAGAGCAAAATCGACTGGGAAAGGAACCGGCGAGGGCACGCTCGATGGATGGAGAAGCAGAGATCGACTCGGTCTGCGGGATCAGCGGCGAAGCCAGCCAGACCTACTAGACCTCGTCAGCACTGGCGACGGCTCCCCCAGACTGAGACAGCGACAGAGGCAGCCGAGCGACGTCCAGGCCAATGGCAATGGCAATGGCAACGGGGACGACGCCGGGGACCAGCAAGGAACTGCAGCGGCACCGGCACCGGCACCAGCACCAGCACCAGCACCAGCCACACCTACGACGCTCTCGTCGCCTCCTCCCACTTGCACTTCCACACCCGCCCCAACCGAGCCGGACACGCCAACGCCAGCGACCGAACCCACCTCGTTTTCTACACATACTCCTACTAGTGAACCCTCCTCGACTGCGCCTGCGCCAGCAAAGACGGCGTCCATCAATAATCTTGCTGTCTCTACAGCTGCTACTGCTGCTGCTGCTGCCGCCATCGACAGTCCCTCGCTGGATCCTCGATTCTCATCACATCCTCCGTCTTCTGTCCCCACGAACCTCCCCCTCGTCCTCGTCCAGCGACCCTCTATTCCGAACGTACCATCCCTGCCCCCAGCTCAGCCATGTCCTCGATATGATCCTCACGGAGCAATGCAGAGAAAATTATGGGTGAAGCGGCCCGGCGCTTCCCCGACCAGAGTAGAGGTTGCCGAGGATGATCTGGTCGACAGTGTCCGCGATGCTATTCTGCAAAAATATGCCAACTCGCTTGGCCGCAGCATCGATGCCCCCGACATTATTCTGAAAATCATCAGTCGCGAACAGGGAAACAAGAACGTCCCGCTGGAGCGTGCCTTGGGCCCCGAAGAACCCATAGGCACCACCCTCGACTCCTACTATCCCGGCGGCCAGACTGTCGACGAAGCCCTCGTCATCGAGGTGGCCTCTGCCCGGCGGACGCCACGACCATCCCCTCGGGGCGGCAACCACCAGATATCCTACATCTATCAGGACCAATACCGACCTCCCGACGATGCGCGAGAGTACTTTCCTCCCATGCCCTTGCACTCTCCTCACCTCTCGGCCGTTGCCCACCCGGCCACTGTTCAACACTCCATGTCCGTCTTGACCACGGGCCAGCTGCCGCCTTTACCAAGCCCCGGATCACATGGGCGACGGCACGGCAGGCCAAAGTATGGCAGACAACATACAAGCAGCCCGACCATTTTACACACGGTCCAGCCGAATGGGCAAGTCATAGGTGCGTGGGGGTCCGTCTGCTCCGATAAGATATACTGACACACGGAAAGAATCGAAGTCGCAGATGAATGGCACGATTCCTGCCGCTCCTCCCCTTCCTACCCCTCCCGCGCAAGGTGACCACAAGCCATCAATAACACCTCCCAACCGAGGTTCGTCTCCACATCCCGGGCAGAAGCAAAAGCAAAAGCAAAGGAGGAACCTGGTCAGAAATCGCTCGTCCAACGGTGATCCCTCGTCGACGACCGCCAAACCTGCTTCGGCGGCTCTCCTGGACGGTACCGTCCCTCCGATCAATGTGCTCCTGGTCGAAGACAATGTCATCAACTTGAAATTGCTAGAAGCGTTCATGAAGAGACTCAAGGTCAGATGGCAGTCGGCTATGAACGGCAAAGAGGCAGTGGCCATGTGGCGAAAAGGCGGATTCCACTTGGTTTTGATGGACATTCAGCTTCCGGTCATGAATGGGTTGGAGGCTACGAAAGAGATCCGGCGACTGGAAGCTGTAAATGGGATTGGTGTCTTTGGCGGAAGTCCCATCGACAATCAACCCAAGATGACCCCATCCACCGGGACTCCGGAAGAGGCTGATGTCTTGCCTGATCGAAGTCTTTTCAAGAGTCCGGTCATTATTGTGGCGTTGACGGCCAGCAGTTTACAGAGTGATCGGCATGAGGCTTTGGCGGCGGGCTGTAACGACTTTTTGACAAAGGTGAGAATTTTGTGACTGGTCTGTTTACTCTCTGCTAACGGTGAGATAGCCGGTCAACTTTGTATGGATGGAACGTAAAGTCACCGAATGGGGCTGTATGCAAGCTCTGATTGACTTTGATGGTTGGAGAAAGTGGAAGCAATACGCCGAAGAAAAAGAAAAAGAAGACCCGGCGAAGAAAGCAGCCGAGGCAAAAGAGGAAAAGGCCAAGGCGAAGGCAGCACTGACGGCCATGTTCTCTCGACCACCACCTAGCGTTAAGAAGGACAGTGCTGAGAGCACTGGATCAGGTTCTTCAACATCGAATACAGGTAATGTCAACCGCAGTACGACACCGTCTCAGAATGGCACGGCAAAGAAAGCCAGCGGTCCAGTTACTAGTACGACTGGGCAACCTCGAGGTCACAGAAATAATCGAAGTGTTTCTAATGGTGGTCGAGGGGGTTTAGAGAGTATGGCGGAAGAAAATGGAGTTGAGTCGTGACGTGTGGTAGCGTGATATATTTAACATTCATCTTGAGAATACGAATCTTATTTTTCTCTTTTATTTTTGTCCTGCTTATGTACATGATGCATCAGGCAATTGTCGCTTGCAAGATGTGGCTTGGATATGAGAAGCATCCCTGATTTCGGTGTCGATACGGAGTAGGTAGCTAGGTAAAGTACCTTGGTTTCAGTACTGGGAAGAACCTGTCTGTGGTTGGCGGTACAGTTAAGTACCACTCTCGAGCAATTCCATCATCAATCGACGAGAACTTGAATATTGGTTCCTCGTACAGAAGAACCTGATCTACGCCATGATATGAATACGGGCCAGATTTGAGGGCCAAGGGGACTTTTGACTTTTTTGTTTTTTTTTGTTTTTTATAAAAAGAAAAACAAACGCCAGGTGGGTGGGTAGGTAGGTGTGTGTAGGTAAAAGGACACCTGTGTGGGTAAAACGATCCAAATCAACTTCTCTTCTGACCGACTAGTTAGTTAGGTGCCTCAGCTGATGGCACGGAGACACAAAAACCGTCTTGTGGCGATCCAATACCTCACGTCTCACACACACACACACACACACACACACACACACACACACACACACACACAAAAACCAAACGTTTATTGGGGGTGGAAAAAAGAAAAGGGGAATTAAGTGTCAAAGATACATAGGTATTTTCTCCCACATCAACGCACACGACGCCACGGCTTCGATTCATCGTCACAAGTTGTCGGTGACGCCGGGTTCGGCCTTTTCCAGTATCTCGACCAGCTCCCTCCACACCTTCTCCGAGGCCCTCTTCCCGTCCTCGCTCCGGACGAACGAGGACAGGGCGCCGTCGTCGACCTCGGCGTCGGTCATGTACCTGCCGTGGCTCCCGGGCCCGGCGGCGGCGGCGGCCAACAGGGTCCGGCTGCCCACCTCGGTGGAGCGGGCGAACAGGAACTTGAGGACGGTGAACCTCAGCCCGCCCTCGCGCGCGAGCTCGGAGTGGCACAGGCCCGGGTTGAGGTAGTTGACGGTGACGGCCGGTTGTTTCTCGGTCCGTCCCTTCTTCTCTCGCTTCCGCATCCTGTCCACCATGGCGCGGATGACGAGGACCTCGAGGAGTTTGCTCGTCGGGTACCGCTCCCTGAAGTTGGTCTTGGACTGGTCGTCGAGCGCGTCGAAGGTGTTGGCGTGGTCCGGGTCGTTCCACTCGGGGAACTTGGTCATGGCGTGCACCTCGCTCGAGACGACGGTCAGGGTCGGCGTGGTCTCGAACTTTTCCGCCGTGGCGCGCAGCTTGGGCAGCATGAGGAAGGCGAGCAGGAACGTCGACAGCACGTTGACCGTGATGGTGCGCTCGTGGCCCTCGACCACGTCCCACGTGAGCTTGGCCACCCCGGCGTTCTCCATCAGCACGTCGACCCGCGCCAGGTCCGCCGTGGCTCGTCTGGCGAACGCCCGCACCGACTCGTACGACGCCAGGTCCAGGTGCCACACTTCGATCACCGACGGGTCGCAGTGCGTCGTGGATTCAATGTCCTGCTTCGCCGCCGTGCCTGCGTCCGTGTTGCGGACGGCGAGGATGATCTTGGCGGCCCCGAGCCGTGCAAAGTGCCGGGCCGCTTCCTTGCCCAGCCCCGTGTTGCTTCCTGTCACGATGACCGTCTGGCCGGAGAAGGACGTCGTTGGGTACGGGAGTCGCACGAACCGCTGCGTTAGTATTCCGCCCATCGTGAGGAAGTAGTAAATATATGGATGGAGAGAGAGAGACAGAGCGGTCTCAGTTGCGTTTTCCGAAGGATATTGGTCGAATTGGGTGGATTGACAGAGGGATATATATATATATGTACCCCAGTACAACAAACCCTGAGTAGTGAGTACTGAGCACCGGGAAGTCATCTGGGCTTTATATACCTCACCTACCGCTGACCAGGTTACCACACATGTAGCAGGCATGATAAACCCCCCCAGGCAATGGGAGATAACACGGGTTTTGCAACATCCGAAACCCCATCACTCCGTCCCATTTTTCTCTCTCTTTCTCTGTTCTCTCAGTCAAACTCACAGGTTACTTAACCCCGTGTGGATTCCGGCGTTCGGACCCTGGGTCCCAACCCTCCGTTGCAGAAATTAGAATCATGTCAAGGGTGGCGGTACAGTTTAGTCTGTCACGCTTGGGTGAAATGAAGACCAGTTCACGACAGTTGCCTCTGTTTGCCTGTGGAGGACGTAGGTAGACCAGGTCTAACGTGCTGTGGGAGGAACGGGCTCGGGACGTCGTCACATACCAACGCTAGTCTGCATCGAGAGAAACCAGCGAACTTGGGATCCACCGATGCTCGCGTACGCGGGGCCATTGGTGCCCTTCTTAACACGGGCGTTCTTCGTGTCGCCCGTGGTCGGGGATTTTCACGTCTTGCCTCCCTCTTTCTCACGGTCTCCTAACGCCGTTGAAAAAAGGGCGACTGACTACGGCAAGCGACCCTAAAAAAGTTGGGTTGGTGTGGGATCTGAGCCGAGTGAGGTGGAGGTCGCCGGAAGAAGACAGAAATGGGAATGGAGAGAGAGTTGTCGATTCTAATGCAAGTACAAGTACGATTAAGAGCGCCAACGTGCGACCGTGTGACATCATACCACAAGGAGTACATGTAACGTTGTTCAACACCATTTGGCGCAGTCCTTTATCGCTGAATACACCTGTACGGAGTACAGACCTATATATACTCTAGATGCTCTAGATGTTCGTAGCTGGCAGAGGACGAGTACGACTGACTGTCCCCCATACAGCCAACCGCCAATAGTGCAAGCAATACCTAGTGTACCTACCTCAGACCAACTAGACCTCATTGAGTAACCGCGCACGGTAGAATCGTTGATCCAGCGGAACCTTACAAATGGACCTGGGGATATACGCGATTTAAGGGTCCGGTCAAAAACAAGCACGTCACCCTTTTGTCCAAGATCTACTCGTACAAGTACTTCTGACACTACATACATAAGACTTCGAGAGGGGTAGGTAATATACCAGGTATATGACTCAGGTAGCTTGCCGTCTCCCATTTGACGTCTGGACTACCTACCTGTCTTTACCAAGACGACGTGATAGAATAACCCAACAATCCCACAATAGGAAGATAACTCGTAGACCACACCTCCTGAACGCGAAACGACAAGCGAACGAATGCAAAAAATGGCCCCCTCAGCAACAACAACATCATCAGCACCATCAACTTCCTCCGATACAACCCTCACCGAGACATTCACCTATTCTACAGAAACACACAGCTTCAAGGTCCGCTGGACGTCACTGGGCGAATCATCCTTACCGCCGCTGATCTTTGTCCATGGCACACCCTGGTCTTCCCGCGTCTGGCACGACTACGCACAATCCTTTGCCAGATATTTCCACGTCTACCTGTTCGACAACCCTGGTTTCGGCGAGAGTCCCCTTGGCCAGCCACTTCCAGGCAAGCAGGACAAAATCACCCCGGAGGTGGCCCTCGACGCGGACCTGGCGCAACAGTCAGAAGTCTTTGCTGCGTTGTTCAAACACTGGTCACAGGATTGGTCGACCCAGAAGAACAAAGCACATGTCGTCGCACACGACCACGGCGGCCTCATGAGCCTGCGCGCAAACTTACTGCATGGCTGCGACTACGCGAGCCTGTGTCTGATCGATGTGGTAGCGCTTGGTCCGTTCGGGCAACCTTTGTTCAAGCTGGTCGCGGAGAACGTAGGGGTCTTCAATGCCTTGACCGGTCCGGTGTTCGAGGGTGTGGTCGAATCCTACATCCGGGATGCGGCGCACACCGACCTCAGCCAGGAGACCATGGAGATGCTGAAGAGACCGTGGACATCGAGCGATGAGGGCAAGTCAGGTTTCGTCAGGCAGATGGAGCAAGCAAACAGTCGGAGTACAGCCGAAGTCGAGGGAAGGTACTCTGAAGTGGGAAAGAGGATGCCCGTCAAGATCATCTGGGGAAAACAGGATAAATGGATTCCCTTTGAAACGGCAGAGAGGCTGAAAGAGGAGCTGAATGCGAGGGTTGCAGTGCTCGTTGACGGGGCCGGACATTTAATCATGTATGATCAGCCGGGGAAGCTGGGCGTCGAACTCGGCTGGTGGTTGAACAGTGTGACCCATTCGTGAAGGCTGGATGTTTCTACATCTGTTGCATAATTGATCCCTACATTCGAAACTGCTCACTTTAGAAGATGGCGGTACTTTGGTGTAAGACCTAAGGGCTTTAGATGATGCGAAAGCCATATCTCCCATCGACTTCACGCCAGAGGAATTCATCTCGATTGAGTTCCGTTGCCAAAAGGCAGCTCTCGGCAAACTCCTGCACAGCTTCACGATGAAAGAGTCTTACCCAACCTAGTCGCTTGTAGGTGCCCTGGTCCAAGTGGGCGCTTCGTTCCAATAAGAGCCCATCTGACTCCCATAGACCTTCTTCGAGACGTGAATCCATGGTTGAAACCCGGCAAACATAGGCCGTATGGTTGGCCGACCACTCCGGAATCTGCCTGTACAGACGATGGTCGTCTAAGATGTCAGACAGGGTATCATCACAAGTGAATCTGCGCCCGTTGATGGTGAGATATTCCAGCCTTCTCTGCCTCTTGTCGGCCGCGCCTAGCTCGGCGCGACATAACGATGCCACAACTTCAATGTAACCTGACAACACAGGCCCGAAATGACGTTCTGCATCAATGAGCTGTACGTTTGCACTCTTCACCTCCCATGAATAAGACTCGCTTGCTTCAAAGTGTGGCCGTGGGGTTTTCCAATCAACACTTCCCTTGACGGACGCCCAAGACCAGGATGGTGCGTGGTATGTCTCGTATCGTTCCTGCCTGCGAGTTTCTGTTGACCACAGCAGATCTTCTCCAAGACAATGTCTCCAAAAACCAGCAAGATAATCCGTAGCTGGGCACCCCATATATTGTTGGACCACCTGGGCCAGGCCAGCGACAGCGATAAGCTTATCCGATTCCTCAGTCAATAAGCATCCTGAGTACTTCCCTACAATCTTTCGCCAGCAGGAGCGCAGTATTGTTTGGTCCTCCGAGTCTGGTGTCAATCGTTTAAAGATGATGGACTCACTGCCAGCACCGGTCTCTTCAAATGGTATTCCGGCTGGCCACGTCTCGTTGGCTCGTAGATGACGACATTCCCAGTATATCTGATCAGCTGCGAAATGAACGGTTCGAGGGGACAATAGTCGTTCCTGCAAGACCCAGGCTCTGTGATTTAACACGGCACTCTCTACACGTGTATGAAACGCATCGCCATCGAATGCCGCATACTGACGCGCTGGGAAACCTGCTGCCCAGCGGGTCTTCACCGTGAATGCTCGACTCAGGAAGGGGTTGCTCGCAGAAAACAAACCACCATCTCCATCTGAAGAACAAGTAGCTGCAATGTTCACCAGAGCATTCGAAAATATCGAGGCCATGGACAATGCTTCTTCTAGCCAATCGATGAATTTGTCCTGATTGATGCAGAATGCATCAATCCAAAGGTATTTTACCCCAAGCGCTTGAGTATAGCTGACGGCGTCGCGAAAGGTATTCGTGAGTAGTTCCCAAGAAATGCTTCGGCGATACATAGCTTCGTTCTCATTTCGAAGGACCGGCATTCTCGTACCACCCCAACGATGACTCAGGGTGATGTACTCTGCGTCTTTGGGGATGGTAGACCCATCTACTATTTGCAGTAAAGGAATTGAGGACGATTGGGACTCTATGTTGATGAGCCGTGCGGGCTTTCGGAGCGGAAAATAAGACACTGCTTTGCATTCGGAATGTGATTCCCTACATTGACTGACCCATGCATCGACTTGGGGTAATGTTCGCACGTGAACGTCAGAGAGGATGCTTTCGGGAGCTTCATAACTATGGTATATTCGAAGTCAACTCTCTTGGAAATCCATGAGCCCCTTTTCTAACTTACCAAAGATAGGGAGCAGGTAGAGGGAAATCCAGCATGGACGGATCCCCTTTTTTGAGATATCTCCGTCAAGGAAATATAGCACGTCCAGGCGCAGAAGACCAGAGGAATCTTCGGTTTCTCCATGAGGTAGGATACTAGCAATGCCAAACATCTTCTGTGGATTGTCTTCTGCAAATTTCCAAGTCTCATGGAATTCACCCTCTCCACCAGTTTGGAAAATCGGTAGTTGATCCAGTAGCAAATTGCAAAGATGGCATCCGTGAGCAGCAGAGTTCTTCAATCCGGATATATTATGATGTCTAAAGTTACCAAACTTGGTTGAATGGTCATCACGATGCTGCCACATTCGTCTTTGTTGTTGTGTCGCTGGTCTCGCCGGTATCGGTGGCACACCATCACGATGTCCAGATTCCGAGATGGCTGGATCGTTGTCGACGGTGTTTGCACCCTTGCCACGAGAAAGACCTAGGTCATTTTCGATTTCGCCATCGCGACTCACGATCCGCTGTTCCCAATGACCACCGAACAGCCTAGTGCAAACATCGCACATCTGCGATTTGCTAGTGGTTGCCATGCCTATTCCAGCTATAGCGGGCTATTCGAGCTCAAAAACTGCAAGCAAACAAGCCAAGTTTCTGGCAAAGTGGTCTGATAAGCATGACATCGTAAGACGAGCATCGAATGTGACTCCTTCATGAACCCCATCAAGTCGAAGCAAAGGTCATCAATTGAGCGACCAAGGGCAATCACACCATAACTTTCTCTGGTCATGAATCGCGATCGAGAGTTTTGATGTTGAATTTGTAGTTTCAGGAGAGTGAATACCCGATATACGTGGTTGTCGACTGCGTAACCTGTTGTGGCTAGTGAATGCCTTATCGATAAGAACCAAAATCTTGGCTGAGAAATTACCTGACTTTTTTGTCTGGGGTTTCTTCGCCGCAGGGAGATCCATTCCTTTCCCACAGACGCCCAATATGGCGCCTTCACAGCTCAAACAACTGAAGGCTTCCCTGCGCGAGCATGGGCTCCGCGGCCCTCAAAAGTCTAAGAAAGAACGGAAGGCTACCGGGAAGGATGCCCAAAAGCGAACTCAGCGCCACGCTGCCCTCGAGAGCATCAGGGAACGATTCAATGTCTTTGAGGTCAAGGGCCCGAAAAGGGAGAAGTTCGAGGTTGCAACTGGACGGAGACCTCAGGCATCTTCAGTACGTCCTGGCGTCACACGAGGCCTGGGTGAAGAGCGAAGACGGGAAACATTGTTGAAAGAGATGCAAACCCGCAACAAAATCGGAGGCCTCCTCGATCGACGATTCGGAGAGAATGACCCTACCATGACGCCTGAACAACGAGCCGCCGAAAGATTTGCCCGTGAAAACGAGCGGAGGCTGAGAAAGACGTCAATGTTCAACCTTGAGGACGACAGCGAGGAAGAGATGACACTTACACATGGTGGAAGGTCATTAGATTTTGGAGGCGATGTCCGGGATGATTTCGATGAGGACGATGTTCCTGCACCGGATGAGGACGTCGCAGATTTCGAGGCGCAAAATGATAGACCCAGGAAGAAGCTGCGGCTCGAGGACTCTGTTGATGACGGCGGAAGTGAGGAAGAAGACGACGACGAGATGCCAGCGCGAAAAAAATCCAAGAATGAAGTAATGAAGGAGATCATTGCAAAGTCAAAAATGTACAAAGCAGAACGGCAAGCGGCCAAAGCGGACGACGACGATCTACGAGCTGAGCTAGACAAAGGGATGGGAGACTTCTACGCGGCCCTTCGTGGACATAACCCACCCGAGAAGCAGCAGGCCGCGGCACCAACCAACGATGCCGAGCCACCTATGGACCCCGCTCGAGCTGCGATGTTGGCAGGCAAGAGTAGGGCAGATGCAGAGAAAGAGTATGAAGCGAACCTAAGAGAATTGAAACTGGAGGCTCGTTCCAAACCTAGTGTTCGGACAAAGACAGCCGAGGAGAAGGCTGCTGAGCAAGCTGCAAGACTAGAAGAATTAGAAAGGAAACGCCTGCGACGTATGAAAGGCGAAGCAGAAAGCTCAGAAGATGAAGACGATGCCGGGCTTGGCCCAGATGAGGACTTTGACGAAGACGACGCAGAAGCGTTTGGTTTGGCTGCCCCAGAAGCGGTTCCTAGAAAAGTGTTAGATGTGGAGGACGAAGACGAATTTGTTCTTGACGATGACTTGGTTACCTCTGACTCTGATGCAGAGATGGCCAGTGATCAGGACGAGGATGAGGACGAGTTCGAAGAGGAGCCCGAAGATGATGGTGACGACGATTTCATAAATGGCTTGGTCTTGCCACAACAACCCAAGCCGAAGACGCAATCGACGGAAAAAGTGGTCGTCAGCGACAATCTCGCCTATACATTTCCGTGCCCTCAAACCCACGACGAGTTACTGAATGTGACAAAGGATACCGAGTTCACCGATCTACCAACTATCGTCCAACGAATCCGTGCACTCTACCACAAAGGGCTTGCCCAAGGCAATCAACAGAAGCTGGATGTGTTCGCTGGGGTGCTGTCACAGCATATTGCGTATCTCGCCGACAACCACAGCGACGTGCCCTTTTCGGTGTTGGAAAGTCTTCTACGACATCTCCATTCCATGGCAAAGGCCTCGCCGCAGGCAGTCGGTGTTGCCTTCCGTACTCACCTCGAGAGTATAGCCGAAAAACGAGCTCTCAAGCTGTCTCCCGGAGATTTGATCGTCCTGACGGGTGTAGCGACAATTTTTCCTACCTCTGACCACTTCCACCCTGTGGTTACCCCGGCCATGCTGACCCTTGGCCGGTATCTGGGTCAAAGCACTATCCAAAGTGTGCAGGATCTTGGAACTGGAGCATACTGCTGCTCACTTTCCCTCCGTTACCAACGACTGGCCAAGAGACATATACCCGAAGTGGTTACCTATGTTGTCAATGCTTTGGCTGCTCTAGCACCTGTACCACTGCCCGAGCAAGACAAGGATGGACGTCCACTGAACGTTCCAACTAGACTACCAAGGGTCCCGTTGCGAATCAACTCACACACAAATGCTCCCGAAAAGTTAGCCTTCAAGGATCTTGTGATGAATGCAGACATGCAAGATGATTCCTCGAAGCGTACGGCTCTATTGAGTACGTTTATTCGCATCTGTGCGCAGTCTGCCACGCTATGGAAGCAAAAAACCGCCTTTCCAGAACTGATAGCCCCTTACATTCAAGCTCTTAACCACGTCGTCTCCCACCCAAGCAAGCTCTCCAAGCAAACCGTTGCCCTTGCTTCTAGCACATTACAAACTCTACAGTCTCTTCAAACTGCATCCATCGAGGCACGGAAGCCTCTGCTCCTGCACAACCACCGACCTTTGGCAATCAAGAGCTCTATCCCAGCCTTTATCGAGAACTACAACCCAGATCGCCACTATGATCCTGACAGACAACGAGCCGAGCTTTCGAAGCTCAAGGCAGAGCACAAGAAGGAACGAAAGGGAGCGATGCGTGAGTTGCGGAAGGACGCAAATTTCATTGCCCGGGAGCAACTCAGAGAGAAGAAGGAGAAGGATGCGGCGTACGATAAGAAATTCAAGAGGCTCGTCGCTGAGATTCAAGGTGAGGAAGGTCGGGAGCAAAAGGACTACGACAGGCAGAAGAAGAAGAGACAGGGACGATTCTAGACATAGTTGTACAAGTTGTAAAAACAGTAATCCATATGCTGCCCTCAATTTCTATCGCCCCCAAAGACACTGAGGATTGGTCATGGCCAAACCACGCTTGACAGCGGTGGACGACTGACAAGTGTAGCCACGGTCTGGAGAGCCGATGTACTCCGTGCTGGCTCGGCACGTGTACCGTAGCTTTGCCATCGCGGAAGCTAATCGCCGTCAGCCGCCGTACTTGCAGAAACAAAAAAAAAGTTGGTCCTGGCGAGATTTGAACTCGCGACTTTCGCATATCTCGAAAGATTCATAAAGGATGCAAGCATACAATATAAGAACGACACGCTAACCTGCTGCGTCACAGGACCGTAGTATTGGCGGCGACAGAGTGGTCGACAGGAAACCCAACTTCCCAACTTGTGCGTCAAAATTGATAAAATTTTCGAGGGTTTCAGTATATGACCCCTACTAAAGCCACGTGATTTTAACGCTCCATTGTCTCCAGGGCATGTTCTGAGGCAACTTTCTTCGAATATTAGTATGAAATACTGCGTCCATGAAATGTAATATTGCAGGCAAGGTGAGGTCCACTGGCTCAAGCTGAAACTATCCTATCCTTCCTTTCTTTGTTTTCTTTTCTTTATAGCTTTCCACTTGTGACACACCCTCGCTGGGTTTGACTGGAGTGCTAGGCCTTCACTTAATTCAGCCGCCGACATGGCGTCCAAGAACGGTACGGGTGTCGAAGACGACGAAGACGACTACATGAACATGACATTCGAGGAGCCGGCTGCCTCGAGAAAGAGCGAGACCTTGACTCAACGCAAGAAGCGACTTGCAAGAGAAGCGGAGATTAAAGGGCGGCCCAAATCGAAGGCGGAACTGGCAGACGAAGAGCGCAAGAAAAGAGATGCGGCGCTGAAGACTACAACGCTGGACACGAGCAACAAAGGGTTCAAGATGATGGCAGCGCTCGGATACAAGCCCGGAACTGCGTTGGGTGTCTCTCGCGGGGACGAGAGCCAAACCAAAGATGATCGCCTGCTCGAGCCTATAGGCCTTGAAATGAAGGACTCGCGCAGCGGTATTGGTGCAGATGCAGAGAAGAAGCGCAAGTTCCGGGAAGAAGTCGAGGCCCAAGTAGAGGTTGAGAAAAAGCAAAAGGTCGAAGCAGGAGACTTTCGAGAACGACAACAGAAAGAGCGCGAGGAGAAGAAGATGGAAGGACAGATGTGGGGTGCTATGAAAGTCTGTGAGAGACTCGAGGAAGAGGATGAAGATGCCGAAGCCTCGTCTGGTGAGAATGGCGACACAGTCAAGCCCAGGAGAACAAAACCATTGAAGAGTGTCAACGTCCTTTGGCGCACCTTGGTCAAACAGAGAGCTATAAACGAGCGAGATCGCAGGATGAGGTATGACCTGCAACAGTCTTTGTCAAAGCGGCCGGACTACAATGACCCGGACGAGGAGAAGGAAGATGCCATGGCACTCGGCAGGAAGGCTGAAACGGAGGAAGTTGATATAGACATCGATGAAGAGGACGAAGAGCTCGATGAGTTTGCAACACTGGAGGTCTCTGAGCGACTGGCGAAGCTGGTCGCATACCTCAGAGAGAGATGGAATTACTGTTTCTGGTGCAAGTTCAGATACCCCGACATAGAGATGGAAGGGTGTCCTGGCCTGACCGAGGATGACCACGACTGAAATTCTGTCATACTCGATGATAGAAATATAAAATAGGAATGTTGCATCGTTGGCACGTCGCGAACCTTGCATGAATGGCCATCGTGATTCTCAATAGGTGAGGTGGTGAGTGGAGATGCCAGCAAGGGAGGTATTCCGCTGACTGCTTGAGCGACTGTGTCTGCAGCCTCGTTCAGCCTTGCCGGATTCATGATATTCTATCATTGCACTACCCTCGTTCTCCTTCTTTCCTACTTTAATGCATACTCCATCGAGGTGAAATCGACCATGGTGCTACAAATATGTCTTTCGTCTCCTCTAATCGCTTCGTAGCAGTCATTCTCGTCATTGGGCTCGCAACGGTTTGTTACTCAGTCCCCGGTCTTCTACAACAAGTCAAAGATGCTGCACGAGCACCCGAACCCGATCCCCCGCCGCCACGCAAACGCCTTCAAAAGGATTCTGAGAACTCTTTAAAGATCGGAACTCTACGTACTCTAGCGGATGGATACAATTACGAGCTGCGTACCTCGGCGTTGAAGATCGTGAACAGTCGTACCGTTCATTCTCGAGCCAAGGACCTTTTACTCCGCGACTTGGCCAGCAAGGACTACGAGCGGCGCGACAAAGCGATCAACGCGTTACTGTTGTTGCTGAAACAGCAGCATACCCACAGTAGGAGGAGCAGCCTGCTCGCGGAGTTTGATATCTCCAAACGCCTCAAGGCTACCGTGCAGGCCTTGATCAACGTCTTGCCGTTGCACGAACCCCTCGGCCATGAGGAAAAGGGTCTCCCACAGTCGCCTATCTTACCTCCGAGTCGACCGGCTCAGGAAGAGTCGTTACTGGTGATCTTGAATTATATGCTCACAGAAGAGACCTCTGGAAACGTGATGGACGAACCGCCCATCTACAGCGCACTCGCGGCAGGACTCGTCACGAAGTGGTTGGTAAAATACCCTTTTCCGTGTGCTCTGCCAGAGAACCAGGGGTACAACTTCAAGCGTTCGGACGTTGCGCGGCTCTTCGAGCGCTCTGCATGGAAGAGCGATGATCACCTCATGGCTGGCATTATCTTCCAGGTTGTCCACCATCCACGGGGCCGCAAGCAGATGCGCGAAGCCGGTCTGCAGGCGAGCAGCTACAGGGAGAATCTAGCTAATGATAGCTGGAACAATGCTTGGGTCACCGAGCGCTGGGATCAAGATGATAGTGATGACGACGACGACGTTGTCATGGTTGGAGGGGAGGACACTGCGGGCCAAGTCAGAGACGACGTGACGGACTGGGACGGTACGGTACTCCCAATTTCATCGGCTACAAGGCAACGGTCAGTGGAAAGAAGTCTGGAAGAAGAGCACCTGAGACGAAGACATCGAGAGGCAATCGTCGTCGCCGAGCGAGGTACTCCCTTGAGTAGAGAGAATATCCTGCAACGCGCCGACAGTAGGGTTCTCAGGCCTATGAACGGCGTGAGTGAGGTTGAGGGAGACTTGAATGGTTTGTTGGGCCTGTCTGCGAATAATGACAGCGATGGTTCAGTGAGCCCTCAGGAATCGCGCTCGGAGTCTCATGGTTTCCTGCCGACTAGAGCATCCGCCAACGATGCCACATCAGACAATTCAACCCCGGACGATTGAACTCATGCATTTGATTTCGTTTTAGGAAACGTCTAGTCATGAGCCAGGACGGGTGGCAGCCCCAACTGAATTTAGCAGCATTAATAGGTATGAATGGGACGAGCAAGGGCGTCACGGCGTATCGGTATACCCACACAATAGGAAAAATGCCAGCTATGCCCATGGAGCTGCTCACTCTTTGTCAAAACTAAGCAACAGAGTCTGGTTATGCTCCTCTGTTCTTCTCTTGGATTTTTTTGACGTTTTTTGAACGAACGATGCACAGTGCCCACGGGAGGGAATCTTGCTCAAAATTGATTGATTTTCATTTACAGCGTCCGACCACCCTTCACCCTTCGATGGGGTACGGTCATGGCTGACTTCTAGATCCATTGCATTTTTTTAGCCTTGTGAACAGCGCCCATGGACCTAGACCTCATGCATCATGCGGCATTCATATGATGCCCTGTCACCGGTCTGCAACCTCCCCAAATATGGCAACATACAAGACCATTCGTCCCCTCGTTTCTCGGTCTTCCTCCTTTACTTCAATGGGATGAATCGTGAAGAGTGGGTAGCACCGATACCGGGTCTACCGTGCTTGACGGGCTTGTACGAGATGGAGAATTCACCGAGGTAGTGGCCGACCATTTCAGGCTTGATTTCGACCTGGTTGAACTCCTTGCCGCTGTAGATACCGATGACGCTGCCGATCATCTCTGGCACGATGATCATGTCCCGGAGGTGTGTCTTGACGAGGTCGGGCTTCTCGTTGGGCTTTGCGTTCTGCTTGGCCTTGCGCAACTTCTTGATCAAACCCATTGGGCGGCGCTTGAGGCCTCGGTTGAATCGACGGCGGGCGCGGGCATGGAGGATGTTGATGAGTTCGTTGGAGGGGATGTCGAGCAGTCTGTAGATTGCAGAGAGAAAAGAAAAAATCGTCAATTCCTGCGCGGGGAAAACAAGCTTGGATGAACCCTTTTGTTCACCGGGGGCGGGACGTACTGATCGAGATCAATGCCTCTGTATGAAAACTTGCGGAATGCTCTTCTCTTCTTGAGCTCAGCGGCCTCCTCGGCGTTCTAGCATCGCCAAAACTGTTAGTCCTTGTGGGCAAGAGAGTTCTTTGTGTGACATCGAGACATACGTATTCGGAGTCAGCCATGATTACAATGGTCTGCGCGTTCGCTTTTCGAGGTGACTGTCGAAAAGCGAGGAGGGTGGATGGTTGTGCAGTTGGTGGTCGGTCAGTGTGTCGACGATTTGCAGCCAACGTCGAGATTCAGTCCTGTGAGGCTTGGCGCGCCTGCGGATTTTCGATTTTTGTGGGAGTCCACCTCCCACACACGTGACACGAAATCTTGGCACGTACAGGCTTCGGGGGCCGCGAGTTAGTGGTACATCTACGCACCTAGTCAGGAAGTACCGAAGGGATGGTCAGATGGGATGGCTCGTAGTGACAAACAGCGAGGGACAAGATATACCAATGCTGCTACGTAGAGGGCTTAGCAGGCAGAAATCCGACAACAAGAATAGTGTGTCGTCTGCATACATGCGGTAACGAACGAACTTAAAATGATGGACATGCATTTTGGACTCGATTTGGTATTGTCATTGATCGTCTAAGCCTGGGGGCCTCAATCTGCGCATGGCGATGGCCCTTAAGTCATGATGGCAAGTAGCCCTTTTGATTGAACAGCCCTTTCGCATCGCTTTTCCGGTACCCGTAAGTTGCCTTTGCGTCCAACACTGACCAGCCATTTCGACAGTGTGAGTTGGTAGTAATTCAACACCGATAGCTTAGTCGAAGAGACCGAATCCCATGTCCTCGTCAGACTCCTCCTTCTCCTCTTCCTTCTCGGCTGGCTTCTCTTCTTCAGCAGCAGCGGCACCACCGGCGGCAGCACCACCAGCAGCAGGGGCTGCTCCACCAGCACCACCAGATGGGACGGACGCAAGCTTGGTCGAGCCTTCAGCGATCAACTGCAAATAGTCAGAAATCCATTCCTCAATGCACAGAAGAGTACTGTCCATACCTCGCTGATGTCCTTGCCCTTGAGCTCTCCGATCAACTTTTCCAGGCGCTCATCGTCAGCATCAACACCAACAGATGAGAGAACACCCTTGATGTCGTCCGCCGAGGGTTCGCTGTTGCCGGCGAGGCCGAGGAGGAGGTAAGCCGCGAGATGCTTCATTTTGATAGATTTTGTCTGCGAACACTTTTAGCGAAAGCCGATCGACCAGAATTCGCGCAACATACGACTTTTTGGAGGGTCGAACAAGAGAGACAATCGATTTAACCGCGAATTGGGCGGAGACTGGCACGTCAAGTTCTGGAGATGTTTCTTCGTGATGTGTGTGAGAGGCTACTGAAAGTGCGATTTGAGGTTGTGCGCAGAGTCAAATTGTGTGGGATTTTTTACTAGGGCAAGTCTGCCGAGTGCAAGGCCGCACTAGTCCTTTTCCGGCCGTGCCATTTACCAGATTCCAGCAAGGCGAGTTGCGGGGGGCGACTCATGACTTCTTCTTTGCTATTCAATCCGTCTTATTGACTACGAGGCTCTTGCCATGAATTGTTGAAACGCTATGCTCTCCCATATATCGTTCATTTCACTATAATCCAAGCCCCGTTCTCTGCTTATACGACCAGCAAACATGCGGAATCGTTTTTCAGGCCATTACACAACTTCAACTTTCTGATTACCTCTCTTTTCCACCACATTCCTTGAGGTCTTCGTTCTCAACATGAGCTTCCTGGGCGATATAGTCAATTCGATAGGCAGCGAGAAGTCACCCGCGCCACCAAAGCCCTCAATTCGACCCCTCGGCCCAGCATCACATCGTCCCGAAGCCGATGGTAAGACTGGGCCGCGACCCGGTCTTCCGGCAACAGCTTCACCACTCAATGGGCTGAAGCGCAAAGCCGAAGATGGCCCTACAAAGCCGATCGAGAAACACATCAAACCAAACCCTGCACCTGGCTTGACAAGCAGCGTAGCCCGACGACCCGCTGCGCCTGCTCTCCACGCGCCGAAATCCCTTCCTGACAAGACGGTACCAGCTCCGAGACTAAAGATCGATGCTACGGCCAACTCCAATAAAGCAGGCTCAACACCGCCGGTAACACCTACGAGTACGAATGCCACTGCAAAAGCCCCCGCAAAGGGATCATATGCAGACATCATGGCGCGGGCAAAACAAGCGCAAGAAGCAAGGATGCAGAGCCAAGTTGGAATGATCAAGCACCAGGCAACGAACAGGGAGAAGGTTTCCAAGGTGGCAGAAAGAAAGCGTCAAGAAGAGGAGAAGGCAAAGTCTGCGAAAGGTAAACTTGGTGAACGCCACCCTTCTACGACAAAGCCCGACAACTCTCGCAGCGTTAGTCCCGCGAAGAAGGCAGAACATGCACGGGTCATCAAGACTCCACGGCCCCCTCTCCACGCTCCACCTTCAGGCTACAAAGGCACAATGGGTCTTTCTTCGGGAAGAAGCCAAAAGCAGGCGCAGCGTAAGCGCACCAAATATGACGAGTATCTCGGCACTGATGAGGAGGAGGACGATTCGGATCTTGGCAGCTATGGCAGAGATGAGGAAGAGGACAATTACGGATCTGACGCTTCATCTGACATGGAAGCCGGGGCATTCGACATTGATGAAGAAGAGAACAAAGCTCTCCGAGCTGCTAAGGAGGAAGATGCGAGGGAGTTGGCGTTGGAAAATCAATTGAAGAAGGAAAAAGAAGAGCGCCGGAAGAGGCTGCTTGCCATGGCTAACAAGCGCAAGTGATTATGTGCATCTACATCACGAGGTCCAGACTTTCATATTATTACTGACATTTAGCATTGGTGTTGGGGTTTGCATAGCAGCAAAGACAATGATACAAATAAAGAAATGTTTAAAGCGCCTCTGGGATGCACGCTGTGCCTCCATCTTCCTCTCATATGAGCTCACACAGTGCCATGTCCTTATCATCACAGCTGTCACGGACGCACGCACGGGCATATCCTCCGTTCATGATATTCCTTCTGGGCGTATGATACGCTATGTCGGTCTCTCTCTCTCTCTCAGGCAAGTCCTGAAAACAAGTTTCCTGATGGTATCTCAAAATGCAGAGACAAGATGACAGTGACAAGAAGGTTTATAGGACTATACATGTCAGGCTTCATGATCATAAGCTTGATATCCTGCTGATTTTGGCATCAAACTATTATGGTCTAACGACACGATTTGCCCAGATTGAGCCATGCATACTACCGTCACATCCCTTCTTCCCGATGTTGTTTGTTGTCCCCAATATTCCTCCCCAGACTAGTCAGAGACCAGACTCTCGACATCAGATCCCTCGACACGGTAGAAACCAAGGGACGTCAACATTGGCTTGTCGTGGAATCTGTACAAATAGACTGTTTCATCACCTTCGGCGGTGTGTTGATACTTGTTCCACGCCGGGACACAGAAGGTATCGCCTTGCTTCCACTGGATGCGTTGGCCGTTGACAACACTATAACCCCTACCACTGACGATGTGGTACACCGACGACGCCGTCTCTCGTACCGCAGGAGAGGTACACCCTGCGTTCAAGCGCTCGGCGGAACCTCCCAGGATTTTGGATACTGGGAGGCGAAGAAAGAGTCAGTCGATCGTGAACTTCGAGGTCTCATCCGAAGGCATTTGGGAGAACATACCTGGTCTTCCATCCTTCTTCAAGTAATCTTCAGAGGCCCAGTCGCCTTCCTTCTCGTCCAATTTCTGCTGCATCACCTTCCAGGGAAAGACGATGGGGGAGTCGTTCGAGTCCACATCCTCAGCAGGGTATCTCGGCTTTTGATAATGCTCGACGAAATGCACCGGAAAGTGTCTGAAGTTAGGCAGATCTAGACCGTCGAGCCAGATCATGGGGCCCGAGCCGTCCTTGCCATGATCGTGCCAGTTCCAGGTCGGTGTAAGGATGACATCGCCCCGTTGCATGGTGATACGACGGCCGTGGACGGCAGTAAAGCCGCCTTGCCCCTCGATGATGAAACGCATGGCAAAGGCAGTATGTCGGTGTGCCTTGGCCGTCTCGTTGGGCATCACCAACTGGAGGCCGGCGTACAATGTATCGGTGGTATATGGGGCATCTTTGCACAAGGTGTCAGACCCCGTTCGGTGTATGTTACTGGGGGGGAAACACACCTCTGGCAGGATTGACTAGCATCAATACCCGTCGCTCTGCTTGTTGTTCTGTGATGATTTCTCCTGCTTTCAGGAGGCTCGGTCTGACTTCGTCGTATCGCCAGATGTATGGTATGCATTGGGGATTGGGCTCTGGAGGGTTCAGTCTAGCCATCTGTGTCCAAAGTGGCTTGGTGTTGACTTTGAGCGCACTCTCAACAAGTTCCTCCGCCGGGTCCTTTGACCCATTGCCTTGTGTCATTGTCTGAGTTGTGGTGGCCATGCTTGTTGTGTGACTATCCCTTCGAGACTTTGCTGTCGATGTTAAACGGGCCTTGGACTTTGTGAAACCAGTCAGCGCCTATATACCACAACACTCTCAGACGAAGCATGTCTGTAACGAGGCAACAAAACATCCCCAGAGCCGGAAACCTCGCTCGGATCCATTCCGTCTTGGTGGATGTCAAGAACGAAACAAAACAGTCGCCAGGGTGAGGAGTAAGAAAGAGCGAGCCGATGCACACCCGACGGCAAGTCGAACCCCACCGCAGTCTTCACGGAATAGGACAAGGTTCTCCAGCAGTCAGTCCTAGGATGGATTGAGATGGGCTAACGTCGGTTCGCACCATGCTGGCCTTGAAGGTCGCCGGATACACGTTGACGACAGCCCAACATAATATACCCTACCGTGAGGTATACTGGACGCTGGCCCACATATCAAGGAAGCACGCATCTGAAAGTCGTCAACGGGAAAGAAACACAACGGAACCACGAGAATGCCCAGTTTAATAGATACTCAGGCCTCAGCGGAGGTGGACTTCATCCCCATCCCAGAGGTAATCCTACCCAGTGATCGGTCAGCTCCGGCGACGAGAAGGGAACTGATGAGATGATAGTCAGCTTCGTATCCTACAGGAAGTCTCGACTTTCTCGTGAAGTTTCAGCAGAAAGAAGAGCAACGGCTGAAGGCAATGCGAGCCTCCTCATTGATCAATCTGGAAGATAGGTCACCGATACGACTCGATATCATTGTCGTTGGTGCTGGCTTGGGAGGTCTCGCTGCTGCCATTGCACTCGCCCGGAGGGGTCACAAAGTCACTGTCTTCGAACAAGCCCCTGAGCTTGGAGAGGTGAGTGCCGTCTTCTTCTGGCCTGACATAACATTGAGCAGCCACTCACCGCCAACCGCAGGTTGGAGCCGGTATACAGATACCCTCGAATTCGACTCGACTACTGATAAAATGGGGTCTGGAGCCCTTCCTGGCAAGCAAGATCGTGAAGCCAGGCCACATCGCCTTCCGTAGATGGGAGGACGGTAAGACCATCGGCTTGACCAAGCTCATCCCACACTTTGAACGGGAATTCGATGCCCCTTACTACGTATTGCACCGAGCACATTTCCACGACGCCATGTACCAGCTAGCGCTTCAATTGGGCATCGTGGTGAAGATCAATTCCAAAGTCCTCGACTACGACGAGGACGCTCCCTCCATAACGCTCGAAAACGGGGAAATTCATTTAGCAGATCTGATCGTTGGCTCTGACGGTGAGCTCCAAGGTGTTGTGTCGGACCGACACGACTCTCGACTAACACTCTCAACCAGGCTTGAAATCATACGCGCGGACGAAAGTGCTCGGTGGAGTTGACCAAACACCCAAGAAGACAGGCTTCGCAGCCTACCGCGCAACGGTAGATGTGGAGAAGATGAAAGCGTATCCGGACACTGCAGAGGTTTGTGCAAAGCCGAATTTGAATCTATGGTGAGCAAGGACAATCCAACTTTCCACATTTTTGGGGGCCTCTCTTTTAACAAGGTCATGTATGCTTAGGGTCGGCGACATGAGACACGTCATGACATACATGATCGCAGGGGGGAAGTCGTTCAACATGGTTCTATCGCATCCGGACCGTTCAGATCCCAGAACATGGGCGTCTCAATCCTCCGAGCAGGTCCTCGCAGGCATGCGCGCACATTTTAAGGGTTGGGATCCTACGCTCACCAAGATCATTGACATGATCGACACGACACTCAAATGGCCGTTGATGAGCGGCTCGCCCTTACCAAGGTGGGTGTCACGATCCAACAAGCTTGTGATCATGGGAGACGCAGCGCACGCGATGGTGCCGTACATGAGCCAGGGTGCCGCAATGGCCGTCGAGGACGGAGCCGCGCTCGCGGAAGCTCTGCATCACGTCGAGAGCATCGATGACCTGCCGCGAGGCCTGCGCGTCTGGGAAGCCGTTCGCAAGGACAGGGCGGACAAGATGCAGGAAGCCAGCTTGATCAACGGCAAGCTGTGGCACTTTCCGGACGGGCCCTTGCAACAGGCTCGTGACGAGGGTATGAGACCTGAAGTCGAGGGTCGCGAGTATGTCACGAGTCCCAACCAGTGGAGCGATCCCACGACGCAGCGTTGGACGTATGGGTACGATGCGGAGTGGGAGATTAAGAAGGCTTTTGCGGGTTTACGGAAGAAGTTATCCCTGCCAGAAGTCAAGCTATCCAGATAGTCGAGTAAACCACAGTCGTCTTTTCTAGCTTTCGTGATGGCGATATGCCACCGTAGCCAAGGTTAGAGACATTACATCCCTCTTCACATCTCTTGCTTAAGCATCATTGAGTCAGCTACCAGCCAGAGCCACTGACCATGAATTGCATCAGAAGTAAGGGTTGCTATCTGCCGCACAAATCGTTGTAAAGGACTTGGTCGACACCGCACATGGGCACAGGCTCTCGAATAGACACCAGTCCAGACAAGATTACGTGCATGCTCAGCCAGACAACATTGCCGCTATGCCAGTGTCGACACCGACAAGGTCTGAGAAGATGTCCAAATTCGCATCTGTCCAGTATTGAGGCATATGCATATCGAACATCGTAAACGGGTCGTCCGTTTGTATCGTGTTCGGCATGGCACCATTGAGCAACACAGGTGCAGGTGCGCCTATACTGGAAACGGTCACGATTGCCTGTTGCTGTGCCTGTGTTTGGGCAGTGTCTGATGGATATTGATAAGACGAGAAAGCCGATAGAATCGTGGAACCATGCTCCGGACTAAATCGTGCAAGAGCCATACAGATCTGAACAAGTTTGACTAAAGTCCTCTGAATCCTCTTTGATGATCGAGTGCCCTCGCCAAACCGTTGAAGTGCTTCTGCGGCTCGGCGAAGATAAGCAATCATCCCAACGACCCTGTCACAGTCGAACGATTCTGATATTGTGATAGTCGCTCCCCCGTGACTCCACTTATTTACCGTGGTGAGTTTGAGCAAAATGCAGCCAAATATGACAAGGGCTGCGTTGAATGCTGAAAATATCAAGTCAATCACCTGATCGCCTTCTTCAAAGATAAGACTTACTGTAGTATGCAGAGAACCACCATGCTCCAAGCAGAGTCGGAGGTTCGCTTGTCTTGAAAACAATCTGCACTATTTCAGTGGCAGACTTTTCGCAGATCTCGAGGCTTTTCTCGGCCAGTCCGAGGAAGTATGGGTCTTCACCGTCCGTTTGAACCGTGGCCGCTTTGTAGCACGCTCTTTTTCTTAAAAAGGCGCTGAGGACGGGCCTGTGCAGCAATACGCGGGTGTTCAGATACCTTAAAGTGATGACAACACTCAGTCTATCAAAGACTGGATCCCATGTTGACGTTGAGATTGTCTCTGAGTCGAATGTATCCCAAGGTCTCCTTTGGAGCTGGGGGAACAGATTACGCTTCCAGGCTGACAACCTTTGCTCAAGGGCCAGGGTTCGTTCTATGAGGGTGAGCATGGATATATCTGGATCGACGTCAACATTCGAGCCGTAGAGCTGAGTGATCACGTCTCCCAAGATATAGTAAAGTTGGCTATGCACGCCGTTAGTGTGACTATCGGAAGTGCTGTGCCGTTACTCACATTGTAGCAATGTAAAAGCAGACTGTGGCGGGTGGCTCGAGGCTTTCGTTCAACGCTGGCATTCCTCCAAGCGAGCTTGTTGCTAGCCTTTCTAGATTCTGGTTGATTGGAAGCTCCAGCTTGACGTATTCGTTTGGTATGGTTGACGGCCGGCCAAACGTCATGGATAGCGTTCTGCCATAGATCAGCAACCCATTTGCTCGGGGTCGTACGTCGATGTACATGGACAAGAGCCACTGACCTATCTAAAACCATACAAGCAAGCCAAACACGCTTGCGGAGTTCTGCTTCCAGCAAAGAACAGCCGGCGGAGGCAGCTCGCGAATGCAAGCCCAGCTGCAATGCTGCTCGAACTGCTAGTCCATGTAGATTCCAGGCTTGATCAGACCTTTGTGTTCCTTGTTGATACTGAGCCATCAACAAGAGACATTGAACTGGAAAGCATCAGTAATTCGAACTCGGAATCGGGTCACATAAAAAATGGGTTGATATGAATCAAAAGCAGACAAGAAGCTTGACAAATGTCCTGGCATGTATCTCCGCGAAATCCTCTCGAATTTCAGGATCAAAGTAGGATTTGAAGCAGCAACCCGTTGTAGCTTGTGGAAAGACCGGCATTCCTCAGATTACACCATCACCTGCTATCGATTAAGAATAAAACAAGGCCGTTCTCACCTGTCTCGAGTCTGGCGGACTTCAGCTCTATACCAGAAGCCAGTGCCTGTGCTCGTTCAATGAACACATCTGATTCAGCCGCATTTTTCTCCGCCGTCTGATCCGGCTTTGCAGTAATATATGTGGCAAAGGCGAAGATAACGTTGAGAAGGCACAGCCAAGATCGACTGACTGCTGTCAATCGGTTGCGCCGGGCATTTGCATACGTCCTAAGGACACTTTCTTCGTGGATGTACGGAAAGAGCATTCCAGTGTCCGCAAAGAACAGCCTTATCAACAAAAGAACTTTATTCTCTGGCGGCAGTGACCGTACATTGATACCTTGTCGAGCCACTGGGCTCATTTCAGGTGGTAGGGATGTCATGGGAGAGACTGCACGGGATACAATGTCGGTGTTCAGACTATGCTCAGGATGCCTCGATTGGCCCATCGCTTTAAGGGAGGCAGAAGTGGCATCGGATATCTCGCGCAAGAGCGATATATTGGAGGATGGGCCATAGAACCGAGGCTCTTTCTCCTCTGGGTCGGTAATGGCCGCCATGCCATCTACTGAGTCTCCGCCTCCATGTTGTTGTGCAGGGCCGTCGTCGTCGAGAATTGCAACGTCTTCGCCATCGAGGGGAGGGGGAAGAGCTTCGACACTTCCACGAAATTGTCGGTTCGCAATTTCAGCATCGTGGCTGAATTGATCCGACTGCCCTGGTGACTGATCCTTCTGTTGCACAAGTTGTCGTAGTGTATCTTCTATGGCGCGAAGACGTTCATCATAGCCGGTGGGCGCCTGGATGGGTTTACCGTTGCCAGCCGCCGGTTGTTGGTAGACGCACTCGAACCCAAGCTCGATGCAGAGACTGCAGGAAGGTTTCGCCCCATTGCAACGTGATTTCCGGTTCCTGCAGGAAGTGCAGGCTAGCGCTATCCTGCGTCTTTTGTATGATGGTGGCGGAGAGGTAGTCTCTTGCGAGTCAGGGCGCGAGTGAGATGCTGGCATAGTGCTGGACTTCAACAGCCCGAGCTCAGGAACCGGTGGAATGATCTGTCACGTGTAGGATTCACTATCATCAGATTCCGACGTACAATCTGTCGCCATCCAGGGTATATCGGGAAGGGTATCGATGGTTGATAGAGGCTGAAATGTCCAGGGTTGTCAACAGGATGGATAGAGACGATCGCATTAAGAAATGGCATGGATATCCCGTTCCATCATTTCTCTGTTCTTTAACATTTGTGCACAGGGCAATCGTGAAATCGCGGGCTCTACCGAAGCAAACAGCTGCTCGCACACATTCAAGGCGGCATAGGCCTGTCCACACCGCTCAATGATTGATGGATAGACAGACCGTGATGGCCCAATGTAATTGGGGTTTCCGACCTCTCCCCGGCGCTGTGCGAAGTTCGTAGTCTAAGTTCCGAGTGTGGAGCAAGATCGCGAATTGGGCGGCGGTTGTTCCTGTAGCCCCACGGTTACCCCTTGTTCGGTAAGCACTGTATGTCTGGGTTTCCCCCGAGATTGCTTAGAAAGTTTGACCGTCTTCTTATAGGTCTATTTTGAGCTTTTGACGCCTGTCGACATCCTCCGCTGTTGAGCGGTATTCTATAGCATAGTCTAAGGCTCTCTACTCTTGGAGTCAGATCCATTTCCTTGACTACAGATTTCAATGGTGGCACATTGCCCCAGATAGCGCTTCGATCATGATCTTGAATTTTTGAGGGACTCGATAAAAGAACAGTGGTGCTCACTTTGCTGGAGCCAGCGAACAAAGTTCGTAAACATCAAAGACCTCCGTGATAGGGGCATCTTGTGACACCGTAAAGGTCGATACGACGCCGCCTTGCAAGAAGAACGTGTTGGTGAATGCATATGCGCCATCGATGGCAAACAGCTCGCAGACGAAAGCGTCTAGTATGACGTGAACGTCGTAGACGCTTTGCGTGTTTGGAACCCACATGCAGACCTTGTCGTCAAACAGAGGATGGTCCCACGAAGAGCCCGTACGAGTCCCGCCGCGGTCCAGAGAAACAAACATCCCTTCGACTTCAACTAGGAAATTTAGCCCGATCGAGTGGCCGCTCCGGTTTGCAATGTCTACAGACACCCGGGCAGCCGGCGTCCCCGACCTGATCTTGAGTTTGAACTCGAACGCGCCGGATCCGCTCTGCAGGCGCCTCTCGTATATGACCTGGATAGACGGGTAGTCTTTGGCGGAACCGTTGGTATAGACCATCGCCGTTTCATCAGTGTGCAATCGAGCGTTGTCCAGGTCTATAGGCCGCGAGATGAGCGACAAGGACTTTGTGGCTACGTTCAAAGAAACCTCGCGGACGGTGAACTTGCGAGGGAGGGACATCGCTGACCGGTACCGCTCGGCCGGCACGCGGTTGCAGTACTGCCAGTTGCTTGCCCATCCAATCCCATATACCGCGCCATCTGGAGAGTCGAACCACGTTTGCGCCGCATACCAGTCTTTGCCCAGATCTGCTGTTCGCAGGTAATTGTCGCTGCTGGTAAAGGTGGTGCCATCAAAGTCCCCCAGGAAGTATTGGGTAAAGCTTCCACCCAGAGGTGCACCCGGCCCGATACTCAAGAATAGCACCCATCTCTTGCGGTCGCTGTCGTTGTCCCACGGCACCTGCACCAAGTTGGGCATTTCGTACTGGTACCCGCGGACACCAGAGCCTTCAAAGTCCGACAGATGATGCCAGTGGATGAGATCCGGGCTGCCGTAGAAACCAACCTTGAACTGATGACATTTTGCAACGACCATTACCCACTGGTTCGATGGCTCATGCCACAACACCTTTGGATCCCGGAAATGTGCCCAGCCTATGTCGAGCACTGGGTTGTGTTTGTACTGCGTGAATGTATAGCCCCCGTCCGAGCTCAAGGCAACGTTTTGCGTCTGGTGCCCTTGTGTGTGGATTGTGAATATGGCGACAATCCGGTCATCTGGGCTGGCTGACTCGTCGAACTGACCCGAGGTGTTGTTGCGATCAACCACACAGCAGCCGGACCATATTGCTTCGTGATCCGATGGCGCCATGATGGCTTTCTTATGCCACCGCCAGCTCAAGAGATCGTTCGACGTCGCATGGCCCCATTCTGGATGGCCGGCGACCAGGCTTCGGTCGTCCAGTTGGTAGTACAGATGCCAAATGCCGTTGCTATACACCAGACCATTAGGATCGTTCATGAACCCCTTTTGGGGCGTAAAGTGGAGGACAGGCCGCTGGTCCTCATTTCTCTTAACATCCACGGTCATATTCTGTCTACTCTTGCTGCATGCGATCATGAAGCGCTCCTGTGCACATGTACCCGTAACAGAGCGGAGTCGTGGTGAGAGCGGAGAAGCAGGAGATCAAAGAAGCCAGGGAGCGGAGGAGCAATACGGTGCACCTTCATAAGAATGATGTTAGGTACGGACAAGAAAAAGCATTCCTTGACCTCAGAGGGCTATAGCCTCACTTAAAGGCTTAGGAAATTTGTGCCTTAACCTATGATGGTAATACTCGGGTGCTCAGAATCCTTAGTCCAGCGTCCGGACAGTGCACGGAGCGTTCTCCATATGAAGCACGATCACGTATCGCTCTCCTGCCGAAAGTGAGTCGCCACTTTAATGCCGGGTCATCGTGAACATTTCCAGTGAGGTTATATTTCTTCCCGAACCTTACTGAGCGGCCGGGCATCGGTGTATTCGGGGATAGTCGGTCCAACTTCCTGTAGAGATCACTGCGAAATGCAATTCTGGAGAGTGGACGTGGCATGACGCCAAGGGACTTCCACTCACGGCTGCAGAGAGCTCAAATACCTTCACACGATCTTAGCCTCTCCAGGGCCGCTTGGGGAAAGTCATTTCATGTAGAGTGGATTCTGCTGACCGTACGGAGTAGGTCCCGCCTTCACACGTGTAGCGCCCCTGATCCAGAGCTTCTACGGGGGCCGAGACCGACCAAGGATGTGATGGTCCCCAGGCCCAACGCTGCTGGCTTGGGGCAGCCTCAAGTGTTAAGAGATACGGCGGGGTATGAGGCCGAGTGTGTGGGGGCATTGTCTAGTGTTGCGGCCAAGGATCTCGTCGGGGGTCGTCGGGACATGCTTGTCAAATCGTCGCAAACATACTTTCTCGAGAGCAGACAAACACATGCCACAAGTTGACAGGTTATCATTGACACACCGGGTGCCCTTGGCGTGAATTCACACACGCTACACAGTATATACATGGACACAAAGAGAGCCTTACCCGGAATCTGTCAACCATAGCACTTGCCGGGAAATTTCTCTTATACGGGTCACGATTGTTAATCTTTTGGTCTCAGTCGCTGGCATACCAAGCCCACCGACTTTGGGATTGGCGTCTATGACTGCGAGATTTACTAGCTTGCTAGCGGCGTGGTGTGAGTAAGGCGCATGCATACCGACAGTCATCAATCTGGACAAGATACACAGCCATGTCACAGCCCAAGGTTGCGGTGTCGATGAACCCGCTTCACGTCCGGGACCCAGAAGTCGATGGTCCACAGGGGGATGCCATCCCCTTCTTCTACGACGGCAAGTACCATCTCTTCTACCTAGAGGCGCCGGCACTCAAGTACGACCAGCCTGACCGCGGCCGCACTCCCTGGCGACATATCGTCAGCGACAATCTCGTCGACTGGCACGACCTAGGAATTGCGTTGCCCCTCGGCACAGGCGATGATCCCGACGTCGATGGGATCTGGACAGGTTCGATCATTGCAGTCGACGGCGTGCTGCACGTCTTCTACACCGGTGGCCGGCGTGCAGCGAGTATCCCGCAGACAATCTGCCATGCGACGAGCACGGACGGCGTGGTGTTCAAGAAGAGTCCCTCAAATCCGATCCATTTCCCGCGGAGCGACTGGTTCGAACAGCGCGACTGGCGTGATCCTTTTGTGTTCTGGAACAAAGAGCATAAGCAATACTGGATGCTCGTCACAGCGCGTGCGCGCGAGGGCCCTCTCGGACGTAGAGGGGTGATCGCGTTGAGTACTTCTGATGATCTCGTGACCTGGACCACTGTGCGCGAACCTTTCTACGCCCCAGGCAGCACATACTCGATGGAATGCCCCGAGGTATTTCGCCTCGGGGGGAAGTGGCGGCTGGTCTTTTCCCGCTTCACCGAGCATGCCGCCACCGTCTACCGCGAGGCGGAAGATCTAAGCGGTCCATGGCGCACGCCGAAATACCCGGCATTCGATGGCGCCCACTGGTATGCCGCGAAGTCTCTGGAGGACGCGCAGGGACGCCGGATTGCCTTTGGCTGGGTCCACGATCGGCGCGGCTTCACAGAGGGAGGTGAATGGCTGTGGGGCGGGGACATGTGCCTGCCACGCGAAATCTTCGTTGGTGAAGATGATCGTTTGTGTGTACGGATGCCGAGCGAAGTTGACGACCAATTCATGTCCGAACGGCCCCTCTTGATTCGACAAGCATCCGGTAGTACGACGGCAGAATGGGAAGCTAACGTGGCCGGTGGCTTCTCGGTAGCCCAGATCGAGACTGGCGCTCTACCGTGCGCCCTGACCCGGCTCTCGGTTGAAGCTGATATCCAGGACCTCGCCGGCGGAGTGGGCCTGGCGCTCTACTCCAACCCCGGGCTCACAGAAGGTCTGCTGCTCTTCTTCGACGCCAGCACTGGAGCCGTCAGCTTAGGCGGTCCCACGGGAGGACAGGAAGACGACCGTCTGCCGGTGCCCGCGGTGACGAATCGAATCAGGGGCCGTTCTCATGGAAAGCTCCAAATAGACTTGTATCTACGCGGAGACGTGCTCGAGATATTCGTCGATAGACAGGTCGCGCTGTCGTATCGCCAATACTTCGATCGCCCGTTCACGGCTAAGCCGTACGTTGAAGATGGGGTCGTCACATTCACGGCGAAACTGGCAACGCGGGGAGATTAAGACAACTATGAATCCGCAACCCCAATCAAAAGTTCCAAGAAGTGCGCTGGCTCTTCAGCAGAAGGAAAACCGCCGCCCAAACGACCTAGCCAAACAGCCTAGTGAACAAGCACCGAGGGTGAAAAGGGGCAACTATATGATGAAATCATGACGAGGAAGCACGTGAGACAACAAGCAAGAAGCGGTCATAGACTCTACCCTAGTGACTTGAAGTTTTCCACGAGGTCGCATTGTGGTTGGTGGTGGTTTGCACGCATCTTGGCCAGAGCTCATGTAGGAAGCAATTTTGTTGTTTTAATGTCTCCTATCGTCATGCCTATCACCATGCACCCTCGTTGAAAAGAACCGCATTCAAGGGGACACTGACGATATTGTTCGTTCCTGCTCATTATGTCTCGTAGATTCTATCCGAGCGTCACAGCGACGATGGGGCTTGCAGAGCAGGTCGTTCAAGCTACAAGGACTACCATAACCCATAGAGGTCAGTAACTTATTTATTGATCGTAGGAGGCCCCACGCCTAATCAGAGTTCATCCGATAGTTGTGTAGTTCGTGTAAGATCATGGTGAAATACCTAATACTTGGACTGGACTGGACCATTGACTCGAGAAAAGTGAAAGCATGTTGGATACTAGACTCCAGTTCCTCGGGTCTGTCGTAAGCAAGGGTGGTTTTTTGGGTCATGCGTATGATGGTCGCCGTCATTGCAAAGATGCTCACCGCGTGGGGCCACGCTGTAGGCAACTCTGAGAGTCGAACACTGGTTCCACACAGCACCAGTTGGATGTAGGAGTCGATGACTGTTTTGAATGCGTCTCGGTGCTCCTGAGTTTGGCACTCCCCGGTCATGATGATCTCCATAGTGCACGGCCAGTACATGAGTATGACCGTGGCGAAGTATTGCGCTCTGATGAGTGCTCGAGTGCTGTGTCTTGTGTTGGTCACCGGCCACGTCGACTTGTCAAACGTGATTGAATCTGGCAGACAGAGATACCATTCATCCAGCTGCGATTGCAACTCCTTGGCGACAATAGAAGCAAATGGGGTCGTGCCTGTGGTGGACGGGTCTGATTTATTGAACGTGTAGCATGTCCTGTCGATGATCTTTCTCACCCCTATCTCTGCCAGGAAATGAGGGTCTGGCTCATCGATCCCGGACGAGTCTGATTCTGGAGATCCTGACCAGGGATACGGCGCTTCTCTCAGAGAGGGAAACTTCATATTGTTCGCGTAGGAAAACAGTCCCGTGTTGGCAAAATACAGCGTTCCGGCATACTCACTTTCCAGTATAAACAAGGCCCAAAACGCTCTCGTCTCGTATTCTCCAAGATTATAAATAACGTCGCCTGATTCATCCACCGACTTGTTGTCCGGTTGTATCTCCATCAGGTTTTGCATTTTGATAGAGCCTATCGAAAGGTATTCTTGAGCTTTCATCGGCATAACTTTGAGTCCGTAAAAAATGGCGAGTAATATGACGCATTGCACCGACAGTAATGACACTTCCTCCAATACACATCCAAGCATGGACAAGGCTTGCCTGTGGAATTCTCCGGCCTGAAATATTCCTATAGGATCATTCGCATTCAGGCCGCCAATAGCTAGAACCATGAGTAGCAAAAACGACCCCGGACCTCCTGTGCACACGGTGTTTTGCATCAGAGGCAGTTTCTCGAAGATCTCTCTCTTGTTCAGAATTGGGTACCAGTTGTATGTGTGGCGAAAAAACAACTGCCCCAGATCGTGAGGGCTGTGACGGAAAAATGCCACCGATCCGCTGGTGTCATGCTCCATGGCGTGGTGTGACTCGAGAGAGCGAGCATGTGTGGACAAGTTGATGTCGGTGTGAAAGACGATTGCCGCAAATTGGTTTTCTTTGATCGTAAGAGCAGCAAACCCTGGATGCCCTTTCTCGCGTGTGGACTCTGGTGCGTCAATCAGCGGCGACTGTGCTCCAAGCCCAAGGCGTTCCTCGATAGCTGAGAGCTTGGTGAGTATAGCCTCGATGTTGGTCTCCACAGTCGGACCTTGCGGAGACTCATATCTGCAAACACCACCGTTCTCCTGACAGAAAGAGCACTCGGGCTTAGCTCCATTGCACCTCGTCTTCCTTGCTCGACACACTGAGCAGGCCACTTTGTTCCGGTTCTTGTTGTAAGTAGCCATCTCTCGCGTGCTCCGACGGGCCCCGACCGCCAATGTAGAAGCGTTCCTTATAGAACAAATGCTAGTCGAAAGAAAAGCGACCTGTACAATGCCGAGGGCAACATGTGACTTATCTCTCGACAAAAATCCCCGTCGTCACATGAACAAGTATGGCGTCGAGAGAGTTTGGCCGCCCCACCCAGTCGGGGGTCGTCGGGCCGGCTTGACGATTGGTTCCCCCGCAATTCGCTTCAGCACTTTGCAGACTTCAGAATGTTCACAACCCATGGAGACGATTGCGGGGAATGCCTGTGATAAAGCTCCAGCTGCTTCACTGCTGGAAGAGTGACGAGCCAAGCCACGGTGTGCTCCAGGACCGCTCTATTGTTTGAGAGAACTCATGCGCGCTCCTAAGCTGACTGACTGGGCATCGGGCGGCTTGGCAGCAGAGCCAAAAAACTCTCGGTCGTGGAGGGAGGCGAGTGACGGGGACAATCGGACCGATTCTCTGCATTGCTAGTCAGCTACGGGGCGACTCTGGTTTGGAAATTTAAAACACCACCATGGGGTATTTAATGGCATTGATATCGCGGAGGTAAATCCTGGGGCACCATATCGAAGATCAAATGGAGAGCAAGTCTGCCGATTATCTGGACGGAGCTGCTGTTGTGAGCCCTCAGCACCATACCAAAGAAATGGATACCAAGGCAGCGGATCACCTGGAGGAACTGGGTGTTGTGAGCCCTAAAACTCAATACTGGAGCGAGGTCACCCAGGACGCGAAGGAGGCCACTGCTGCAGAGCACAGCACGACATTCTGGCAGGGGATCAAGTTGTATCGCAAAGCCGCATTCTGGTCCTTCATCGTCTCCATGACCATCATCATGGAAGGCTACGACACGGCGCTCCTCGGCAACTTTTATGCGCTTCCTGCCTTCAAGGAAGAATACGGCACACTCTCCAAAGGCTCCTATCAGATCTCGTCGCCATGGATGAACATGCTTTCTTACCTCCAGATGATCACAAACATCATTGCTGCACAGGCAGCCGGCTCTCTCTCGCAGCGGTTCGGCTACCGACCATTATTGCTAGCGGCCCTGGTGCTGATGGGCGGGGCCATCTTCATCACATTCTTCGCACCGAGTTTGCCTGTGTTGCTGGTCGGTGAGCTGCTGTGTGGAGTCCCCTGGGGCGTTTTTGCGGTGCTTGCTCCAGCATACGCCTCGGAAGTTTGTCCCGTCGTTCTCCGCGGCTACTTGACGGCGTATCTCAACTTGTGCTGGGTGATTGGGCAACTCATCAATGCCGGTGTCGTGTATGGCCTTCAAGACTACCCGGGCGAATGGTCTTACCGGATTCCCTTTGCCATTCAATGGGTGTGGGTGCTCCCCCTGTTCTGTCTCATCTTCCTGGCTCCTGAATCTCCCTGGTGGTATGTCCGCAAAGGTCGTCTGGAAGACGCTGAGCGGTCTCTGCAGAGGCTCTCGGAAAATTCGGATGCAGTCAATATCAAGCAGACGGTGGCCATGATGCTACACACGGACAATTTCGAAAAGGAGCAAGAATCTGGGACCGCAATCATCGACTGCTTCAAGGGATCGAACCTTCGACGAACCGAAATCGCTTGTGCGGTTTATGCCATGCAACCCATGACTGGCGGGGGGCAGATCCCATCCTCATACTTCTTCGAACAGGTAGGGCTGTCGACCCGACAATCTTTTGGAATGGGACTCGGTGCCACTGGCGTTGCGTTCTGCACGACTATTTTAGCCTGGGTTGTCATCGGATTGACTGGGCGACGGCGAATGCTGCTCGGTGGTATGAGTGGCATGGTGATTGTGCTCTTGATCATCGGCTTTCTTGGTCTCGGTCCAACTTCAAACCACGCAATCGGTTGGGCGCAAGCGGCGCTTGCACTGTTCTTCAATGTCTTCTACAACCTTTCCGTGGGCACACTGGCATTCACCATCTTCAGCGAAGTCTCTTCGACCAGATTGCGAGGAAGAACCATCGCCCTGGCCAAGAATGTGAATGCTGCAAGCTCGATTGTCGTGGGGGTCGCGAGTCCATATTTCATCAATCCGCACAACCTTGACTGGAAGGGCAAGGTGGGTTTCTTTTGGGCAGGAGTCAACATCCTGTGGATGGGCTGGGCTTATTTCCGTTTGCCTGAATTTAAGGGACGCACGTATGAGGAGATTGATATTCTCTTCACCAAGAAGGTGAAGGCTAGAGACTTCAAAAAGACCGTGGTCGACTTGGACTCGTGATTAGGGGCGTTGACAAGCTGAATCGCTCCGGTATCATGAGATGACTCCTCATGAGGCGGAGGCGTTCGACAATACTCACGCCTCGCTCCGCATCCGCCTCCTCAACCTAGATGAGACGCCTTCGCCTCTGCCTCATCTAATCTCGCTGGGTTCTTGGCAATGAGATGTAGCATACATAGGTAGTTGGATGCTGTTACGATGATATTGTGACTGAAGTGAGGTTCCGCAGGAGTAATAGCCCATAGAACTTACCACAAGACAAGCTCATTGCCGTATTATCCACCATGAAACCCCATCGGCCGAATAGTAGGAGTTTAAGGGTGAGAATAAAGGGAGAAGAGGGTGAGTCGCAAGTCTTTGGTCCTAAAAGCGGCACCGTCTGCGTCATCGACCATTCCTGCTGCTCCCATCGATGATGTTGAGCAACCGGATTTATAACATCATTACAGAACGTGTATAGCAGTCGCTGTCGGGATCTCTGTAACCCAGTCTCGACTCCCAGTGCAGGTGCTGTGCGTACAGTGCATTGATGATGAAGAGCAATGACAGCTGCGGCCGAACAAGTCGGATGCACTCTCAGGAGGCTGCTGTCAAAAGCACTGTCGTGGTTGGCTAAGAGGGCCAGCGAACTGTCCTACTGGCTTTGGCAGGCATCTGGTGCGGCATATCTACTTGAAATCGTCGTGGGAGCTCTGAAAATTATGGCCATTGGAGTGGGCGCTCTCTCATAGGTCGCCGGGGTGAGGAGTAAGAAAGAGCGAGCCGATGCATACCCGACGGCAAGTCGAACCCCACCGCAGTCCACGTCGTCTTCTGGCAGCCACCAGGACCGTTCTCTGGATCGCTAGAGCACGCAGAACACGAAGAAGAGAGCCTCCTTGGTACACGCTTGCAGTGTTAACGACCCCAAAGTCACTTTCGCATTGTTGTTTCTTCAGAGACGAAAATTCCAGTTGTCTTTGGTCTGCAGTCAAAATGAAAGTACCTTGGACCAGGTTAATCCGGTTCACAACCGCCGACGGGCGTGTGCTACGCGGCGAGCCGATACTTCCCACCGAGGACTATGATCTGGGGAAAGTGACCGAGGCAGACCAACTGAAGGCGAAGGTGATTATTGGAGACGACCCTTTCGATGCGGAGAAAACGGTTGTGAGCGACGAGGTTGTGACAGTCAAGACTCTGCTTGGTCCTCTGGCCAGAGATGAAGTCCCGATCTTGAGATGCGTGGGCTTGAACTATGCGAAGCACAGTAAGTTGACAGCCGGCCTTGAAAATGCCCCTCCATTGAACTGGTACCAGTAATGGGCAATGTATAAATGGCCAAGTGTTAATGCATGTGTCTGTGCGTGAGCAGTCAAGGAAGCAGGCAGGACGCCGCCTCCATTTCCATTCATCTTCTTCAAGCCTAATACCACGATCACCGACCACGGTGCCCCTGTGGTGATACCGAAGATCGCACAGGACGATCAGGCGGACTATGAGGGGGAGCTCGTATGTTGTCCGCTGTAACGCTTGCTCGCTCTGACTAACAACTTCAAGTGCATGGTCATTGGTAAAGACGCAAAGGACGTTTCGAAAGATGACGCTCTGGACTATGTCGCAGCATATACAGCCGGTAACGATGTATCGTCGCGAAAGCTTCAGCGAGACCCAAATCTAGCCGGACGAGTACCGCAATGGGGCTTCTCGAAAGGCTTTGACACGTTCGCGCCGTTGGGTCCTTGTCTGGTGGCGTCCGAACTCATCGGCGACCCTTCAAAATTGCATTTGAAGACCATCATCGACGGTGAGGTTAGGCAGGACGAGAGTGTCTCTGACTTACTGTTCGATTGCGCCTACTTGGTCTCGTTCCTAAGTCAAGGCACGACACTGCAGAAAGGAAGCGTTATCATGACAGGTACTCCTGGAGGTGAGTTCACACATCGCGACTTGGCACCAGGGACTGGGTGCCAATCCCTAAGCACATCAATATACTGACTCTGTTGTAGGCGTCGGGGCAGGTTTCGATCCTCCAAGGTATCTTGCACCCGGAACCGCGATGGAGGTTGAGATATCTAAAATTGGCACCTTGAAGAACCCCGTAGAATTTGCATAGGCTCAAGGTCGTGTGAGGTTCTTATCTCCAAGGAGAAGAACAAGAGAGGAGATATAGAGAAGCGGAAAAAGTATCGACTTCCCATAGATGGATGTGAACTCGTCTTTGGCTGAGCTGAACGTTGTCAGCGGTGAATCAAATGGCGATGCATATGCCGGCTGACGTCTTCATACATTCACATATATGTGCTTGAATACTCTTCCATATTGATCTGTAGCTTCTCCTCTTTGAACTCGAATTTAATATCTGCAAATTGTGGTTGTCGTGTCAAGTAAAGGAGAGATGGAAATGCTTCTGGTGTTGCCAAGATGTGGATACTGATATCGTTGTTCCCTTTTCGTCTCAGCCTTCTGCTGCACCAACTACAACATCGCCGCCATACCACACCAAAACGATCTACTGTCGCATAGCCCGATCCTTTTCCCGGCTCATCAGCAGCTGATACCGATACCAATATGTCGTTCTCATTTGGTTTTGCTGGCGACGACATTGAAGACGACGACGCCGACCAACAAGATCAAGTTTCTCTTACGGGGAAAATCTCTTCGTGCACGATAAACGACAAAGATGCCCTGCAACCACAAACTCTTGCGCCCAAGAGACATTCATTTGAAGACTTGGTAGGTCTAATCATCAACCTGGAAATGTGAACTTGCTTCTTCCGATGGGTCGAAAACCAGTCGGGGCCACATAAGAGGGAGTCCTCGTTTCGCAAATGTCTTGGGGTTACGCTTTGACAAAGATCAACCTCCCATCACCACGCAGACATACGAGCTTCTTCTAACAACCGTCACAGCTCTCATCTCTACCATCCCAAATATCATACAACACCCTCACAGTCCCAAACTCTCCTCCGACAACGGAATCGCCATCCACTCAATCTGGCACCATCGCCATCCACCGGCGCTCACTGTTCGACATCCGAGCGCAACTCATGGCCGAAGCAAACCCGGAAACGCACGACGCAGCAGATATTCTCCTCTCAGGCCTGGAGAACGGAGACCTGTCATCTGGCATCTACGAAGGCGGCTTCAAGACCTGGGAATGCTCTCTCGATCTGGCCTCCTCCTCCCTCGTGACGAGCCTCGACCTCAGCCAGAACTGGCATATAGTCGAATTGGGCGCCGGCAGCGCCGTGCCGAGTCTATCATTCCTAACCGTTTTTCTCACGGGCAATGATGACCACCAGGGACCTCCGCCGCCGTCGCGCGGAACCCTCAAATTCACGCTCTGCGACTATAACGAAGACGTGCTCAGACTGTGCACTGCCCCGAATGTTTTTCTGAACTACCGTCGCCATCTCCAATCTGTACAGCGTCGTTTGCGGACGCAAGAAGCAACACCATCCTCCCGCGACCAACGTGCAGATGCAGAGGATGTATGTGAAAATGAAGGTGGAGACGGAGACGGAGACGGAGATCTCGACATTGAAGCTCTAGGTGAGACGTTCATCACCACCACACTCGACGACCTCAAGTCGCTGAACGTGTCTTTCGACTTCATCTCTGGAGGCTGGGGCGACGCCTTTCTCGACCTTATTCCCAACTCTGGCACAGATGCGTCGTCCGAGAACCTACTTATCCTGGCATCCGAGACCATCTATTCGCCCGCCACCATCAAACCCTTCACGGAGACCGTGGTGAAGCTCCTGCGTCGCTATCCCGCGGCCAACGCAAAGGCCTGGGTGGCGGCGAAAAAGGTGTACTTTGGCGTCGGGGGCGGCGTCGACGAATTTCTGAGCGAAGCAGCCAAACACCACGTGAAGAGTACGAGGATACTAGAAACAAAAGACACCGGCGTCGGGAGGGTGGTGTTGGAAGTCACACTGTGAAATGATATTTGATACCAGATGCACTTCGTAGAAGAAAAGACGCCTGCATTTGCGGCGAGTACGAAACGAACTCCTAGGAGTAGTCTCACGAGGATCGGAAAACTCATTGACCGACCGTGGTTGAATCATCTCTTTCTTGCATTTTTTTCAATCATCAATTGAACTCTATTGACTTCTTTCTGGCCAGGCGCCAACACCCACCCTAACTAGGTACCTGAGATAGCTCCAGTGTGCGACATATGATGACCACTGTGACACTACTACCACTACTAAAGACACCGCCGCATCCCGATCTGGAGGGAAACTAAAATACACACAACAGCAGCTTTTGTCGAAAAGAAAGGCACTCTCCATGAAAGTTCATCACGCTCCGTATCATTTACTGACGGTTGCGCATGCTGGGGGGCACGTAGCGGCCTCCGGCACCAGTGGGGGGCTTTCTCGGTGCGGCGGCGGGAGATTCTTCGCTGCTGCCATGTGCAGGTGAGCCAGCACCCTCTCTCGACAAACTGCGGCCTCCTTCTCTCAGATGTGCAGGGACGTACTTGCGCTCTGGACCGCCGTTCGCCGGTGAGGCAGACGACCCACGGATAGGCAGGTCTCGAGGTGGTGGTGGCAGATCGCCACTTGAGGGAGCACCGCCTCGTCGCAGGTGTGGAGGCACGTAGCCAGAGCGGACAGGCTGGGCTGGGGCGGGTTCAGGAGTTGAGGCCACAGAGGGCTCGGTTGGAGCTTGACCAGACGCCTCTGCAGCTTTTCGAGCTGCTTCTCGTTCACGCCAGCCACCACCGGTCTTGCCGCCCAGTGCGAGACGAGGCGCGGTGCGCCCTTCATCAGATTCTGTGCGAGTGTCCATGGGAACAGCCTCGCGAGGACGGCCGAAAGGTGAAGGTTTCTCGGCTTCGGGTCCCCTACGAGCTGCTCGTCTGGCTGCAGCTTCTTCCTCACGTTGCATTTGGCGGCGTGCAGCCTCATCACGCTCCGCTCGCTCGGCTTCAGCCTTGGCTCGTCGCTCAGCGGCCACCCTCTTCTTCTCCTCTTCAGCCTTCGCCTTCTCTTCTTCCTCACGTGCTCGGCGCTCCTCCTCTTCACGGATGCGCCGCTCCTCTGCCTCTTGCTCCTCGCGCTCTCTGATCTTCCTCTCCTGAACCTCCCTGATGCGCTTTCGTTTCTCTTCCTCAAACTCGCGCTCAGCCTTCTTGCGCAATCTTTCAAACTCGGTGGATCGACGCTCGGTAATTTGACCCTTGAATGAGTCGTAGTGCTTGACAAGTCTGCTGAGCCGGTGCTTCAGGGCCAAGCCTTGCTTGTGTTTCTCCTGGGCTTCCTTCAGAGTCTCTTCCTTGGTCTGTTCGTAGACCTTGAGATCCTCTTCACGCTGCTTCTCGTAATCTTGGGCTTGATACTTGAGTTCTTCTCGGCGGAAAGCTCGCTCGAGATGATCGATACGCTTAGCGGTGATTGCAACCTTCTCATCCTTCTTGGTCTTGTTGTTCGCCAAGTGCTGTAACTTCATGTTTCGAATGGCAACGGAATCAAGGTTGTCAATGTCGACGCCTTCAAGGTCAATGTCCCCAGTTGTAGACTTGAGCTCTTGCAACTGCTTCTCAATCTCTTGTCGGCGAATGCGGGCTTGCTCGTCCTTAACGCGCTTAAGCTCGCGTGCTTTGGTCTCTTCACGGAGACGCTGGGCCTCGGCCTCGGCCTGCTGCTGGGCACGGATGCGACGACGAGTCTCCTCCTCCCGCTGTTTCTTTGAGAACGCCTCAGAGGCCTCTTCCTTTCTCTTTTCGATGATGACTCGTCTGGCAAGCATAGCCTCGTGCTCTTCTTGTGCGCCAGCCTCGGCACGAGCCAAGGCGGATTCTCGCGCAGCGAGACGAGCTTGGTTGTATGAGGGGTCGACATACATGCATGTAATGTGCAAGGTCTTCGCGAGGCGGGTGAGTTGTGAGCGTGCAATCTCAGCAGGAGTGTTTTGCAGACGTTGAACAGAGCCAGTCTCGCTTTCTGCAGATCCAGCAGCACTGCCGGAGTGAATTGCCTTGGCAGAAGAGAAGACGTCGGAGTCGAAAGCAAGGATACCAGAGACATGGTCAAGACGGATAGACAGGTCACCCTTCTTGCAACCATTCATGATGAACTTCTCAATCATGGCAGGGGTGACTTCGAATGGCGCGGGGAATTGAGCTAGCCGAGTAACAAATCCAAGTTCGACAGACTCGTATACTTGTGAAAGTTGCTGGAAAAGTCGCGTCAAAATGACTTGTTGTAGAGGCAGCACATATTTCTCCATTTCAGGATCCGAGCCAATTTGGGACAGAATGGGTGAGATCTTCTTGCAAATCGACAGAGGGTGGAAGTCAACTTCCAATATATTGTAAAGATCCCGGATCTCAGGGCGGACTCTCTTCAGCAGACCCTTGTTCAATGCATCCTTGAAAAGACCGGCTCTAGTAGGAGCAAAGGGCATGCTAAGGAGGTTCGTCAGACGGGTGTTCTTGTTCTTGCGTGCTTCGTCCACGTCAACGAGAGCCCCCCGCGAACGAGAGGTGCTGATGACGGGGATTGCAAGGGCCGATAGCAAGACGAAAGAGGCAGCCTTCGTGAGAGATTCCTCAGTAACAACTGGGTTGTCACGCTTGACGCCCTGTCCAGATGCCAAGACTGTTGCAGACTGACGCAGCAGGTTGTAGTACTTGTTCCAGGCGGCGGCATGGAACAAGAAATTGTCACTGACCAGGAAGATCTTGGTGAGCTTCTCGTAGTAGTTCGCCATCATGACATTCTTTGCAGGTCGTTTCGACAGGGTCAAAAGCATATGAATGTCCTCGACGCTTCGGAAAGCTTCTTGCCACAGCTCAAGTTCATCCGCCACGTTCAGCTGCCGAAAACGAGTCTCAAGGTGGCGTTGCAGAGTATCAGGCTCATTCAGATTGATGGCGTGCATCTGGGAGGAATACTTGGCGGCATTCTGAACGTGATTTCGCAGCAACTCGCAGAGACGGCGGAACTCAGTCTTCCGGGTATACTTCAAGCAAAAGTCGAAGGCCTGATGAGCAGTGCTCTGGTACATCACCTCCAAACGAGCGTTGTTCTTCAAGATTTCCAGAACTGTTCGATAGGTTTCCCACAAAAATTTGAGCCATGGCGTTACAATGGCGCGGTCTGTTCGGTCTTTGGACTGTTCGCCAGAAACGGTGGCAAGGAGGATTGTTTCAGGCGTTTCGGTGGCCTCGAGATCGTCGATGTTGAGGTTTGTCGAGGCTGCTGCGTTCTCAATGTTGGACTGGACTTGATCTGCTTTTGCTTGTGCCTCTTGAACTTTCTGCTCGGCTAGCTCGATGAATTTCTTGAGAACCAACTATTAGGGGGTCAGTACGAGGACCGGTTGCATAAAATTTCTCCTTTCTAGACCTACTTCTATCGTCCCGACATTGGTGTTCTGCGCAATGTTCTTGTATTGGTAGAGGCCATCCTTTGCAGCCTTTCCTTTTCGCAAGTCGACGCACAACTCGACGAAGAGGAGCATGACCGGCTCCAAGGAGGCGATGGGGCTATTTCGGGATCGCTTCGAGGTGACATGTTCGTGAAGGACGGTGAGAGCGGCTTGTGTTTGGTCGACGGCGATGAGTTCTTGTGCTCGCTAGAAGGAATATGTCAGTCATACCGCGACCCAAAGAACCTGAGAACTTGAGAGCCCGGGTCAACTCACTCTGAGCACATTCTCGGGCCGGATATGTGGTGGTGGAGGCATCTTGACAGTTGGCTGAGAGACTCTTTTTTCAAATGAAGGAGATGATCAAGTAAATGATCTCTCGAGACTCTGATGCTAGCCTGTCCTAGAGATTGCCAGTGACAAAAAAAAGATGGCCGCTGATGGTCGCAGGCGTGGCTTGTGTCGACGAGGAAGTGTGCAGTTTGTGCCTAACCAACTTCTTGGCAAGACTGGCGAATTTCGTCGCTGTGCAGTGAAGTGAGAGGGCGCCCAATGCGGCTTAGTGGAACATGTCACGTGCGCACCACAACGAATTCGGCTCGGCCAATTCATTTCCCGAAGATTTGCCGACCACAACAGCCAGTCTCACCTCCCCAGTCACGGGATCACGCTAGGACAGACAGCGTTAGGAAAGTCGCTCCACCTACCAATCGTGGGACAATCCTCCAGAATGGATCCTCGTACGAGCTAGTTCCGTCCCTTGCTCCCCTGATTTCCAATTGTGTTCTTCTGCAATTCCGTGTCCTCGCTAACCTAAACCGAGCAGACACCAAGGAACTGGTCTATCTGGGCATTCACCCTGAACAGCTGCGCCTCGAGCCCTACTACTTCCTCAAGTACAGTGTCGCAAAGACAGTCAAGGCGTACTGGGAAGCCCACAAGCAACTCGCAAAGCGACAGTCGATCCCTCCCCCACCACTCCGCCGAGTCGGCAATCTCCCTCCCTCCTCAGGACACAACCGTAACTTGGAGGTCGCGAACATCCTCGACTACCACTCCTTTGCCTACGAGCGCCACGAGCTCTTCTCGTGCGGAAATCCAACATGCCAACAACATATGCGGTGCGGGATGGGGGCGATGCCAAAACGAAGAAACAAAGCATGGCAGATCTTAAGCTTAGACGGCTTCAAGAGCTCAACTCAAGGCTGAAGGAAGATCTTGATCGGCCGCGTGTCAAAGTTGCAGAAGCTTCAATGAGGTGAGAACTACTCATAATCTGAATGCACCTCACGCGAGATCGGGAGAATTGTGTTATACTGACACTGCCGCAACTCGAACAGCCTTATCAACTACTGCAATCAGACTCGAGATTACATGGTACCTTCTGTCTGGGGACATGTCGACCGAAAAGAAGATCCTTACAATCCACAAGCCGGCGGAAATGATGGTTGTTGTTCAGTCATGTAATGGGAGCGTAATGGAGTTTTCATTGAGAGAGACGAGAGAGAGCGAGAGAAAATCGAAAAGAAAGATGAACCGATCATATTGAACGGACGTCAAGTGTGATTCTATCAAAAAACAAGCATACGGCGCATATGGCGTTTGTTGAGCAACCATTGTTGCTATGCTTTGCTATTCGGTCTGAGAGCAGTCAGGCTTTTATCATTCCTGTTCATAACATTCTATGAAGAGACCCTCAGTAGGGCTAGGGACCATAACGCAGTTCAAAAAACAAAGAATGAATGAAAAAGAGTCACAGCCTCTCTCTACGGATCCATTGATCGTTGCTTGTGGTAGTATCTATTTTTATGTCGGTTATTGCCAGGCTGATCCGGAAAGATTGAATCTTGTGCCAGAGAGCATTGGTAATAATGTGACGGTCACCCACCCGAGAGGCCCCATGCCGAGTGCCAGCCATGGGCCCCTGGGGGGAGCCACGAGTCTTCAAGAGCCACCATGGAGGATAGATATACCAAGACCAAGGCCGCTCGGGCAAAGTGAGGCGAAGCATGGTAAGGGATGCCCCGGGTTAGACTTCGACTTTCTGTCGTCGACGTGAAGAGTCTAGGTGTCAAACTATGTCGGAGAGCCTCACGAACTCTAGATCAAGAAGTGGGAGCTGGAAACCCACTGCACTTCCTAGTACACGAATTCACAAGGCCATGGAGATACCCGGCAGAACCGATGTCGGGACGAGTATTGTGCTCTGTCCGCCCGCAAGTCGATATTTGGGGAAATTAGTCTGAGCCAGATTTGAAGCTGAAAAGGTCCATTGAATTTTGGAGTGGTCACGGCTTCTGCCCCAATACGGAGTCTAGATTCTCTTCGGCCACTCTAGAAATGGAGTGTTATCGCTTAACGACAATAAAAAGAAACTCACGTTGTGACGCTACGCATTAGACCGTGCGTGTCCTGCTGACATCACTGCCTTCGAGTGTTTGATCGCGTCGAGGCAATACCATAGAAGGCTTCTTGCGAGACACGGCCAAGAGAACTTGGGTAGCAGCCGTGGTCCTCCATCCGGACGACGTGAAAGGTTCTACCATGTACCATACTACATTTGTCAGTAGTATCAATTTTGAAAGGTGGAAGCTCAGGCGAACTCAGATTTGACGATATAGGTCTATCGACGGCAGTTGAGCGTCAGCATCTGTAGTGAATAGTACTGAAGCCTAAATTGCCGGAGAGAGTCAGCGCGGGTGATAACACGGTCATACGAGGAGATGGCCTGACCAGAGACCCAGAGTTTTGCTTCCTAGCTCATCAATATGGAAGTAGACTCTGTCCTATGCCTTGGTCCTTTTGCTGGTCATGAGTGGGGGATGGATAAGCCCCGACCTTCCAACGGCGTACCGAAATGCAAACCACTTTGGACTCGAAGCCAACAGGCAGGGGATCCGTGTCCAGGTCTATACCATCGTATTCATCTCTGCCACAGCGTTCTCGCTTCGACAATCGTCCATGCCCTTGGTTCATTGCTAGTCTTTCTGTGCGGCGTTGGTTAAAGGCTTGGCTCCTCCGTTTTCTGTCAGAACAGGGCGGTTTGTCTGTGCACAATCACGTGAACACGAGGAGCCTCCATATGCGTTTGGATGGTGATAGGTCAATAATGGTCGTGTTCGTGTTCGTGTTCACTGATCAATATATTCTCAAAGGTTCAATTCACCTTCTTCTTCAAGACTAAACTCACCAAGCCAGAACATCAGTGTTTTACGAAATCGGATCACATACCTCTCAGTTGGGCAGGACAATGATCAGTGTCCTGTCAGTGGTGTGACGCCCTCGGGAGGACGACCTGGCGACCAAAGCAGAATGCAGCATCCACGCGACGAAACGTGTATAAGTAGGGGTTGCCGACCCGAGGGGAAGAGATGAGAGCTTTCCGTCCCCCAGCACCTCAAACCGCTTTCCCAAGTTCTTTGAGCATTTCCGAGTCGAGATATCGGATCCTACACTCTCATTGTCCCGGTCAAACTCCAGTGGCCATGCAATTGCTCTCGGTCCTCCTCCTTGCTGGCACCGCAACGATGGTGTCAGCTTACTGCTGCTCAAGCCCGGCCTTCTGCGCCGACGGGAGCGAAAGCTCCATTTGGGAATGCTGTGCCTATGGTAGCTGCAATATCTTCTGCTGCAATTGCGATGGAGGGTGTATCACGGCGTCTAAAAAGAGATCCTGGACTGATTGGGGCCATGGCCGTGGCTGTTCACCATTTCCTGGCGCCTTTGATGCCGATGAGGTATGCCCAGCCACAATCAGCGACGACCAATGTGTCATCGACAAACTCGACGCCTTAGACGGCAACCTCGACGGAAGGGTTTCTCTGGCCGAAGTTCTTGCCAGTCCCGACATTGTCCGGCCATTGATAACCCAGCTGGACCTGGATCCCGAGGATATCAAGGTCAAGATGACTGAGCTCTTCAACATCTTTGATACCAACAAGGATGGTTATTTGGACCTTGCCGAGGCAAGTGCCCGCCAAGTTGTCAAGATCTCAAAATGATTGAGGCACAACATGAAACGAAGCTAGTTGGACAACATATTCGTACCGGTCAATCGAAGAATCTGGTGCGTTGCGCTGAACTCGAGAGGGCGGAAGGAGGGTTAATCTAGATTTCAGTAGCATGAACTTAGCTTACTTCATATTACCTTTTCGCTCACAGCCATATCAATCTTGTTTTTCGTCTTCCATGACTCAAGACCCAAATTCAAATGGTATTGCTTGACTAGGCAGGTATATTGGCGAGGAGTGTAAGAAGATCGAGCGCTGATGTTCGAGAAAAATTAGCGGGGGAAATTAATGGACGCTAAACGCGTTAGTGCCTCATTAGAACTCTAGTCTCTACAGTACAGTACGTGACATGACGACCATCCCAGCCTAAAGATTTCTTAAGCGGATGCATTGTTGAAATAACCCCCGAGCACCATTTTATATCCTCTCTCCCACGGCGCTCCGTTACGGGCAGTGACTGTTTCAGGATATTCACCTCATAATTCTACAGACAGCTTCTTTCTCACGAAACCAAAACGAAATGGCTCCACAGACACAAGCGGGAGGCTCGACAGCAACGAGCCAACAAGCCCTCATGACCACGACGACTGTTTCGATTCCAAGAATAGCAATCAAGTTCTGTACACAGTGCAAATGGAACCTAAGAGCTGCTTATGTGAGTTAAACCCCGACCGATCGCTGCCTGTTTCCTTGATCGTTTCCGATACACTTTGGTGGCATGAAGAGCTGTTTTCGCTTGATGCAAGTGGAAACTGAAGTGGAAGTGGCCTAGAAGGAGTGGAGGCAAAGGAGGCAGAGTTCTGTTCTGCTGTGCTGTGGTAATGAATCCATGTATTGATCAAATAGAGAGCGAGAGAGATCGTGTAACACTAAACTGGTCCAAGAGCGCAAAGCCTCGCGCAGGATACTTGATGATTTCATGTTTGATGACCAAAGAAATCACAAGTTTCCAAATACGAAAAGGGACCAGAACAGAACACGATAACTGACTTCAAGCTCACGCGCATACACGGTACACAGTACGCTCAGGAACTTCTCCAAACCTTCGGCACAAGTATAGGAGAAATCGCCCTCGTTCCAGCCACGGGCGGAATCTTTACGGTGACAATGACTCATGCTGCAACAACGACGGAATTGAGGGAGTCCGGGTCTCATGGGTCGAATGGCTCTGGTGAGCAACCGACAACAACGGCAGCTGCAACAGTGACAGCAACGGATACAATACTCTGGGACCGCAAAACGGACGGTGGATTCCCAGAGACCAAAGAACTCAAGAGCAGAGTAAGGAATATCATCGAACCAGGTCGAGACCTAGGGCACATCGATAGGAGTTTGAAAAAGGGAAAGACATCGACATCGACACAAGAAGAAAGCCAGGCCGACGAGACGGTGAAAAGTAGTGGTGCCAGTGGTGCGGATGGTTTGGATCAGGAGAAAACTGCTACTGGTAGTGGTAGTGGTAGTGGTGGTGGTGATGAAGAACAAAAGGGAGCGAAAGAAAAGTCAAAGACGAAAGACTGTGAGGATTGTAACTGAGCGAGCGAGTGGGTTTTGTTTGGTACTCGTCAGAATTTACTGTTTCCTGCATGGCAATGCCGAACATCCTTTCTTCAAAACTATCTTCCCTGGGTAGATTACACCCGAGCCCCGAAAGATCGATAAAGGTGAGACAGGGAGGTCGAAAGGGTTGGGTGATACGCATGCGTTCGTCTCCTTTGTTTCTGTCACCTTCAGGCTTCGATAGATCGCGCGGCGCCGCTTCGCCGATGCTGATAGCGAGCATTCAAAACTCAACAACCAGTGCTACGGCATTCGGCATCATTCACTTTTCTCATCTTGTGTTGCAGTGGACGTGTCCCAAGCTGGGTAACAGCACGGTGATACTTGCCCTGAAAGAGCTGTTCGTGTTAAAATCGACATCAACTGCTAGCACAGTAAAAGGACCGTGCTAGAACTGCTTTCACTTCTTCTTGAGCTTCTTCTTGACATATTTCATGACTCGTTTATCACTCATAATGAAACCACCAACAGCGGTTCCAAGAAAGACCTGGGCCGCAGTGGTGGCGCCGGATGCTGGTGGCAAAGAACCTGTCGGTTGAGTTGGTGGTGCTGATGTTGGGTCGTCGGCCAGTTTGAAGCCAAGCTCAGGGTAGGTAGCTGTTGCATCGTCCGGACTCCTCCCTTCCAACCCTTTCTCAGCCTTGGCTCTCTCTTCAGCCTGGACTTTTCTCTTGGTGGCCAACTCATCGTTTTTCGCTATCCATTCGTCCAGAGCTTCCTGACCTGGGAACATCCGCCTCTGGAAAGCAATCCAGATCGGCACCAGGAGTCGATGCAGGCGTTCCTCTTCCTTCCTGTCATCCTTGGTCACCTTCTTCGTGCCGCCGACCCAGGCTGCCCGACTCCAGCCGGACTTGAAGTCGCTGTTGATCCGACACCAAGGGTGGGCGAATCGAGAAGTGACGAACCTTTGCGTGCATGTCCGATAGCCCTCCCTGGTGCCCGATTCGAGCAATGCGACGATGGTCGGTTGTTCTCGGAACGTTTTCAGGTCGTGAAAGAATTGAGCACGAGACCCTCTTTGTATCAGCAGTGCATCGAAGAAGCGCGTGTAACAAGCTGGCGATTCGTCCAACGAAGTAATGTACCGATATAGTTTAGCCTCAATAATCGGTTCTTCCTCGTCTACGACTAGCTGGGTATATTTCGCGGGTCTCGTTTCAGACGCCATTTATTGGATGGCCTTGCGTCAACCTATATCACCAAGAGATCGACGACCCAAATAACAAGAAGCTGTTGCGGACCCGGTGACAGGGAGATTTGATTGAAGTTGACTGGCGGAGTACGTTGGTTTGAAGGGTATTATTCACCACCGCATCAGTCGGAGAAAAGGGGGTATGATACTACAGGTGTGGTAGAACGACCCAAAGCGGTGATGATGATGTTGGATATTTTTCTGTGCTGCCGATAAGGTTCTCATCCATGTTATGCGTTTGATTTGATTGACTTTGTACGTCAGAATCAAATTAAATAGTCGCAACGGTGGCACTTACAAGACATACCAAGAACTGACTCGCAACCGAAAGTGTCCATTTTGGCCTTGGCTGGCCACCACACCGAGATTTGAGATTGGCTTCACGGGAAATGCCACGTCCTTCTTGAGACGGTGTAAGCTCTACGAGGTCTTCATCAATGAAGTAGGCCCTTTCTTGGGGTTCTGGACAAAATATCAACTGGATTGATCGGCCGGAATAAATCCGAGGTCGGAGGGACACAATTTATTACAAAGTGTGGCTTCGCCGCCGTTGAACATCTGCGGCTTTAAACGATTATGTTTGGTTCGGGACAGTTACCTTTCTCGGTCCTTCCTGTGATTCCCTGTCAACGTGAGAATCAGGAACGGCCTTGCGGTTGATCTACAGTGATAGTTCAAGCCTTACTTTCAGCAGTCAAAATGCCAGACCAGCGCGTCATCATCTGCTCTGATTGTACAGTAGCAACTGCAAGTTGAACATCTACCCGAGGAGTTAGTCATACATCAGAACCACAGCTATGCGCTGGCCACGGCCCGATCTCCTGGTCGTCCGGCTTAAGGGCGAAACGCCGAGGCTGCAAGGGTAGTCAACTAACATGCTTGGCCTCATACCTCACATCATGCGGCACTTAATGGAGAAAGCGATTTGACGAAGACGAGAGTCGCCGACGCGACACGAAACACTTCTTGACGGTGTCGGCAGTCGTCCAACCTGAGCAGATTGGCGAGTCGCTCTTCCGCTGGCAATGGGAATCCACTCGACCGGCACCAGCATGGATGAGAATATTCAGTGACGAAGACCACGAAGGCTACAGCCAACATGATCGTGCTTAACCGCCAGGTATTGACACCGTCCCTGACATCTACTTGATAAGGCGTCGGACCCTTCAAGAATTGAGGTCAGAGACAGAATGTAAGACGCCAGCGGTGCGTCCCGCACAATGGAATGTGGACTTATTTTGGGATCTGACCTCGAGGGCATCGGAACTCTCCCTGTAGAAGCGGTGGGAGGGTCAGAAGTCAGGGCAGGCAGTCAAAGGGCTTCGTGGTCGAATGTTGGACGGAGCTCTTAGCAAGCCAAATCGCAGCCTTGCGAATTCACAGCCGTGCCTGGATCGGAGCAGCTCCGGGGACGTGACCGAAAGAAACAGCCTAAGACAAGGGGTGAGAGAGCGGTAGAGACTATTGTGATATTCAAAACCACTGGAAACCCCCGCTCGTCGTCACAGGGCAGTAATGTTTGCTTGATCGCATGGAGATAACTCGATCATGATCACATGCCGCTACCCTGTACAGGCACCAGCACGCCTCGTCTTAGGATGCCTGACATTGAGAACGCATCAACGGACCATACATTCCACGTGGCTTCGCCACTGCTGCCTCACGGGCGAAGGCGGACAACCTCGAGCTTCGAGGCGGGATGTCACAAGACCCGGGCTATAGGCTCATACGAGAGCCCTAGACCACAAGAAAGGATTGCACAACTTAGATCCCTTTGTACTGTTCATCAAGTCCCCGAATTCCGTCTTCTCACTTTGAAGCACACGGAACAAAAACGCAGCAGCTCAAGGACTAAGCTTCAGTCACTCTCCCAGGCCTTCCTACGTGAAACGTCCACCATTGATTTCAACCACCTGACCAGTCATATAGGACGAGAGCGGGCTAGCAAGGTACAGGATGGTACATGCTGCTTCGTCTGCTGTGCCAGGGCGCCTGAGGGGAATCTCGTTGACATCTCGAAATTTGTGCGCAGACAAGCTAACGCCCAAGGGGATTTTTTCCGCGCCCACTTGAAGTGACTGGCCGTTTTCTTTTGCCTGGGTCATGGCTGTCTCCAACCAGCCAAATGCTGCAGCGTTGCAACGGACGTTATATCTATCTCGTGGTCAGGGTTGGGTTCAGCTAGGAGAAGAGAGATCCGGCATGCAGGTGAACGACGTACCTCGCCCATTCCAAAGCAATGGCCTTTGTGAACCCAATGACCCCGGCTTTCGCGCTGGCGTAGTTGATCTATGCACACTCTTAGATGCGTACACTAAAGACGACGGTGGGTTCCGTGGATTACTTGACCCAATTGCCCATGAATTCCTGATGTTGATGAGACATTTACAATCGTCTTGCACCTCTCACGATGCTGCGGGTCCATAAAGTGGTGACTGAGAGCGCGCACGAGCTGAAACGGGACCCGGAGATGAATGTCAAGCACCATGTCGAATTGTTTGTCGGTCATCTTGTGGATGGCACTGTACACAGACTCAGATTAGGACGTGAGTTGCAAAACCTCAGACAAGGGAGACACGGGAGATTCTCGACAATGTACCTGTCATAAAGAAAACCTAGGGTATACATCTCAGTACTCAAATTCCAAAAGTGTTCCAGTGGAACAGTCCTACCAGCCGTGTTGATCAGGCCATCAACTTTTCCAAACTTCGAAAGGGCCTCCTTCACCAGTCTTTCCGGAACCCCGGCTTCCATAAGATTGCCCACGAAGGTCAAGACCTGTGGCCGAGGTGTCATCGTGGCGAGATCAGTCGCAAGGCCCTCCAGTTTCTTGGGATCCAGATCGCAAGCGACGATGCTGGCGCCATATTGGGCAAGCAACTCAGCCGTGGCTTTCCCAATGCCTATGGTCAGATGTCAGCACGGCTCTGCTCATTCCCCCAATCGCATTTAAGAGGCATTGACCTGACGCAGCACCGGTGACAATAATCACCTGCTCATGGAGCAGTTTTGCATTGTCTGTGGCTGAGCCGTGGATTTGACTGGCGATTTGATTCAGGCGATGGGCCATGTCGACTCAGCCGTCTTTCCGGGTTCTCTTCTTGACAATGTATAGCAATTGTGACCTGTAAGGTGTTGAAGAAGCGAGGAGCGAGAAGGAGAAGGGAGTGTGCCGTTGCTGACCTCCCTAGCTACAATGTCCCAGGGCGCTCGACTCTAACTAACTACCCATGTATTCCTCCCAGCGCGACAGGGGCGAATAATAGGAACACCGCCTGCATTACTTGCTGGAGAAAGGTCAAGGCCCTTCCGTCGCGTAACTGACCATACCTGATCCTGCATTCCGAGTTGTCGTTTCCGAACACCTAGAATTGCATCCTCGGAATTTGGGGCGGAGCTGTTGTTGCCCAGCTGGCCCCGCCAAGCCCAAAAGGTTTTGAAGTTTGTGTCGGATGGGAGATTCGGCAGACCTCTACATCCTCACGAACCAGCTACGGCATCAACGCCAGGCTGGGCCGGGTCCCAGGTCAGGATGGGGGTCCTCTCGCGAGAATTCGAAAAGACGGGCCTTGAGTCTGTGCCAGTCCCAGAGTTCGCGTCGGTCCCGCGGGGTGCCGAGTTCGCTCAATCAGACTGTCACCCTTACTCAAGGATCAACCGCCCAGGGTCTGGCTTGCCGTGTGCCACATGATCCTATGCTGGACGGTGGCCTCCGTCCGAGACGGCGAGGCATCTGTGGGAATGTACTGCTGCCAACTGAAGCTAATGTGCTTTACCCTTACACGCTGTGATGTTGCTATTGATGCAAGTTGTGGTACTGCGTAGGTGTGTCCTGGAACTGCATGCTTGGTGCACTTTCCGTTTCAGAGGGCACCCGCATTATACTGATCCTGCTCACTCGAAGGATCCAGCTGGTTGGAACGAGAACCGTCATTGACCATCCCAGACAATATCGTCATGGTAGAGTCCGCACACGCGATATATACTGATCGAAGAGATCACGAGATCAAGAGCCAAGGTATCAATCCAACTACCGGCATATCTATATGTGTGCCTTGCCGGACGGATTTTCTAGGCTCTTCACCATCTGCTGAATCTGGTTTCGTACAATCTTGCCATTTGAATTTCGTGGCAGCGAAGGCACAAAGGTCACTCCACCCCTCAGTCGCTTATAGCTTGCGGTCTGGGTGGCCAGAAACGCCGAAATTTTCTCACCAATGGTTGGCGACGGGATAACGCCCGTTTGGACCACGACAAAGGCACAGGGGACCTCAGTGTCTTTATCGATCCAACGACGCACCACACAGACCTCAGCCACGTCGGGATACTGAAGGATGATATTCTCTAGTTCAGTCGGAGAGATCTGGAAGCCGTTGTACTTGATTAGGTCTTTGGTTCGGTCGACAATCGATAGGCATCCCTCGGCGTCCACGATCCCAACATCACCAGTCCGGAACCAGCCATCGGCCGAAAAGCTCTGCGCCGTCGCCTCCGCGTTGTCCTTATAGCCCATCATCACTGCGGGACTTGTCACCCAGATCTCACCTCTGGAGCCACGGTCTACAGTCCGACCCGATTCATCCACTAGGCGTACCGTCACATTGGCGATGAGAGAACCAACCCCCGTGAGGGGATGGTTGGTGTCTCGAACGGACGACTGCGATATGGGTCCGGTCAATTCCGTGCAGCCGTAGGCTAGCAGAGCAGGCATGTCAGCGTAGGTCGAGACTTCAACGAAACGGCCCTTTGGGACATTCATCCCATCTTTGCAAGTGAAACTTACTCTGACATAACGCCACACCGGGGAACACTTCGCGTAGGCGGACCGCCAAGGTAGGCTTAGACGAAGAGTCAGTACGTGCTAGTTCCTGTTACAGGAGCCCAAAGACATATCACCAAGTCTTTTGGGGATAAAGATGTTACTGACAGTAAGAGGAGCAGCTGAACAAGAGAAATATCTCAGGTCGGGAAAGCTGAGCTCCTTGACCAAGGGTGAATCGACTAGGGTTCGGGCAATGGAAGGGACCAGACGAGCCAAAGTGGCTTTGCGGTCCTGAACTAGCTAAGTCAACTGTCAGCAAAGATATTGAAATGGCCGCTGACGCCAGGGACATACTGTAAGATATTGCTTCAAGTCAAACCTCGGCATGATGGCTACATAGGAACCAATCCAAGGGCACATGGTGAGGACCACGTAAACGCCGTACACGTGAGAAACTGTTATATGTCGTTCAGTTTATCTCCATCCAGTCTGCGCGGATGTTAGATGGGCCCGCGCGGAAGACTTACGAGGCTATCTCAGGTGACGGTTAGCAAGCTATTCCTCGGACAGCCTGTATAAGGGGGTATATTTATAAGCATACCGGGAAAAAGACCTCTCGCATTGAACCGTTCCAGTTTTCAGGCCGATGTGCCCGTAACTGGAGAGACGAGGACACCAGGTTGTAGTGCGACAGCATCACCGCCTTCGGCAACCCAGAAGTGCCACTGGAAAGGACGATTAATGCGCAGTGTTTGCGAGGGTCCAGCTCGAGCCCGGCGAAAGATTCGTCCTCGACCTTTCTATTCCGGACTTCGTCTGTTACAGACACCTCCAGGTCATCGGGAATCTGCGGCAGCGACGTGGAGACATCAGCACAAGTCAGTGGACAGAAGGGGGAAAAAGGAGAGTCGCGTTATATCCAATTCCCAGGAGGTTTACTCGACAAAAAGATCATGCCGTACCAATTGGAATCCTGGCACCCTCGACACAAATGTCCAAATTCGCGGGATTCGGTCATCGGCAGTCCTCAGATCGGTCTGTCTCAAGGCTGCCGCCACCTTGGCGACGTCCTGGTGCCCTACCACCAACATAGATGGCTTGACCAAGTTGAAAGCATGGACCAACTCTGAAGTGCTGGAGCTGTTGTTGATCAGGCTGAGTGTGCCGCCCGCGAGCCAGACGGCATGTGCAATTAGGGCATAATCGACACAGCTGGGTCCCACCACCGACACCACATCGTCGGTCCGGAGACCGGCCCTGTGCTGCAACCCCGCTGCCAACCTGCGCACTTGGTCATGGAAGCCTCCGTACGTGACGACTTTGTCGGTGAGCATGTCTTCGAGGATGACTTTGTCGGGGGCCGTATGAGAGACATTGTCCCGCATCAAGCGCGAAATGGTGCAGTCATCTCGGAGCTCGATGGTGACCTCGCTGGAGATCAACGCCTGTTGAGGATGAGGACCCTGAGCGTCAGTCATGAGGAATGATGTTCGATGGCAGAATCAATTCTCAGCCGAACAGCACACGCATGATTCAGATTCACACCCGCCGGGAAGTCGAGGTCGAATCATCTACGGAACATTGACCTGATATAGCATATCGACGTGCCAGTCACTTCCGATGGGCCCCCTATTCCGGCTCTACCGCTTTCCCTAACGCACCATTCCGAGGGATTGGGGCCCCCGAATTTAGGGCCCGCAAGTGACAGGTCCGGAAAGATGCATCGATCCAGCCTTTCAGGACCTGACTGTGCCGATGCCCTGACTCGGGACCAAGGCCTCGGCGTACCTGGGCAGGTTCGAAGCGTGGCTGTTGGCATGGCACAGCTGGGGTCCAGGAAGGCCGAATTGCAAAGCCTCAGGTATCACAGATCACAGCATAAGACAACACAGACGTCAAGTTATTGCCTCGCTCGCTACAGGACCGCAGGGACCTGCGTAAGTTTCCTCTCGGCACATCCCAAAAGGTCATCTTCGTCTTCAATTCTAGCCTACACATTTTCGACCAACATAGTTCCGCGAGCTGTCCTATGTGCAACCCCTTAACAGACCTTTCTGTGACTTCGTTCTAACTAGACTGTCACGAGGAGCACCCCCTCAAATGCCATGATTGTCTTGCTGGGAGTACATTCCTTTTTATCATCTGAGAGACTCTTGTATTGTTTCCCCAGGACGGCTAATGTTGCGTCTTTTAAACAGTACTAGCATGCTCAAATCTTGCTGCTGCCTCGGGATCGCTTGGCCACCAGGTCCATCAGAATCTCCTCGCTCCCACCACTGACCACTAGGACTCGGACGTCGCGACTGATCTGCTCGACGCGCGCACCCAGGCCGCCCCGCGAATAAGCGAGACCTCCAAAGACCTGCTGCGCCTCCCGGGAGATCTTTTCCAGGTCATGGGCGGCCCTGTATTTCACCAGGGCAGAGTAGGTGCTCAGGGCGTCCAAGGGAGCTTGCTCCGACATATGGATGACGGCTTCGGTCAATGCCGACGTCGCCTCCAACAGCCCAGCCATCTTGGTGAACTTTGCCCGGATCACTTGATTCTCCATGATGGGACGGCCGAATGTTCGGCGTCGCAGAGCATGGTTGTACGAGTCGCACAGAGCAACTCGGCCCAGCCGATTGGCGATGATGCCGACCCACAATCTTTCGTGGTTGAAAGCTGGTCCTCTAAGTCAGAAACGTAAAACGCGCTCGAAGGAAACCTTTCGTGCGTTGGACTCTCTTACTGGACATGATGACCTTGAACCCTTCATTCTCTTGGCCTATGAGGTTCTCCACCGGGACTTTCACGTCGTCGAATTCGACGAAGGCGGATCCTTCGAAACATGATTAGCCCACAACTGAACGTGAGAGAGGCAAAAGAAAAAACAAAGTCGTCCACATAACTTACCGCTGGATCGAACGCCCGAGTTTTCCATTTTTCTGCGAGTGATGCCTTCGGAGCGGAGATCGACCATCATCGTAGAGATGCCCTTGTTCCCTGCTCCGCCCGTCCGTGCCGCCACGAGGGCCCAGTCGGCGAATTGGCCCTGGGTGACCCATTTCTTGTTGCCGTTCACAATCCAGTACTTTGCGTCTTCGGACTTGACGGCGGTTGTCTGTAGGCCTCCCACGTCCGATCCGGCTGCAGTATACTGTGGTAAGCTTGAGAGCTCTCAGATCTGATGCCTGCCTGCTTCGTAGATGTGGAGGCAGATGGCCCGGCCCGGCACTTACCAGCTGGCTCAGTCACAGCTAGCGCATGACGCTGCTCGCCTCGCAGCAGAGGCGCCAACCATTTCCTCTTTTGATGCTCCGTGCACTTGGTCGACAGTGGCGTGTTACCCACCGTGGCTCCTCCATTGATTCCCCAGACGACACCCAGGTAACCACACCGTGCGATCTCGTCAATAACCTTCGCCGGTCCGTCAGCATGAGTGCAGATTCTGATGGCATTGGAATATTCGCCCCTAGGAGGAGACGCGCATGCGAAAGAGAAGCCACGTACAATGGCGTAGTGGAAGATATCCCACTCGGAAAGACCAATACCGGCTGGCAACGTGACGCCGTCTAGATGTTGTTTCGGCAAAGGGTAACATGATGCCGCGAGAACCCCGAGTTTTGCATGTCGTTGGAATGCCTAAGAGCGGTCGCGAAGGTCAGGACATTTGGGCATAAAAGGCGGCTTGTGGTGGGAAGATAAAGGACGGTGCACACTTCATCAGGAACGTAACCCTGCGTCTCCCACTCATACGCGTGAGGCTCTATGTATGTATCGATGTAGTTTCGCATCCAAACTTGAAGCCTCTGATGACTGTCCTTGTAGTAAGGGTGGAACTTGTCCTTGTGCCATAACGGATCGCTGAATGGCACCGATGCGTTTTCTTGCCCTGCCATTGATCTTTGATAGGCCGCAATGTCGCCCTTGTGAAGTGAATACTCAGGGCCTCTGGTTGTTTTGGAGTGCTCGTATTGTTCAGAAGGGACGGGAAAGGTTGTAGAGGAGGTTCCTCTTCGCCATTAATAATTCTACGATTCCGAGCCTGGGAACACATGGAATGGTGCCCGCGGAACTTGCCCTCAAAGTTGAACTTCGTCCCGAGAGTCAGGGTCTGTATGCCCTACAATAATTTCACGTCAGGAGGTTAGACTGGTCGAAGGAAGATTGAGGCGTCTTTCCGACCAGGTCTCTCGGAAGGCCCGACATTGTTTTCCCTTCCGAGCCCTCGCTGGTTCTCCGCTCCAGAACTCCAGATTCTGACGCACCCAGGCACAGACGTGACTGGGAAGTATCGTCTGGAATATGTCGGCTTGAGATGTGGGCGCCAGTCATGTATTGTTCTACGAACTATGTGGGGTATAGGTGAGAACTGGATCGCTTTGGTTGAGGTTGCGGGAAACACAAGATCATGACTAGGTTAATCCCTGCGACGTAAATTGACAATCCCTGGGGTAATGTGGCCTTCGGCCTACAATTATTTCCTCGCTAAACTTATCTCATGATGCCGTAGAGCGTATCCTACGTACTTGCGACGCTCAAACGGTACGAACATCAACTTAGTCCAGACTAGTGAATATCAACGGGGAAAATGACTGATCCCTTGCCCCAGCTTCTTCGTCTAGGCGAAAGAAGCTGTCCATCTGGGACGAAAAGTCCCAGTCCGACCAGATATTCCATGGGCTCAAGGGCGATTCGGGTAAGGCTGCAGAGCACATTGACCTTTCTGCACCGTCACTCACTTGTAGGTGAGGGGCCGAGCTCTTTTTTTGTGCAGAGGCTGTGCTATCATTCAAGTGCTCGTTGTCACCGCGCTCCACGACGCTAAAGACGCGTTTCAGTGCCCGCTGTGCCCGACGCGCCGACCCTTGCGAAGTCGACAAATTCTCCATCAAAGCTTTGATAGAGTGCAGTGCGGACACGGCCTTGTTCCGATCGCTGTCGCTGATGTTGCTCGCCACCACTGGCACGATGTGATAGATGCACTCGACCAGGACCGCACAAGCCCACTGGCCGAGCTGACTGTAGGTGTCGAATGTCTCCAGATGCAGAACAATGGCATTCACCATCTCCACGGCCTTCTTGAGGCGGAGGTCAAGAGTATTCGAGCTCGCCCGGACCCGGGAGAATGGGTTGTGGTGAAGTAGTAGCTGGGCGGTGTTGAGGCGCTGCGAGATTCAAGTTAGCCGTTCGATGCCCTCAGGTCCATACGGATGGTACGGAACTCACAGTGTAGGCTAGTAGAGCAAACCGCGCTTGACGCTCGCCCTCCTGCCGACTCGGGTTTGATCGGTGCTGCTCCCTTTGCCATTGGAGCTCGTGTGGAAGTTGTCCGAGCATTCGATCGATTCGGTGGTCGATGGATCTACTGTGATGACCAACATCCCCGACAAGCTTCTGTGCCCGGATACTAAACAAGGTGTCCCAGATGTCGGTCCAGAGGTGTGCCCAGTCAATGATGTGCTGGAGATAGTGGCACATTGCCGTGTTGAACGCCACTGATTCACTATCTCCGTTGATGAGTACGGAAGGCTCATGGCTTCCAGGTTTATATATCTCTGCCACGCCCACTTCCTCGTCCCGGAGCAGATACGGCTGGCCAGTTTTCTCCGAGATCCGACGGTCCATGTAATAAACGCACCAGAAAAGGATCCGGCGTGAGTCGACAGCCGTTGGAGCTAAATCAGTCCAAGACGACTGGTCGTGGAGCCCAGTGCGGAACGTCAACTGTACGGCAACCCCAATGGCCGCCGAAGCCTGTCTTAGTCGTTCCACATAGACGAGGTACATGGCTTCTAAGATGTGGAAGCGTATGGCATCGATTTCCTGCTCATGCGATGGCGGCTCGCAGTGCTTAAGTATGGCCGAACCAGTCTCGTGCAACTGCTTTCCCGAAACCCACTGGCCCACCGACGACCCTGACATCTTCCGCACCCTTTGCGGGTCCACAAACTCGGCGATTGCCAGCACCATACAGAGATTGGCGGCGAGTATCATTGTCTTTGGCAAGATCTGAACAGTGGTGCTCGACGGACCATAGCCTGCAGCCGAAAGCCATCGGTGGATCGCGAGTTGGAAGTCGGTTCGATTCATGCAGGGAAAGAATGGGTTGTGCTCCGACCAATAGACCTGAAGCAGGCCTTCAAATTCGGCAGGTTCGGGCAGATGTAGATGGCGCCCCTTGCTGGATTGCACAACATGTCTCGGCGCCTGCAGTGGCTGCCGAACGTTGGCGGTACGTTCAGCCGGCAATTCGATTCCCAACGCTGCATGGACAGCCGACAACTTCGACGGCATTGACAGCTTCCCGCTATTGCTGTGTGAAACTTGGAAAGTGTCTGTCGCTCGATCTCCAGCTTCAGCGTCTAGCGCCAGCGGTGAGTTCAAAACGGAATCATCGCAAACTTGCAATGGGTTCGGCGGACGACCGTTGTTGTTGGACGTGGGATGTCCTTGCTGCGAAACGTCTCGCCTCGTGTTTTCTTGAGGAGACCTGCAAACACAGTTAGAAGCTCACGACAATGTGGGGTAAGGAGAAGCGGCAGACTTTGTTGACCAAGATCGTTTCAGACTTCTGGAACCCTCGTTGTCGCCGTCCGTCTCAGGAACAGAGAAATTGTCCGATTGACAGTTGGCTTCTATCAACTTTTGCGAAACTGGTAGCTCCGGGCGTTGGATTTGATGGCGGCGGTTGCAAGATAAACGCCGCCATGGCTGAAGCAGATTCGCTTCATTACCTGGCTCAGAGTAGACGCACGCAGCGGACTGTGTCACGCAACGACGGCATGGGTCTGTCCCGCAACACTACCGAGATGTTGGGATCTGTAGTACACATAAACGAAACTCAAAGCTCACCTTTAGTTTTCGACGTCGGCACTCATCGCTAGGATCCGATTATATCAGCAAAGGCTGCCAGATGTATAGGTCTGCCGTACCAAGCCTGTCTCACGTATTTCGCCCTCTTGCGATGGTATTGAGAATTTTCATTGGGATTCTCCCACAGATTTGGCCGGCCCGAGGGCGGCTCCCGTGGAGTCGATGCAAGGCTTACCGACATATATGCGCCCAGACCGTGCAGTGAAAGTTGATGTGAACAGGACAGGAAGGATTGGCGACTTGAATCGGTCGTAAGTTGCTACGAGGAACTGGGTGTCTGCAAACATGGGCAAAGGGGAGCATACAAGGCCACGAAAGGTGACGAAGCCGCTGCCTCCGGCACGCGATCAAGGCAGCCCTTCTTTCGAGGGAGATGCGATCTGGAGTCTGGGGTTTTGGCCGAGGACTGACGAAAGAAACGAAGGAATTCGAGAAGTCGATATTTCCGAGCTTGCCTGTTGTAATTCCGAGCGGGGACGAGGAAGTGGATACTCCGGTCTGGACTGTACCCGCCACGACGAATAGAGCCTTGAAGTCGACTCAGTCACTAGACATTTGACTCAGGTCATTTCTAGGTACGGAGCCGTGAATGGTTGTTTTGAACCCTTCTCGGCAGCCTGCAGAGATGATGAAAGCGACTCTGACGGTTCAGATCTGGCGTTGTGCAATCACAAGCTACTTGTTGGGACTCTACCTCCTGCATCTGCCTTCAATGCTTTTTTGACCAAGTCAACAGCCGATTTGGCCTTCGATCTTGGTAAGGTGGACCTTCCCTGAGGCCCAATATCCCCTAGAATTTGAACTTGGCGCCACTGTCCAATGTCGCCGATCTCGAGAATGGTCCCCCCCACGTATTTTTCCTCCGTGAGCAAGGCCACCATGGCTTTGACTACCTCTGACGGCGGCAGCGCAAAGTCTTTATTCATATCTATATGTTTCATGGCCTCTGGATGGTCTCGAAAGAGTGGCGTGTCGACAATGCTGCAGACAGTCAGCGAGGACGATTCATTTCTGTGAGCCTGTAGCCAGTCTCACCCGGGAGCCACCGCCACAACTCGGATGGCGCACATGTCTTCTAATGGAGCCATGCAGCGGATGAACTGACTGAGCCCTGCTTTTGAGGCCGCGTAGAGTGGCAGAACCACGTTGGGCTTCTGTGCCACGATACTTGAAATATGCAGGATGACACCTCTCGAATGGGCCCGCTGCATGCGGCGGATTGCAATCCGAGTGAGCTTGATTGGGTGGACAAGGTTGATGTCGAACAACTTGTAATGAGATCCTTGATCTTTATTGTCCCAGAAGCCCGGGCATGATGCTTCATAAACCCCAGCACCAGCAACGACGATCTCCGGAACACCACCGAATCGGTCATCGAAATTTTGGAATGCTGCCTCGAGCTGCTTCCAGTCGGTCACATCTACTCGTAGAAAGCTAACCAATGGACCTGAGTCATTTTGAGTTTCTTCCAACCAGGTTGTTGCTTCCTTGTGCAGGGAGAGGTCGCAGATCAAGATCGAAACATTTCTAGCACGGAGGACTTTCGCCAGGGCAAGACTCAATCCTGTAGCAATTAGCTCAGTCTACCTTCACGGCGAGCAATAAGACATACCAGAGCCACCTCCAGTTATCAACGCTCGCTTGTTTTCCAGTAATGGCAGCGCCATTAGCTTCCGTCGTCGTCTGCGTGTGAAACAGGTCTAAAATCCGGCTGAAATAATCAAGGGTCTCACAAGACATTGTCTCCAGCGTATATCAATGCTAACCCTCGCTTTAATGGGATTTCACGGCATCTAGCGGGCGCTCACCCCGCCGGAGGACGAGCATTGTTCCGGTCTTAAACCTATGTTATGTTTCGGAAGATCTCGCCCGCGGGATTCCGAGATTACCGTTACTGTCTTATATTGTCGCAAAATGGCATCGCCGTCGCTTTGACTTGGTCACTTTGAACCCCCCAGAAGAGACTGAACAGTCTCGACACGACCTGTGTTCATCAAGACGAGATACTGGAGGCGAACTGCTACAGCCTGCATCACACTCTGTGCAACCATCACCATACAAGGTCTTGATTCGGGGCACGATGAAGCTACACCCAGACTTCAATGTCCAGTGGTGCAGATCCATCCTCAGTTCCAATATCTCAAATCTTGTGAATGGGAGGGAAGTCCTGTTAGACCCAAGCAGTCCGATCTCCAACAGCATATTCACGCAATCCCTCTACACATCTTCCGCCATCCGCGCACACCTGTCGTTCCAGCGGCCAACATCCGAACCCGACTCTATTGGACCCTTAGAGTACTGCTATCTCCTGTCACTCGGCTCAGGGGTTGATGGCAAAAGAGCTCGCGCCCATGGAGGCTTCAATTCTTTGATTCTGAACCATCTAGCAGGAATGACGGCATGCGAAGTGTTCGGGAGTGTGACATTAGCAGCGGCAACTATGAAGGTGGACTATAAAGCGCCCATCGATACTCCAGGCGTAATATTTGCTCGCGGGTGGGCTGTGGCCAGAGATGGACGGAAACTCTGGGTGAGAACAGACATCGAGGACGCAAAAGGCCAGCTGCTTGCGAGAGCAAAAGTATTGTTTATCAACCAAAGGTCTGTGGTGCTTTAAGTGGGACGTCTCGATGCTCATGTCGAACAAAACTGCAAACAATATACACGACGACGCTGGCTGAGAACCAATCCAGAGAGGCTTCGAGACGGAGTCGACGTTCACGAACACGTTGAACCCTGTCGCCGCTCGATGATGGATCATGAGTCATGCGTCGACTTTTGAAAAGATTCAGGATAGAGCTGGCGTTTCGTGCTCACCACTACTGCTACTCCACGCGAGTCAGGTGCCTGGACTCCCCTGGACTTCGTATAAATTTTCTCGGAACTGAAAATTCCGCGGCTTTCTCGACAACACCCTCTCTCGACCTCGGCATCATCCGCCCCCTCCTCGTCCTCAGCCGTGTGGAGTGAGCGGCGGGCGATACAGTGGACTAATTCCTCCGGTCATGCCGTTCCGACGGCTTTCCTTGATCAAGTACTCTCAGCTTAGAGATCTCGATGTCATTTTCTGCTTCGCCAGGATCCCAGTCCTGGCCATAATACTTCGAGCACTCTACCCAGTCTTTATTGCCTCCCCCGATATCGGCGACATTCTTACTGCGAGTCCAGTACCTCCTTTAATTACTTAAGGCTAGACGCAACACGACGAATGCATCATCGTCCAGTACGAGGATAGACTTAAGATTGCCATATATCGATACCAACCACGGGCGTTGTGAACACTCGGCTCAAGCAATATTCGTTGGCCTTGGACAAATTCTCAACTTTAGCATTATGATGAGAAAACCACCAACACGACTTTGGGGCCTTTCAGGCCAGTGCCGAAGCCTACGACTAGAACTTACGGGAAGTTTCCAATCCAGGAGAGCAGTAATTCAAGCCAGCAAGACCTACGCCACGGTTTCGCCTGTAACCGTCAAGAAATACTCGGGCGCGTGTGGTGCAGAGGTCGTGGGCGTCGATCTCGCCAAGGACCTTTCCGACCCAAACGTGGTCAAGGCGATCCGTGGTGCCCTCCTCGAGCACCTGGTTATCTTCTTCCACGATCAGGCGCACCTCACTGCGGCCGACTTTCTGGCCTTCACCAAGCATTTTGGTACGCCAGTCAGATATCCAATGATCAGCGGTCTCGCAGACCACCCCGAAATCATTGAAGTGCTCAAGCGCGAACACGAAAGGACAAACTTCGGTGGCGTCTGGCATTCCGATACTACATACCTCAACCAGCCCCCAATGGCGTCCATCTTGCTGGCCCGAGAATTGCCACCTTACGGTGGTGACACGTGCTTTGCGAACCAGTATCTCGCCTACGATTCGCTGAGTGACGGAGTCAAGAAGACGTTGAAGGGACTGCGGGCCATTAGCAGTTCCGCCAAAGCCGATGTGAGCAAGACACGAGAGGATCGCGTCAAGGAGGACGCACAGGGGTCCGGGAACGAGAACAGGGACCTGGAGGTTTCGCACCCAGCTGTGCGAACCCATCCCGAGACAGGCCGTGAGGCCCTCTATCTAAATGTGGCTCACACAACTCGATTTGACGGTTGGACCGAAGAGGAGAGTAAACCGTTACTGGACTACCTCTTCCAGCACCAGGTAAAGCTCGAATACACTTGTCGTTTCAATTGGAGAGTTGGCTCGGTGGCGTTTTGGGACAATCGATGCGTGCAGCACAATCCGGTCAACGATTATCACGGGTTCAAAAGGTCGATGCATCGAATAACGCTGGCGGGGGATACGCCCAAGTGAAGCAAGATACTTGCATATCCTGAGCTGTTGCTATGTAGAAAAAGGAACAAGAAGGTCCCAAATTTTCTGAACATTTGACTCCTTAGTAACGAGGGGAGTCAGGAGAACGGTCATGATAATATAGAACTCATCATGTTGACGGCTCGCGATATGGCGGCGAAACCGGGGTTCTTCAATTCTTCTATTCTTCTGTTCGTCCTGTGTACCAGGGATTTCCGTCTGCCGGTGATTTCTCATTTCCCCGTAAGAAACATGAAAATCTCCGAAAATTCCGCTCTGTTCATGTTGAGAAGCCGTGTATAGCTCTACTTATGACGACCTCTCTTCTGACGCTTGAGACAGAGGACACCCATCGTTCAGTCACTGCCGCCGTTGATAGATAGAACCTGCCCCGTCATCCAGGCACTGGCATCGCTCAACAGGAAGATAACAACGTCCGCAACATCCTCCGGCAGTCCCATTTTCTTGCCCACGGCCTCCAGCTTTTCTTGGATCTTGGCTGCCACTTCTGGGGTGTTGCCTATGATCGGGGTCTTGATCACTCCTATCGCCTCGTCTTCAGCCTCCAGTCGAATTCTCCTAACCACGCAGTAGAGAAGGGAGTTTATGCTTACCTGGAGCAACCACATTCATCCTGATGTGCGGCCAGTCCTTCGACATGGCTTTTGTCACCCCATGCACGCCGTGTTTGCTCGCACAGTACGCCGCCAACTCCGGGTGTCCTCTGAACCCGGCGCCCGATGAGATGTTCACAATCGCGCCTTGTCCGACCGACTTGTTCGTGGTGCCGACGAACGGACCGTTGCTGGACGTTCGGACGTCTTGTTTGGACATTCGGAGAACAGCTTCGGTCGACATATTCCACTTGGCGTCACTTCTCAGCGTCGTCCTTCCACCGGGTGCAGCAATGACAAAAGACAAGGATCAAAAGGGAGGATGAGATGGATAGAAAGACAACACCCACCGTGCCTGTAAGGTTGACCGCGATGGTCCTGTTCCACAGCTCGTCCGTCGCAATCCGCCCTTCGGTTTTGGCGATACCCGCGCAATTCACCACGCCGTCCAGGCGGCCGGGGATAGAGCTGATGAAGTTGTGGCAATCTTCCCGTCTGGAGATGTCGCAGCGGCCGAAGAATTGAACGGTGCTCTGCTCCGTGGAGCTTGGAAAGTTTGCTGGTGTCTTGTCGGCGTAGTCCGCAACATAGACATTTGCCCCCAGTCGATGTAGGGCCTGTACGGTTGCGAGACCTATACCAGAAGCGCCGCCCTGTGAAGTGAATCCGTGGTCAGCCGGTCCACGACCCTTGAAGGCAACATAGCCCTTTCTTTTCCTTCCCCTACCCATCCTGGGCTTTATCCGCGCATTTGGGATGGCCCTGAAACGACCAATAAAAGGGCCACGACAAACCTACCGTGACGGCGATGTTTTGACCTGCGAATGATAGTTCGACCATGACGGACCACCAGTGACTTGCTGCTCTGTCTAATCTGTAACTGAATGAATTCACTCAATTGACCACGAGTTTGAGGTTGGTTTGAATAGAACGATTTGAGCGTTCAAAACTGCCCTTTAGAAGCGGGCAATATCTACCTTCGAAAGTCTTAGCAACAGGCCCAGCGCGGGACTCGGGGTTTCGCGGAGAGTGGAGAATGCGAGCGAAGCCACGTCAGAATGGGGTTTGATTCCGGAGAGTGGGACCCAGAGACGGACTCACCATTTAAGCCGAGGCATTGTGATTGCTAGCAGTACGAAGTTACGGAGTACTACGGCTTCGCGAAACTAGTTAGGTGCGTGCCCGGCAGGCTCAGATAGCCCGTCAGGGGCACACCGGGCATCTTTTTGATGATCTTGGTCCTACCTTTGGCGACCACGCATTCCTCGATCGCCGGACAGGACTCGATAGAGTGATTGTGAGCAACACGAGGCAGTCTCTCTCGATTGCTAGATTGTCGCTCTTCAGCACGCGGCCAAGAACAATCAAGGAATCGACGGGTTTGCCTATTGTCAACGCCCCAGAGTACGACAGGACAGACGGCGCCTCCTTGGCCATTGATTCGCCTAATCACAAGACGGAATTCCTTGTGCAAACTTCCTAGCCCACGAAAAGGCGTTGTCGGCCTCAACCGTGCCTCTCCAGTTCCGAATCGCCGTGGATCTGGCGGTATCCGTGCTCAGCCTGCAACAGTGACAGCTCCAAGGACACCATCTTCGGCAAAACTCCTCCCACCTTCTATCATGACATCTCGTGCTGACTTGATATGTCGCAAGGTTCCGGGTCAATCAGTCTTCACCTCATTGCATCTGGAAAAGCTTGGAGCAAGTTCAAAGGCTGGGAAATCCGATGACTGCTCACACAAGAATCATTGCTCTTGCCCAACAACTTCTGGGGATCTCAAAACCATCGCCCGACGCGTCAAGGCCCGCCATGTCGCATAATCAGTCCGCCGCTTGTTGCAATACCCCCGTGGTGATCAGCAAGGGCTATAAAGAGATGGGCAAGTACGCCACGGTGGACGGTCTCAAGACCTATATCACCGGACCCTCCTCTGCCAGCCACGGCATCCTTGTGATCTTCGACATTTTCGGATTCTTCCCGCAGACGATTCAAGGTGCTGATATCCTCGCGCATTCGAGCGAGAAACACTATCAGGTCTTCATGCCAGACTGGTTTGATGGGAATCCGGCCGACATCTCATGGTATCCTCCGGATACTGAAGACAAGGGCAGGAAGCTTGGAGCATTCTTCAACACCGAAGCGGCACCAGCCAAGACAGTTGATAGGGTCATGAAGGTTATGAACAAACTGCAGTCAAATTACCCCAACATGAAGAGTTGGGGAGTGGTGGGCTACTGCTGGGGCGGAAAGGTAAGGCCACATGATACACCAAATCTCACCTATACAGAGCTGTATGATTGACTCTCTAGATTGTCAATTTAGTCTCACAGCAGGGAACGCCATTCAAAGCAGCAGCGAGCTGTCATCCGGCAATGGTGGACCCTAACGACGCGCCTAATGTCACAATCCCTATACTCTCCATCCCGTCAATGGATGAAGACAAGTCAGCAATGGCCCAGTATGAGGCTGCCCTGAAAGTGCCAAACCGGACTGAATGGTACGATGATCAGATTCATGGATTTATGGCTGCAAGAAGCGACCTTGAGAATAAGAAGGTCAAGGCAGCATACGAGAAGGCGTATCAAACCTTGCTGACTTGGTTCTCTGAGCACTTGTGAGACGATCGAGGCCGATGGGAGGATTGATTCACCAACAACGTCGAAGTAAATTGGATAGACCTACGAAGAGGGGTTGCTTCTAATGTACCCATCAAAGCTCAGCACATGTTTTCTCCTGTATTCATGTCGCTTATAGGCCAGGCGTATTGGGTTGAGTACGTGATATGGTAGCACGTGCCAGGCCGCAATGGTGCCGCCGAGTAATCCGATGAGACGCCAACCGTGACATGCCGAAGGCGTTCCGAATGCCCTCAGTTCTCAGTCCCGAGTGATAAACCTGGCTTGAACCGGAGCTACCAATCGGTAGAAGCCGTAACAGCCTGAGGCTCTTAGCGGACCGGAAGGACGGTGGCCGGGGGGGAACCCCCGATCTTGCTGTCATGGAAATTGGAACCGTCGAGACTTGTACTTGCTACAATCCTGTTTGCCTCGCCAATTTTCTTGTACATCTCTAGGTGGTTTACCTGCTCTTGCAGTCCTGTTCCAAACTGGCCCTCCTCTTTCTGCTCTGAACTGTTTCAAATGGCGACAGAAAGACTCAGATCTATTATCTCCCACCTCTCGCCGACAAACCCCGGCGTCGCCATGATGTAAGAGAAACTTATGAGGCCCGCCGTCAGGTTCTTATCAGATACTGACACAAAGCCACCCCCTTTTACAGTCTACAGGGGAACCCCGACGATGTTGTCATTACACTCGCTGTCCGCACTCCACTGACAAGGGCCAATAAAGGTGGTTTCAAAGACTCAGACCTCGACTACATGATTTACGCTTTGTTGAAGGAGATGATTGCGAAGAGCAACATCGAGCCCTCACTGGTTGAAGATATTTGTCTGGGAAATGTCGCCGATCCCAAAGCGGCATACAAGGTCCGGGCTGCTATGCTTGCTGCCGGCTTTCCTCATACCTCTGGTGCTAGCAGTGTCAGTAGGTTCTGCGGGAGCGGTCTAAAGGCCGTCCAGGACATGGCCAACCAGATCTCAAACGGGAACATTGATATTGGAATTGCTGTTGGTGGGGAGAGCATGACCACCGGCAGGGCTAAAATCTCTGGATTCTCTCCCGAGATCGAGGCGAATCCGGAAGCTTTTGACTGCTTGCAACCTATGATTCAAACGGCCGAGAACGTGGGAAACGATTTCGGCATTTCACGCAGGCAACAGGACGAATACGCAGTCGAAAGCTTCCGGAGGGCAGAAGTTGCCCAGAAAGCTGGCTGGTTCGACGACGAGATCGTCCCTATTCGTACGAAGATCAAGGATGCGCAAACCGGCGAGGAGAAGACTGTTACTCTCGTGAGTGACGAGGGTCCTCGCTACGGAACAACTCTTGCAGCATTACAGAAACTAAAACCAGTGATGCCACAGTTTGGTCAGACAACCACTGCTGGGAATGCTAGCCAAGTGACGGATGGAGGTAAAGTACCACGAGCGAAAATCACGCAATGAATCGCAGCACTACCCTAAAATTATAACTAAAATAACTACTTACACAATACTCTAGCCGCTGGTATCCTCCTGATGAAACGATCCAAGGCTCAAGAGCTCGGTCAACCAATTTTGGCCAAGTTCTGTGGTGCTACCGTGGCCGGCGTACCCCCCAGAATCATGGGCATTGGCCCTGCCGCCGCAATCCCGAAGCTTCTACACCAGTTCCACCTTACGAAAGACGATGTTGACATATTTGAAATCAATGAGGCATTTGCCAATATGGCTGTTTACTGTCTGGACGTCCTTGGCCTGGACCACACAAAGGTGAACCCGCGAGGTGGCGCCATCGCTCTCGGCCATCCAGTCGGCGCAACGGGGGTACGCCAGGTCTGCACAATCTTGAGTGAAGCGCGAAGGACTAAGAAGAAAATTTTGGTTACCTCCATGTGCGTAAGTACTTTGCCTTCATCCCTTTCCCTCATTGGTTCAGCATGGAAAGCTAAACACCCTGGCAGATCGGCTCTGGACAAGGTATGGCTGCTCTCTTTGTCAACGAGCAGGTGTAGGTTGCTCTTGGAGAGGAGAATCTTGGTCTTGTATCCAACTGATATAGAAGTATATAGTGTAAAGAACAGTGATACAATGTCTCCCGTCTTCTGTTCCTCGAAGCCCCATTCATTCTCCTCTCCACAATATGGCATTCTCAACTTGCGCTCCATGCGTTGTCACGATGAAGGCGAGGACAGGAGAAGTATTGTCTCGGCGATTTTACTGGGTTCAATGACAGTGTCCGACAGGTGAATTGCCTGTGTCGGTCTTCGACGACACTGCTGGCTTTCTGGGCTGGATCTTGTACCATGATATACCTTGCAGCTTGACACGACTTTTCGTCATGTAACTCGCTCTCCATCAAATCAACGACGTTGGTTCGCACGCCTAGACATGGAAAGACCATAGTAAGTGCACATATCCTGTAAACATGAGAGACATGAGAAGTAGTTACTTCCAGAGAGAACAGCGTTGCATCTGATTCCTTCACTACGGAAGCGCCATGCCGTTGGTCTGGTAGGCCCCAGCTGAACAAGAATATGAGATTTGTCGTTAGCCTTGATATTCTTGGTCGTGGTGCCCGGCTGGGGTGTACACAGTGTACCAAAGAATGCTTGCAATTCGTATGGCCGAGACCAGATAGCATCACCACCGAGACTCGAGCATCTGCAAAGATTGACGATACAGCCTGGCTTGGTCTTGAGCATGAAAGGGACGGCTGCGCGCATCAAACGGAGTGGAGCAAGCAATCAGGTTGACAGTCATGACTCGTTCGTTCTCGATGTCGGTGAATATATCCGCCGAAGTATAGCTGTTGTACAAAATGAAGCCCTCTATGGGCCTCAATTATGAGGGTGAAAAAGTGTTAGGATTGTAAGTCTCTAGGCCCTAATATCTCATATATGTAGTCTTATCAACAGTGAAGATTTGCGCTCTCCATACCCTGCGATATCGGCGGCTCCTGCCGTCTAACAATAGCTCTCCATTATTACAGCATTGTTCATCAGAACATCAAGCCGCCTACAGGCCTTTGCCTGATAAATCGGTGCTCATTGCCACACTATAGTGACAGACCATGTCCGAGGGGAATGGACCTCCCCCAAATGCATCGAGGACATTCTCGACCACATAATCGCACATTCCTAGGGAGTGTGAGATCTGCCTGGAGGAAACGAAAGTTCGCATGCTCGCTAGAGCAAAGGCAGCCATGGTCGAAATTGCTGATACAATCACCGTATACCCAGTTGTCCCGTTTGAGAAAGAGCTGCGTCGCCGGTTCAACTCCACAAGAGCATCCGGTGTCGAGCGCAACAAGCGTTTCACGCAGCCATCTTCTCAGTAATTGGTGTTGTCATCGAGATTTGGAAGTCAAGGGTTTGCCAGGACTAATCGATGCAGCAATATCGACTCCAGCAAAGATGGGTGCCGGGCAAACAATTCGATGGCAATTCTCGACAGTGAGAGCGCTAGGGTGGGTGGGTGCTTTCTCCTCGTGGAATCTTGCGCCCCGGCCTTCGTGCTGTCTTTGGATAACAATTTCAAGTGTCGTCAGCTCGACAGAGCAAATGGTTCCGAGATCGACCACCCTGGCCGGCTCAATTATCGCGAGTGACGGTCTAGAGTCTCGAAGGCGAGATGTCCGTCTGTCCATTGTGTTACTCAGTGGACATTCGGGATCAGGATCGCTCCGGTTCAATCTTCCATGAAGCCATCATTGACGTTCAAACGCGCTCCATGGTTTGGCCGCGTGCCCTAGTTGTTGGACTAGGCTGAGGTGCGGGCGATGTCAGTCACCGTCTTTACAAGTCAAATACTCACGCCTAGCGCCTCAGCGCCTCCGGCGGAACGCCGACGCCCTCACGTTCCTTACAACTTTTGCAACACCATCAATTCACTGTTTCTAGTCATATATGGCTATATTCTCGGGTTTCACAAGGAGGCTTTCTCTCCGTCTAAGAACGTCGCCCGATAGAACGCCGCCCGAGGACGGCCGTTGACTCCACGCGGCGCGCTGTGCGACGGCGAGAAAGCCCTCCCTTGGAACGCTCCTTTTGCCTATATGATAGATAGGGATCTCCCTCCGAGAGAGGGAGGTCAGACTCGTCAATACATCCTGTTTAGCCCCCAAACATCGCCTAGAACTGAGTGTTGCATAACACTAGTTCACCGCTCGTGGACAGCCGGGACCAGTAGACCAAAATGTCTGTGACAAGGGTGTTGAGAGCTTGGGTAGAGATGGCGCGGCAGTATTCGTTCACTGGACTGGGCTTTAGAGCTATCTTGGCTGTATATTGATACTCAACAGATTTGACGTCAAAGTTGCTTGACAAATGTGTCATCCACGGACACGCCCTTCAAGGACTAGTGGTTCGGGTAATTGGGTCGGCTTCATGCCCACCTACGGAGGACACAAACAGTGGTCCGGGGGTGTTGACCGGCCTTGTGGGTTAGCACGGGCGCCCGTTGTATAACGTCAATGAGCTCTGACTAGGCATGGGGACACCTGGGCCGTCTTTACCTTTCCGACAGGCATCATAGGAGTTGTCGTGCCGAAAATCAGGCTTCCGATGGAGACACTCTCGCCGTCTAATCAACGCACGCATAGGGGCCCGACAGGGGGCCAATTACCCCCATACATACCTCGGCAGTCCCATCCTCAAAGATTGCTCCTCGCTGTGTCCACTGTCTATAGATCTTTTCAACAGCAGACGACGGCCACACTCCGAAACTCGGGGTAGTTCATCCAGAGCACCGTCGGTCTTCCCGGACTGGACAAAGACCATAATTCCGTGAGTGGGGCCTAGGTTCTCCCGGCAGTCCGGTTTCCGAAGGCCCCTTACCCTTCAAATGCAGTTCATCAGGGACTGCACACTTCCTATCAGCACGTGCAGATTTACAAGGCAACATGGGCGCTCTACGTTACGACGGCCAAGTGGCCATTGTCACTGGAGCGGGCAACGGCTTAGGAAAGCAGTATGCTCTCTACCTGGGTTCACGCGGCGCCAAGGTGGTCGTGAATGACATTGGTGGAAGGCTCGACGGCAAAGAGTCAGGCAAAGTTGATTCTAGAGTTGCTGACGATGTTGTCAAGGAAATCAGAGACGCCGGCGGCATCGCGGTGGCCAGCTACGACCCGGTCCAACAAGGCCATCTCATCGTCAAAACGGCCGTCGATGCCTTTGGTAGAGTCGATATTCTCATCAACAACGCCGGGATTCTGCGGGACGTCACTCTGCGCAACATGAAGCAGGAGGACTGGGATCTCGTCATCGACGTCCATGTACACGGCGCCTACAAAACGACCCGCGCGGCCTGGCCTCATATGCGAAAGCAACGATACGGCCGAATCATCAACACATCCTCCGCCGCGGGCCTGTACGGTAATTTCGGGCAGAGTAACTACGCCGCGGCTAAATTGGCCCTCGTCGGTTTCACCAAAACGTTGGCCAAGGAGGGAGCCAAATACAACATCACGAGTAACGTGCTTGCCCCTGCTGCGGCCAGCAGAATGACGCAAACCGTCTGGGCTCAAGACCTGTTAGAGGTGATGAAACCAGATTGGGTCGTGCCTCTGGTTGGAGTGCTGGTCCACGAGCAATGCCGAGAAACTGGGGCCATCTTTGCGGCAGGGGCAGGCCATTACAGCAAAATTCGCTGGCAGCGTAGCAAAGGATTTCTCGCCAATCCCGAGAGCTTGACCGCCGATGTCATTCTAGAACATTGGGATAAAGTCGTGGATCCGAACTGTGCTGAGCACACGGACGGTGGAGGACAAATATTTCAGCTGCTTGAGAAAGCTAGCTCGTTACCTCCACTAACATCGGGCGCTGACAAGAAGATCAGCTTTGAGAACCGGGTAGTGTTGGTGACTGGTGGCGGCGCTGGACTTGGTCGAGTCTATAGCCTCCACTTCGCCAAGTTGGGCGCCAGGGTTGTGGTGAATGACCTGAAGAACGCCGACAGGGTTGCATCCGAGATCACTTCCAGCGGAGGTCACGCCTTGGCCTTGGAGATGTCTGTTGAGCAAGGAGAGACTATTGTTCGAAGAGTCATGGACACTTATGGCCGCATCGACATCGTTATCAACAACGCAGGCATCCTCAGAGACAAGGCTTTTACTAACATGAGTGACGATGAATGGTACTCAGTGCTGAGCACTCATCTCCGAGGAACATACTCGATTACAAGAGCAGTGTTTCCCGTGATGCTGAGCCAAAAGTACGGACGTATTGTCAATATAACCAGCAGATCAGGAATTTATGGTAGTTTTGGTCAAGCCAACTATGCCGCCGCGGTGAGTCTTTTTCGACCTCCAGAGAAAAGCCGCCGACCGTGAAGACTAACTCTGGTTTAAGAAATGTGGCATCGCCGGCTTCACAAAGACAGTGGCTCGAGAAGGTGTCAAGTATAACATCGTGGTCAACGCCGTGGCTCCCATCGCGGGAACAAACATGACTCGCACCGTCTGGTCTGAAGAGAATGTGAGGAGAATGAATGCAGACTACGTGGCGCCCCTCCTCGCCGCGCTGTGCAGCGAAAAGCCACCTGCCACCGGCCAGATATTTGAAACTGGCGGGGGTTGGATCGGCCACACCCGTTGGCAGCGAGCCAGAGGCGTCGACTTCGAACCCCAGAATGGCGTACCGAGCGTGGAACAGATTGCTGAGGTAAGCGAGGCTTTTTTGTCCTACCTTTAAACAATTGTCAGCCCCTCTAAGGAATAGCACCAGGCATTCTCTGAGATCTGCAACTTCGACAATGGCAAAGCAGACAATCCAGACACGCCATCCGAAGGCAGCAAGTACACCATGGGCAACGCGATGAAGAGCCCGAAAGTGGTGAGTCACTCTTTCTGGTCCCTGTATCAGTGAGGAGGAAGAGGCATTTAACCTTCTGTACACACAGGTTGCCGGCATGTCCCAGGAGAATTCCGCCAACCGCAAGTACATTGCAAAGATCCAAAAGGCTTTAACTCAGAAAGCAACACCAACATTCTACACTTATAATGACCGAGACGTCATTCTGTACAATATTTCCCTGGGCGCCCATCGGACGGATCTCGATCTCGTCTACGAAAACTCCCCCAATTTCCAAGTCTTGCCGACCTTTGGGATCGTGCCGACCTATGGGAGTCTGGTCAGCGTCAAGGACATCGTCCCCAACTTTGACCAGCGCATGCTTCTCCATGGGGAGCAGTTTCTCGAGATCAAGCGGTTCCCGATCCCTACGTCCGGGACGTTGAAGACCGAAAGTAGCCTCATCGAGGTCGTTGACAAAGGAAACGCTGCGCTAATACGGCGAGGTGCCACCACCTTTGACTCGTCCGGAAAGCCTCTCTTCGTCAACGAGAGCGTCGTCTTCATTCGAGGGTCCGGGGGCTTCGGCGGACAAAAGAAGGCCTCGGACCGCGGTGCTATAACCGCCGTGAATACTCCTCCTTCGCGAGCTCCCGACAGGGTCGTAAAGGAGAAGACGTCGGACGACCTGGTCGCCTTGTATCGGCTTATGGGCGATCGAAATCCACTTCACATCGACCCTACATTTTCCGCCGCTGGGGGGTTTCCTACCCCGATTTTGCATGGACTGGCGACGTTCGGGATCAGTGCTAAACATGTGTACCAAGCGTATGGCCCGTTCAAGAACATCAAGGTGCGTTTCAGTGGCACGGTCTTGCCTGGTCAAACCATCGTGACGAAGATGTGGAAGGAAGGGGGCAAGATAGTGTATCTGGTCGAGGTAGAAGAGACAGGAAAAGGCTGTATCACCAACGCTGCGGCTGAGCTGCTGGAAGGAGTCTCCTCTAAACTGTGAACCCTCGGATCGTAGATCAGGGATACAGTGGCGGCCTGGCTCTTCAGTCCGACACATGGGGCCGTTATCTTTGACAGGTGTTCAAGCCAAGCAGTCGGCCACGGACAGCTCGAGGTGAGGCAAATCGAGCGTCGGAGTGGGGAGCGATTTTAACGAGAGCAAGAAGAGATCTCAGGTCATTAGAGACAGGGCTACCTATTTTCGAGGCCATTCGACCTGTTGACAAGGTGCACATGGTTTCAAAGTACGCTGTTCACCCTTTGGCTGAACTCTTTGGGGGCGCGACTCGACTAGTAAGTTCCAAATTTACCCCGAGTGTGGAAGCAGACGAGTCCGAATGGAAGATCCTTCGTGCATGGCACTTGGTCTCTGGCAAGTGGATTCACTCAAGAGAGTTACATTTGATTTTGCCCTTACTTCTCTTGATCCTCGGTACAACAAAGAGCCCTGCCCTAGCTGTGGGGGCAGAAGCTCTTTTTTGAGGAGACTAGATTAGCACCAACGCAGAAACCATTGTGGTAACTCAAAACTTTTAAAGCTTCGACTTTGCGGAAGTCTCGTCAACAGTCACACCCAACACCAGAGCCTCCAGCCTGCGTCGAGCATTCTCCTCGCCTTCACCCATCACAACCTCTTCAGTCTTCCAGTCGGGATTGAATGTCACCCGATTCAAAGGATTCTCCTTGTGTGCCTTGTAGAAGAGCCGGTTGTAAACGTCCCCATCGTAACTCCCTAGAGCACTCTCGAGTACGAAGTCGGGAATAGACCACGCATCCACCAGTCTCACGGCGTCGGGTCTGACCTGAGTCAGGAGTTCTTGGATGGCCAAACTCACGTCAGGGATGGTCTCAATAGTCAACGCCTTGGACACCAAGAATTCCGAAGCCGAAGCATCGAGTGTGAACAGAGCGAAGAGCCGGAAAAGTGTTTGCAACACGCTGACTGTCGCCTCATTTAAGGGCGGGTGAGGAGTTTTGGTGAAGACGGCCTCGTGAAAGTTTGACACGAGGAGGCTCTCTGAGTGCGCACGACTGAGCTTGTGCAGGCTGATCATCAAGCCTGTCCACGACTTCTTCTCAACCACCCTTTCCCGATACACTTTATAGGCGAGGAACGAGACTCTCTGCTTGAATGCGTCCACCAAAGCAATCGAGTCTTTAGTAAGGTCGGAATGATTTCCCTCCGTCCTGCAAGATTCCGTACACTTCACATACTCCTGAAAATGCGCATCTACAAAGTCAGTGGGCTCCAGATTCGGCTCTTCCACTGCCCGCTGCATCCTCTTGATCAGGTAAGACGCTGTCTGCTGGGTAATCATCCAGTTGTCGCCCTCGACCGTCGGCTTGGACAGGTATTCATTGTTCAAGTTAATCATGCCGCTTCCACCGCCAAAGCCATGGCCTCCCATGGCCCGACGACACGTCTCAATGCCGTCGGCCGCAAGGGTTGTGCACAGCGACTTTAAGCCAGACGATGCAGCGTGCATCTCTGCTAAACTTGAAGTGTCCCCGGTCTCGATTTGCTGGCGGGTGCCCCAGTACAGCTTGAACATTGTCTCGCCGGTGTAATGGAGGGCGAAAGTTGTCGCCAGGAGAGGAAGAACACGAATTTGCACAGTCGGATAGTTGAGCACTGCTTCCTCAGGTACACCTGTCCCCGAATCTCGATCAGAGAATTGATGGCGAATGGATAAATATCGAACCGCAATAGTCACCGCCCGAGCCAACACTAGCCGCGCGTGCATGATAATCTGAGCTCGGATAAATGTCATGGTTCCATAGACCAAGGCCGGGTTCTTGGGCTTAATATAGGTACCATGCTGTGGATCGACACCGGAATGCTTTGATAGTAATGCAGAGTGAGGCACTCTGAAGTTGTTAAAAAGCATATATCCATTATCCATACCAGGATATCCATACTTGGGGCCAATATCCCCAATCACTATTCCATTCAACGGTTTGTGAGTCTTCATGTCGCGGATCTGTAAAATGAACTGGTGAGGCCCATAGGACTTGTACTTGTCACTGCTAGCCCCGGGGGTTGGGAGCATTAGCTGAGCCACCACAATAGCATGATTCGCCGTTCTACCCAGTGCTCCGTTCCACCACTTACTTGCAGTAATGGTGGGACTGTGGATAATGAATTCCTTGGTCTGGGGATCCCACTTGGCCTGGCATTCAATACCCCTGACGTTACTGCCATGGCCCAGCTCGGTCTGTCCATAGCAGCCGATAATGTCCCAGTTGTCTACTTTGGGTAGCCAATAGGCTCTTTGCTTGTCGTTGCATTGTTCGCGAAGGGATGTAGCAAACATGCCCCAATGAAGGGCAAAAGGATGCATTTCGTCGATCAAGTATTCCGCCATGAGGAAATCGTCTCTATCCCAGCCGTACTTCAGTGACAGCCTCCGTAGTGTTTTGGCTCGTGCCAGCGCAAGATGGAAACGGTCCGGTCTCGAAATGTTGAGCTGGTTCTTCTTGGAGAAGATTGGCATTGCCTCGAGAATTGTCAGGATTTTCTTTTGCCGATCGAGGAAGTCGTTGCGCCAGAGCAAGTGTCTGGCCAGCTCGTCGACATGAATACTGGAAGCAGCCCTTTCCCGGGCGAGGATGCTCGGCGCTTGCACATCTGCAGGCTGTAGATCGGCTGTGAAGTCCGCCATTGTGGTCGTTGCACTCTCGGGAGAGCAGTTGAAGCTGATTTTGCGCAATATTTGGGTTGCTCGCGAGGTTATGACTCAATGGACGAGACGGTCGAGGCTTTCACGTCTTCAAGACCACTGCTGGTGGGTCGAGAAGCGAGACACCGAGCCGACGATGTCCGATGTCAGGAAACGCCGTGATTGGCTCGGCCGAAGAAGGTGTGCCCCTTGGTAAGGGCCCCATGGACCTGGATCGAACGACCGCCGGGGGGCGGGAGACAACAATGCAGGACGACGAGAACCTTATGGACCAGTGGAGGACCGAGATTTCAGATTGGACAGTGGCCTATATCACGACTGAAGCTATTGGGTAGATGGACGAGAACAAAGGCAGCGGTTGGTGTGGGCAAAGAAAAGGACAAACAAGACGAACAATCACGTGATGAGCGCAAATGCCAACGAAACCTCCTTCGCTGTTGATGAATCATGATAAACTAAATCTGAACTGAATCGTGGCCTGATTCGCGGTCGGATGTATACAGTATGACAGTGTCCAGAGAAGGCCAAATCTGTGGCTGGTGACAGTGGTAGCGGAGACCGCGGTGGCGGAGAAGTGAATAACCGCACGGAGCGACCAGGACAGAAGCAGGTGAGCTGAAACCTGAAGCTACCAAGACTCAACAGCCTCGAATGTTGCAAGTTGCAACAGTGTCTAGCACCGAGGCTGACGGCATGACTGCATGACTGTCTGCCCGTTCCGAGTTCCGTTGGTTGTTTCAATCTCCGCCACGGCCTGCCCAGGGCATCCCGTGGAAGATGCTGGCCAGGCTTAACCCTACGTTAAGTACAAATTTACACCCCAGATTGTGGCAGTCACTCAGCTCGAATCAACTGGGGAGCTGAAGCAAGAATTCACCGCTCCAGTGGCCTGTGGCCATGGATTCATACGTCGACGAAAAGACCCTCCTATCACTTGGGATCATCGATCCTGAACTACAGGCCGTAAGTCTTGAAAGGATACAGGCGTGTAAGAGCACTATCTGAATCTGACAAACATCGCCAGTTCTTGGACAAGACCAACCCTCCCCGTCTCAACTATGACGACGTTTCGGACTTCAAGGCCATGATCGACAAGCGCAACGCTGCGGCGACAAAGGCCCAAAAACAGCCGCCGCCCGAAATCTTGCAGAGCGACCTTTGGTACCCAACGAAAGACGGGATCAAGATTCGCGCAAAGCTCTACCAACCCTCCACACCGCCCAAGGACGGCAGCCCCCTGATTGTCATGTATCACGGGGGTGGTTTTTGCACCGGCGCGCCCGAAAGCGAGGAGCAGACCTGTCAAAACTTCGTGCAGGCGTTCGGCGCAGTGTGTCTCTCGGCCACCTACCGTCTGGGGCCCGAGTGGAAGTTTCCCACCGCGCACAAGGACGCGTGGGACTGCTTACGATGGGCGGCCGAGCACGCGACCTCCTGGGGAGCGGACCCTGCGGTGGGCTTCGTCATCGGAGGGACCTCGGCCGGTGCAAACATTACGGCGGTGTTGGCTCACCTTGCCCGAGACGAGGGTCTGTCGCCGCCGTTAACAGGCCAATATCTCGCCGCCGCGTCGCTTCTGCCCGAAAACCAAGTGCCCGAGAAGTACAAGAAATTCTATCTCTCACAAGAGCAGAATGTCGATGTGCCCGTCCTACCGAGACCAGCGAGACTAATGTTTTTGAGAGGATATCAACCCGACAACAACGACGCCGTGTGGTGGGCTATCTTTAACCATCCCAAAGGCCACGCAGACGTCCCTCCGGCCTTCTTCCAAGTTGACGGACTCGACCCATTGCGAGATGACAGCATTATTTTCGAACGAGTTCTGCGGAAGGAATACGGCATCAAAACCAGGATGGATGTGTACCCTGGATTACCTCACGGGCATTGGAATATTTATCCTTTCCTGAAGGGCAGTGAGAAGTTCAGGAAGGACCAGGTCGCAGGCATGGCATTCCTCCTGAATCGAGATCCCGACTACAGCAAGGTCGTCACAAAGGCTTCTCCAGCAGGGTTCTGAGGCAACCTAGGGCTTGACATTTCCTTGGTGGACGCCAATTCATTCATTAATAGTGATGCTAGTGTGCCCGGCAGAAAGCTTCCCCCTGCCATTCCTTTTGCACCTTGTCAAAAGTTGAGTTTGTGACCGCAACCTGAACCCCAATTGATGCCATGAGTCGTTATCATGGAGCATTCCCGTACACCTCTCCCGAGGTCTGTGTGCCACTCCCCGGCGCGCGGTTGGCGAGCATGGCCCATTGCTGCTGATCATATGACGTCTGTATCATTCGTTGAGACACTTCCCGTTCCAGGCCCAGTTCTAGCTCCGGCCAGCTTAAGCCCTCCATGGTCCCCAGGTCGACATCATTCATCACCGGCCAGTGCAGGCCAGATTTGTCGTGAGCCATCAAATGGTCAAGGTCGAACCCTATTCCCGGGTCGTCATTCATAATGGCGGCTACTGGTATCTGAAACACACTGGATGACTGAGACGGGGCGCAGGTTGCTTCGTTTTGTGATTGAATTGTCGCAGACTCGCCGTCGGACGATGAGTTGACCATCACCTCGTGCTCTTTGAAGATAAAATCCACCAGGTGTCCGAGTGTGCTCGACCCGATGACCGTGCGCTTGAACGCGAGATACGAGGTTGTGACGGCGCGGAGGGCCTTGCGTGATCCGTAAAAGCTCCGTGCAAGCTTCTTGAGCAGTCCATAGGCCATTTTGAACGAGTCGGTGATGTTCAAGAGCCCGACGTCGGCATCTCCGTCGCAAAGAGCGTAGGTGAGGTGGTACAGGGTTTCGCTGAGATGCAGCGTGAGGAGGTTGGCGGCCGGACGGAGACAGTCTGAATATGCGGCGATATAAGCTGCACACATGTAAATGTTGTCTCTCGCGAGGACGACGCACGTTTCTTGGTCATATTGCGAAACCTGTGTTTTCCGTAGTGGATTTTGTCGAATGATCATGCGGAAAAGATTGAATTGCTATTTGATTGGGAAAGTGTCAGCAAGAATTCATCTCGAGCAGGGGTGGTTTTGAAAGAAACTAAGACAGAGCTGGAACAACATGGGTGTTTGAGACAAGAGAGAACGAGGCATCTTACCAGCTGGCAAAGTAGCCGGCGGCGTACAAACGTCTCGGATTCTCCCTGGGTCTGCTGGAGAATTTCTTGGTTCGCGTCCAGTTTCAAGGACGAAGGTGTAATTCTCTCCAAATACAAGATGCGAGCGTCGAGGACTTCGACATCCTGGGCGTCGGCAAAGCGACCCAGTCTTGCACTGAACAAGGTGTCCCAGATTTGTTTCCAGATCCGGCCAAAACTGATGGCCGTCTGATGATACTCCAGGTCTCGCATGCCCGTGTCTCCGAGGCTGATAGGTTGCTCGTCAACAGGTTTCGGTTCTTGCGCAGTATACTTGCCCATGACTGACAACCGGGGAATAAATTCGGCGACAGACACCTCGCTGTCTCGGATCAGGTATGGCCTGCCTCGCCTCCGGGCGACATGTGTGTCGATGTAGTAGAGTGCCCACCACAGCTTCTGCCGCGCCAGGTTTTTGGAGTGGCTGGCTCGGGGCCAGAAGCTCTGATCATTCATACCAGTCACTGTCGCCAAATTCCAGGCTTGCATGATGTAGACTGAGGCGTGAGACAGAAGTTCAAGACGGAGCAGGTAGACCGCTCCAAGAGTATAGTAACACACATGGTCCAGTTCGCCGGTCTCCGTGGGGCCAAAGTACTTGACCAGCCGCTGGCCTTGCTGAAACCAATTCCAGCCCGGCCGCTCGATGTCGAGCCACGATTTGGGAGCTTCGGTGTCAGCGATGGCCAACATGTTGAAAACGATGCCGAGGAAAACGCTGTGGTTGGCGCAGGACACGGCCGTGCCCGTCTGTTCGTTGTATCCCAAGACCTTCAACGTGCGTGCCATTCGAGGAACAGCCTCGTTCTGGTTGAGAAGGGGGAGGAACGTGTTCATGTCCCTGAAGAAGACCTCTGTCAAGTCTTGGAGCAGCTCGAGGTTGGGGAGTTGGATCGACACCACGGGCCGAATTGTAGCAGTGGGCCTCGCCTTGTCCGCAGGAGTCAGCGGGGAAGGTGGTTGAGCTCCTAGCTTTTCGCACAAATTCCACAACTGTGATGACAGAGAGATAGAAGTCCCCGCTTGGAGCTGCAAGTTGAACGTGTGCGTTTCATCCTCCCCCGTGGCTGTCAAAATGTTTTCCGGGTCCCCAGCGGTGTGCAGCGTGAGGTCGATCGGCGCCGGAGACGTCTGAGATTGCGATAAAGTGCTGGACCTAGATGCATCAGTAGATGACATGGTACCCGCGTCGTATCAGATGCCTACAGTTCTGGCTCGGTCGTGAAGGATTTGCATCTTTTTCTCTGATCGGAGCTTTGTTCGTTCTGCACTAAACCGTCGCTATCAAGTTGAGCAGGGTCGCGCTTGTTTGACTGGCACGATGGAACGGTTGGCTTGGGTTGCCCACCGCCGTTGGTGCTGAATGAGAGGTTAGGGTTCCTCTCGGCGCAGATCCGATAAAAAAGGGTCGCTTACCTTCCGGTGTGACTGGCATTGCTGGGCAAGTTTCGCACCTTTCGACCGTGAGAGTCTACGCTTCCTCGTTCGCGTCGGGGATAATAATTACATGTCGCCTGCCGAGCCACGCAGTTTGAACATGGTTGTTGGCCCGAACACTGGAAGTAATCCTCATTATACAGAAGCAAATGGATTTCGAGGGTTGGCTTACCTTGACCTTACGCTGACGGCAATCCCAGCTGCGCCACGGAGTGAGGTCAGTCGCGGAATGTGCATCCAGGTGAATAAAGGGTGCGGCATGAAACTGCACGATAAGGACGGGAACGTAGCCGAGTCATCAAGGGTTGGGAAATACCATGCAATCGTAGTATATTTGGAACGCCGGCCAGCTTCAGGCGGCGTCTTTGGTGAATCTTCTGACATTGAAGGCTCGGTGGGGGTGCAGCTGGCGGCCTGAGGGGGCAGGAATCCTTCTTAGAAGATAGGTGATGTCGACGAAGATGCTAATCATTCGATGATTATCGATTCGCGGGAATGACAGGACGGAAGAAAAGATGAGGTCTTCGTCTACGGTCTAGAAAGACAAGAAGAGATTTCTCCCCGCGTTGGCACCCCAGCTCCACCCCACGCGGGGTACAAACAGCCCCGGAATGCCTGAGACGCGAGACGCCGCGGAATGCTCCAGTTCCGAACCCCCGGTATGAAATTCCGAAGGCCCGAAGTTCGAGCTCGCGTTGGGGCCCGACCGGGATATCTGACCAGCGCTAACAAAGAACATCGTATCTTCATATCTGTGGCCCGCCTGTCCAGCCGACCTACTCACAGACCGACACAGTACCGCGTACCACGATGAACCCAACAACCCGACGTCATCCGGTGAGACCTGATATCCCTTCTTTGACGCTGCCGGGTGGAGGTCTAGGACTCAGCGCTCGGGGCCTCGGCATTTTTCTCGCACTGTTTCAGGAACCCAATCCAGTCGAATGGTGCAACCTCCCTGTCTTGTCCGTCGATCAATCCCCAATACCACGTCAAATCACGCTGTACCATACTCAGCATCGACAGTAGACATCAAAAGGGACAGGGTTGGGACAACTTACGCCGGTGACGTCTGCCACATGCAAGCCATTGCCGAGAAAGTTCCACGTGTTTCCGCTCATGTATTCAATGTCGTAGTGCTCGTAGCGTGGGTCTGCTTCCAGTGTTTTCAAAAACAAGGTCCTCGTCCCCGGAAACATTGGCGCACTTTTGTTGTCGGTCCCGGATTTGTACCAGGATGTGCAAGGTCCGGACCATGTCGTGGTCGAGAGCCACAGGTTGGCATGCTTGGTGAAATCTTCTGCGGGCTTTTGCTTCAGGGAAATTTTCTTGATGTCTTCAACTTGCGCCTTCTCAATGACTTTCAAAATGTATCGGGTGCTTCTCTCGATGGTCGGGATCAACGATCCATGACCGTACCCAGAGTACGGCCCTGCATAGACGAAATGATTGGGCACCTCGGCTGTTCCAGCTTGTCAGGAGCTTCGTGAAATTGAGGGATTTCCAAACGTACGCTCGGCGATACCCATATAGTGTACCAAGGACTCTCTTGACCTCTGTACATCTTGCAGGTTCTTGCCGTTATAAAGCATGGGGATCTTGGACGTATAGGAGGTGTCGTATCTGTCCAGGAGAATCAGCACCATACGTGTGAGACATGAGGAAACAGAAAGCCTGGAACGACGTACCCAGTGGCACAAATGATCACATCGACTTCATGCTTTTGGCCCTGTAGGTCGATGAAGCCGTCTTCAACGATTTCCTTTATTCTTTCAGGGTACACAGTCACCTTGTCAGTTGCCAGAGCCTCCAAGAATCCTGGGTCTTTGAGTCAGCAATTATTCCCACCGGCTGAAAGTATTTTCGAAGCTGACCGATTCCAGGGGTGGCTCGCCTGCACCCGACGGCAAAGTTACGTGGTAAGAGTGCCTCCACCAGCTCTGGCTTATTTGCAAGCTTCGTATAAAACGTCTGGGCGCATCGCTGTGGAAGAGTGAGGTTAGCAAGATGTCTCAAGTGGATCGTGGGTGAGGGCACTGTACGTTGATGGCGGCATAGAATTCTGGTGTGCCATTGAGATACATTCGGAACCGGTGTGACATTTCAGTGTCGATCGACTTGATGTATCTCAGATATGCCTCTGGGTCTTCGGCAAATCGTTGTTTGGTCTTCTCGGAGTAGTAGAAGTTGCCCAAAGCTTCTTTCGCATTAGGCTCGACCCAGTTCGCCCCAATACCTCCGGTGATCCATGTTTTAGACCTCGCCACCAGATGAATATGCTTGACGTTGTCCAATATCGATGGGACGATCTGGGTGCCTGAACTCCCAATACCGATGACCAGCACACGCTTGTCACGTAGGTCAATCGATTCGTCGTATCTACCGGAATGGGTAAGAGGACCCTTAAAAGAGCGCAAGCCCTCGATGTGTGGCCATCTTGGGGTACTGTGACAGTCAAACGTGTGAGCAACAGATATACTTTTCCGTGGAAGTGCGCTCTTGTGGAAGTTTTGACGTACTTGAGAATTCCACCTCCGTTGATGTAAAAGTCGGCGAAGTCTTCGAAGATCTCTCCGTTTTCTCGCCTGAGGGTGATTTTCCATTGTCCTTGGTCTTCCAGCCATTCGGCCTTCAAAACCTCGATCCCATAGACCGCGTACTTGTTCAGATCGTACGTTTCAACCACGTCCTGCAGATAGTTTTCGATCTCTGCCGAAGGCGAATAGTACATTGACCAGGGTCTCAGGTGCCAGGAGTATTGATAAACCACGCTGGGAATGTCACACGCGCAGCCAGGATACTTGTGGTTGTTCCAGACCCCGCCACATGCTTTCTGCCAACGGTGAGAGAAGGTCCATCGGCTTCAGGCCAACAAAATCACTGGACAACGTACATTTCTCTCGTAACAGACAAGGTCGATGTTTGGGTAATGCTCCTGCATAGTATGGGCGAAATCTATCGCGCTCATTCCCATACCTTTGAAGACCACACGGACCTTTCGTTTCTCGCCGGAGGGAGTTGGGCGAAGGGTATAGCCATCTACAGTTGAGACCGGGTCTCCAAATTTGTGAAAGCCCTCGTAGCCCTGGAAAACTCCTAAATCACCCATAGTGCTGTGTTCTGATTGCAGGGCTATAGCTGAACTGACTTCGAAGACTTCTCAGTGGCAATGAGGAGGCTTCGAACTGTATTTCACTTCACAGAAGAGCCCGTGTGCCAGCTGCATGTATTATTCTGAGGGCCTCGGCTGGGTTGGGTCTTTCGGATGGAGTGGAAAAGGCTGGAGAGTATTCGAAAGCCCGAAATTCCAGGGATGGAGTTGCCACTGCTCCGGGGCCCCGTGGTGGATTTCCGCTGCTGTGGAGGATGTTCAAGGCGTGCTAGACGCGTATCTGGCAAGTGAAACTGTGTAAAGCTTGATTCCTACACTTAGGCGGTCGATTCCACCCCGGAATACGCACCGGAATACGCACCGGAATACGCTCGTAATGGCGTTGCCTGGAAACGTGAGCGCATATGATCCTCGCGCTCCTGGCTGTTTATGCCCGAAGTCCTCGGCACTCAACCGCCCATTTTCAGGGCGCAGCTTAGCCCCTAGGCCGAGCCTCGATGCATGGTCGAATTGTCCCCATCCTCACTCCGACGGTCCAACAAGATATGTTGGTGGCCGATAACGGGTGAATGTGCCGCAAAGTTCGGCATTAGGCACCACAAGAACATGGATCGAGTGCTGTAAATTGAGAAGGCTACGCGGGAGGTGTTGGACCGTTTGCATTTACACAGCATACCCGTGTATGCTCTGCAGCTCTGGTCAAATCTGTAGACCTGGCTTTGCGCTTATATATTCACCGCGACTGAATATCTCTCTGATTATCTAGAGGCATTGCAGAGCGAACCCTGCAATCTTACTGTTGCATTCTATGGCCGATTCGGTGACGGGGTTGAGGTTGAAACAGTGATATGCTTCAGGATAGATCTGGAGTTCAGTCTTGTTTCCTGCCATGTGCCATCTGCTCGCCATGAAGATACTGTCGTCTAATAGTGCGTCTTCATCGCCGCAGCTGAAAATAGCCGGTGGCAGGTCGGAGAGATCAGCGTATAGAGGCGATACGTCCGGCTCTTTGAAGTTCTCCTTGGGGACGTTCTCGTAGCCAACATCGGTGTAGTACTGGAGAGCCTGACGATTCACGAGACAAGTCCCCTTGTATTGTCGGTTGGACGGTGTTTCAGACACGTCAAAAAGTCCGTAGCTCATACTGAGAGCCTTGATGCGAGTCCGCACGTCAACCTTGAACTCGTCGCGAAGTGCAAGCACCACCAAGGCCACAGCATTGCTGCCAGCCGAGTCTCCAAGGAGAAAATTCAGAGGCCCGCCAGCGTCGATGACTTTCTCGCCTTCCTCACTCAGTACCCAGACAGCAGCGTCGATGCAGTCGTGTTGGGGGGTGGGGAATTTGTTCTCAGGTGCCATGCGATACTCGACGCTGATCACCATCATATCCAAGCGCTTGGCCATATCAACCAAAAAGGCATCCTGTGACGCGGCTGAGCCGACCACGTATCCTCCTGTAGCGTCTGGTCAGTTCTTCTTGAACCAGGACATTCCAAGATTGAACCCACCAGAATGGTAGTGAAGTGCAAACCCTCGTCTGGCGTTCGTTGGATTGACGGCTCGGAGCGGAATCTTGTGACCGTCGCGAGCGCTGGCTTCGATCATTTTTGCTCCCTCAAACTGCCACAGCTTCGGGAAGCCATTTGTCCCATTCTTCCGCATATCTCGGTACTCCTGAGCAGTCTTACATTGTGACAAGTGCGGCACTTTAAAAAATGCCGCAGAGAGCCCGGCGATCTTCGCTCTGCGCTCCTCCAGCACTTCTGGTGAAGTCGGATTGCGATGAATCAACAAGCCTTCCATCCTGGTGGTGTGACCTTTGATGCTTAGAGATTTGATACTGCCCGGCAATACCTGGACTCGATCGACCGGTATTATGTCTCTAGTTTCTCAATGAGCAAGCAACTCTGCCGAGGCAATCTGTCTGTGGGGGCCTCGGCGCGGAATACTGCGTGCGGACCGTAGAACGGGCAACAAGGAAGAGACGACTATACACCGGGCCAAGAGACAAGAGACCCTCAACTCGCATCCCACGGTGTTTGACCGGAGCGGGTCCCAGATTGAGGTGGAATAAGCTACAGAGCCGGAACCCACGGCCCAGCAGCGACGCCCAGCCAGCATTGGTACTCCGCTCGTACAATGCCTATTCGGTCCTATTGTGGAAGCCGAACACGTCTCGGAACTGATATGATCAGACGACAGTCTTGCCACTTGACGAAAGCATCTCCAACACAGGACTGTGTACTTTATGACTCTCGCCAGGGAAGTGTTTTGTCCACTTCAATCTTGGCCACCCCTGATCACACCGAGATTTTCACCAAAGCAGACGCCTTTTGGTTTCGCGATGGCGGGTCCAAGATACTTGACAGCAGCAAAACAAGCTGCCGAGTCGTTTCAGGAGCTACCTGTGCCTGAAGGGTTTGGAATCCCAGGCACGGAGGCCTACAAACATGATGAGCTGGCATATCAACTCTCGCTACATCCGGCTCGCACGCCACGTCGCGTCAAAGTGGTTATGGTCGGAGCGGGATTCAGTGGGCTAAACATCGCGCATGCCGTTGAGAGTGGCAAGCTCCAGAGGGTCGACTTGGAGATTTTCGAAAAAAACACCAACATTGGGGGCACGTGGTTCGAGAATCGATATCCCGGATGTGGCTCCGACATTCCAGTTCACAACTATCAACTCTCATGGGCACCAAATCCTCGATTCACAAGCTTCTATGGTACAGCTCCTGAGCTTCAGGACTATATTGAAAAGGTTGCCGATCAGCATGGACTCCGAAAGTACGTCAAAACCTCTCACAAGGTCGTCCACGCCAAGTGGGTGGCGGGAAAACAAAAATGGGAAGTTACCGTTGTCAGAACTAGTGGGAGGCCGGTAGTTCTAAGTCGTCCAGGATTGCATGACGACGAGGTCGGAGAGCCTTGGACTGTTGAGTGCGATTTCTTCGTCAACGGCTCAGGCCTTGCCAACAACTGGAAATGGCCGACAATTCCTGGGCGAGAGCTCTTCAAAGGCGATATGCTACATACAGCAGATTGGCCACAGAAGCACGACTTCACCGGACAGACCGTGTCGTTGATTGGGAATGGCAGTTCTGGAGTTCAGGTTCTGCCACACATTGTCGAACAAGCCGACAAAGTGTACGTGCACATCCGCAACGGGTCTTGGTTCACCGTGGGATTCGCGTCCAGGTTCGCAGGTCCCGACGGTCGGAACATCGACTTTACCGACGAACAAAAGGACCTCTGGACCAACGACCACGAGGAGTACTTTCGATACCGGAAGCTCGTCGAGCAAGAGTTGAACGCTCGTTTCAAGACTAATCTCAAGGGTTCCAAGGAGCAAGACATGGCACGAGAGTTCTGTCTAAAGGAGATGAGCAAGCAACTGGTGTCAAAGCCAGAATTGCTCAAGGCAATTACGCCAGAATTCCCCGTCGGGTAAGTCAATGGCTGGATCAAAGTCAAGTTAAACCATGAATGCTGACACGTCTTGAAGGTGCCGTCGACCTACGCCAGCCGAAGGCTACCTGGCGGCACTCTGTTCACCGAAGGTGGAGATCGTCTGGGGCGAGACCGGCGAATTCACCCCAGAAGGCATCCGGGGGCCCACGGGTCGGGAGTTCAAGGTTGACAGCATTGTGTGCGCCACCGGCTTCGACATCAGCTTCGTCCCTCGGTTCCCGATCGTCGGCTCCAACGGCGTCGATCTGCAAAAGAAATGGACCGACAACATTCCGGAGGGATACATGTCGGTGACGGTTGAAGACATGCCAAACTACTTCGTCTACCAGGGACCCCCCGGTCCTCTCGTACATGGTAGTGTCGTGCTCGCATGCGAGATAGCGACCGACTGGATGGTGCAAGTGATCGACAAGTGTCAGCGGGAAAACTACTCGTCCGTGGTCCTCAAGCCGGGAGTCGCGCGCGCATACGCGAAGCATACCATGGCCTGGATCGAGAAGACGGTCTGGACCGCCAACTGCACAAGCACGTACCGCAATGGCAAGTCCTCGGGTCAAGTATACTCTATCCACGCGGGCTCTCGACTGCACTACTTCCAACAGCTTCAGAAACTCCGTGCCGAAGATTTCGACTGGACCAGTCTGTGTGAGGACCCGGATTTACGGTTCGCATGGCTGGGGAACGGTTTCACGATCGAAGAGACCTTTCCCGATGCAGATGGCAAGGTCGACCTGACGTAAGTCATCACCTTATTCGTAGATCAAATCCTCGTTGGTAAGAATCTGAGCAGAGAAGCTAATTTCTGGTGTAGATGGGCCTTGCAACCTGCTCCTCCCGAGGCTCACATTAAGTGCTGACCCCGCCCTGGTTGCTGAAACGGCCTGACGTTGACAAAATATGCAAAGAAAGAGTCTTGTACTCGACTTTACAGAAACGGCGATACAGAAACACGGGGAGCTGATTCGAAGCCCGGACAGTTTGTGAAGTGGCACCATGTACGTCGGGGACGAGGCTGGATATCGCATGCGACTGAAATAATATGACGATGCATATGGCGGTCATCTTGGCTGGGGCTTCTCCCCCAGGTTGTTGAGCTAGACATCGTTACTTGGCAAGTAGGGATAGATCTGGTAAAACATTCACAATGCATCTACCTCGTCGATGTACGGATTCACCTGCTTTTCTGAAGTTCGGGATTTGCGGTAGCATGTCGTTGCAGCGGGTTTTATGCCCTTTTGGTCCTAACAACGCTTTTGATTCTTGTCCCGGGGCTTCGCAGGAGAAAGGAAGGGTCTGATTAGTAGTTCTCTGCCAATCATAACTACAAAATTCATACACATGGTGAGAATGACATCTTCATCCCTATCGAAAATATCGTGGCGCCCCTTAGCCGGGCAACACCCTGGGGAGCCTTGTCGCTTCTTCACGGCTGGAGCCAGAAAGAGAGGCGAGCTGGCCTCCAGCATAATTATGTCATCAGACTGGCGAAATGGTCGGGTTCCTCTGGAGCATGGAGGAACCGTGAACGTGGGCCACAGCTATGTAGCACCTTTGGACACCTCGGCACCCCGGAACCCCTCAGTGTCGAGGTACACCGAAGATTCCGAGCATAGGTGATTTTACATCCTTGAGAAATGGATGGATCCGGACTTCTCCCAAGGTTGGGCGGCACATACCCTAAATATGATCAAATGGGTTCCATGCACGCGGGCTGGTGTTTCTTCTGCTGCTATGGTCACATGCCCCCTCCCAGTTCGCCGCCAACCCGTCTTTATTGCCAACATTCATGAGGTAGTATTCTCCCTCGCCACGGCACGAAATCGGTCACGAATTCATACACGGTAAAACGCATCCTAGGAAGTCACCCTCACTGGGCACTGGCAACCAAAACCTATCATGGGCAGAAAGACGTCGTTTCACGTCCCCGTCGGGACCCCGTTGCAAGTCACGGACCAGACGCCTACGCTCTTTCGACCCTTGAAGATTCGATCGGTCACGCTGCGCAATCGCATCTGTGTCTCGCCCATGTGTCAATACTCGTTGGCCAGCTCCGGGGCGAGCGTCGGTGCGCTGACCCCCTTGTATTACACCACAATCGGGCATTATGTCTTCAAGGGGGCGGCGTTGGCGATGGTCGAAGCTACCGGAGTGAACTATGCCGGCCGTATCAGTCCGAAATGCCCAGGGCTCTGGAACGACACGCAGGAGGAATCGCTCCGATCCCTGGCGTCTTTCATTCACTCGGTGGGCGGCGTCTGCGGAGTGCAGCTGTCCCACGGTGGCAGGAAGTCAAGCACACAGCCGCCCTTGGTTGCGGCAGAGCTAGGATTGTACAGCGCTCGTGCAGACGCAAAGGATGATGGATGGCCGGAGGATGTGGTCGGCCCTTCGGGAGGGATCGACCAGGTGTGGGATGGCAAAAGGCCAGACGACCCGACGGGGGGCTATCACTCCCCGAGAGAAATGACGGTTGAAGAGATCCAGAGCGTTGTGGACGACTTTGCAAAATCAGCGCAACGGGCCGTCAGGGCAGGCGTCGACGTTGTCGAAATCCATGGTGCTCACGGATACCTCCTCCACCAGTTCCTCAGCCCACTTACGAATCGACGAACAGACGCGTACGGCGGCAGTTTCGGGAACCGGACACGTCTCTTGATCGAGATCATCAAGAGCGTGAGGTCGGTCGTTCCCGACACGATGCCGGTGTTCCTTCGCGTCAGCGCCACAGACTGGATGGAGGAGACCGACCTGGGTCGGACCTTGGGCTCCTGGGACGAGCAGAGCACGATACGTCTGGCGATGATGCTCCCCGATTTGGGTGTCGACCTCATGGATGTTAGTTCGGGGGGCAATCACCACGCCGCACGCTACAATGTCTTCGACGCAGGAGTGCGCCAAGCCGAAATCGCTTCCAGAGTTCGAGCAGCCCTGAGAACTGCGCATAAGAGCCTCCTGATTGGCACAGTTGGATGTATTACAGAAGCGACGACAGCTCGCGACATAGTCCAATTGGATTCACTGGGAGCTGCGGCCGCCGATGTGGTTTTTGTCGGTCGCCAGTTTCTTCGCGACCCAGATTTCGTTTTCCACGCCGCGGAAGAGTTGGGGGTCGATGTCCAATGGCCGCCACAGACGAGACGTGCAAAACCTGCGAGACCTTCACTATAACATCCTGGGGCACTTTGTGGGCAGTTTTGATGGGACCGGCAATGACGAGAATGTGGACTTAGGTGGGAACGTATGGCAGGGGTCTCAACTTCATTGCACAATAAACTCGTAAATTGGCTGGTGACCCTGCTTTCAGAGTCAAGGCCGGGTGAAGCAGAGATTGCAAGCCGCTGCTAGGAGCAAAAGCGCCAACAAGTCTGCAGGAGAGGCACATGATGTGCTCACTCCTGAAAACCACGTAGTGGCTCTTTGAAGAGCAAAGCAAGTTTTGGTTTGGACGTATCACAAAGAGCTCAGCAGTTCTTGACTCAGGCATCTTACCTCGCACATCTAGTGATATTTGTCACAGCTTCCGTAGCGCCTGTTGCTCCTGCTACTGAGGGAATTCAAGCGGACCAATTTACATCTGATGGATTGCATGTTGGTGGAAATTGTCCGCACTCCCTGCGAAGTAGATTTCGAGTTCGGCGTTTCGGTATTGGGGCTCGGCAAGGGTGTCCAGGTCCGTGAGAAGAAGCAGGATGCCTCGACGCGACGTATGGCCTCGGATTCTGGCCACCTTCTAGGCCGCCTTCTCATTGGGAAGAGGGTGCACTGTTGGAGATTGTAGAGTTTCTGAATGGATTCGCGCAACGAAATGAGTTGACCTTCAGATGGTCCGTGACCGCGCGTTCGAGTGTTTAAGCAGTACAATACAGTGTACAAGTAGAAAATCTCGACATGGAAAGGACTTGCAACGTCGGGAATGGTTGTGCCTATTGCGACAGGACCCAGCGAAATTTTAAGCCGAGGGGAAAATTCTGATGATGTCGGCGTTTCCGCACTCTTCACGAACTTCCCAACCAATTTCGGATCGGAGAATATCACGACCGTTGGGGTGGTGAGGTGTATGGATCTCAGTCAAAATTCCAATGCCTCCTTGTGTAGGCTCAGTCTGCTGAGACTTCAAAACGTACATTTCCGATGTCTTCCCCCAACGATAAGTAGCATTTGTTAATTTGCCACGTCAAAGTCAAGGATAGCATACTGAAGATCAACTCTATTGAGGGCGGCAGTAAACTGGCCCACGTTCAGAAGATTGACTTGGCTTCACACGTCTTCAATCGAATCGTCTTGTTTGGGCAGGCATCGCGGCAACAGCAGACTATCGACACACTGGACCAGTTTGATCAAGGACGAGCTGAGGGGGGGTTGAATGTCAGCTTGCTGGGCTGTGTGGAAGGATCCTTCAATAGTTCTGAAGACCACCACGGCCATCTACTGGACCGAAAAGTCACTCCGATTCTCCTATGAATGCCCTGTCGATGGCCACTCCAGTGCCAAAACCATTCTCTGTCTCTTGGCGGAAGATGTGCGCAAGGATCTTCCGCATCCTCGTCATCCCCGGCGACCACGTTGGGCCTGAGCTTATGAGGGAGTCCCTGCGGGTGCTCAAAACCATCGAAGCCGCATCGAAAGGGTCTTTAAAATTTGAGCTGAATCACCAACTCGCTGGTGGTTGCAGCATTGACAAGCACGGAACACCCGTGACGGATGAGGTACTGCGGATCGCAAAGGAGGAAAGCGATGCAGTGTTGTTTGGCAGTGTCGGTGGGCCGGAGTGGTGAGCCGCATTTCATTCCCTTTCCCTGGCGGACGATTATTTTCTTCACCCGGGACTGAGGTGCTAACACAGTGATACAACCAGGGGCACGGCATCTCCCAACCCTGAATTTGGACTCCTCCGCTTGCGCCAACATCTCGACGCTTTTGCCAATATCCGTCCCTGCGTGTTCTACTCGCGTAGCCTGATCGAGTTGTCACCCCTCAAACACTCCCTTGTCAATGGCACCAAGTTCATTGTCGTTCGCGAGAACACCGGTGGGGCATACTTCGGAGCAAAAGTCGAGGGGCCCGATTTTGCCAGCGATTCTTGGGCATACAGTCGACACGAGGTTGAGCGTTGCGCTCGTGTGGCTGCTACGTTGGCAACCACTTTAGGCAAAGATGGCCAGGGAGCCGGCGGCCCAGCCACGGTGTGGTCAAGCGATAAAGCCAACGTCCTCGCCTCGGGTCGACTCTGGAGGAAGGTCACGAACGAAGTTTTTGAGAAGGAGTTTCCACACATTGAGCTGAGGCATCAATTGGCAGATAGCCTGTCGATGATGATGGTCAAGAGCCCCAAGATGATGAATGGTGTGATTCTCACCGATAACACCTTTGGCGATATGCTGTCAGATCAAGCCGGCGGAGTGATTGGGACGTTAGGCCTCCTTCCTAGTGCCAGTCTATGTGGTATTCCAGATGGAAAGACTCGCTGTAATGGCATCTATGAACCAGTTCACGGCTCAGCTCCCGATATCTCGGGTAAGGGTGTCGTTAACCCGGTGGCAGGAATTCTTTCCACTGCAATGATGTTGCGCTACTCATTCAATCTCCACGTTGAAGCAGCAGCCATCGAAGCCGCCGTCGAGAAGGTTTTGGATGGAAAAGACATTGGCGGTTTGGAAGTCCGCACCGGCGACCTCGGGGGAAATGCCACGACAAAGGAGGTCGGAGATGCCGTCTGCAGCGTTCTTGAAGACGTTCTGGCGGGCAACACAACATTAAATATGTAGGGAATCGTAGTGAGGGTAAGAAGTACCTACTATTGTAGAATAAATGAAGCTAGCATTCCAGAGCGAAAGATCCAGACTCTGATTGGACAGACTTTATCGGAGTTTATCCATTGGCTCTACGCTGCACGAACTGCGTGACCGCGGCAGGTGACTTTGCTTCTGACCGATGAACCCGTAAATTCCGTACACTGTCTTGATGTCGGGAGGGTTCCCGTCCGTCGTGCTGTACACTCTTCTGGAGAGCTGAGGTACTTGAGAGACAGTCTGCTTATGATGACATCGTCCACAACATCAAGGATACCTGCGCAATCACGTGACGGTGCGGGTTCCGGGGCGGGAGGATCTTGGACTGGATTCGGTCCGCTTTCGGGAAGGTTACCCGAGCTGTGGAGCGATCGACCCGCTAGCTTCCGCCCCTCCCCCTATTTTCCTGGAGGGCATAATTCCGTGGAAATAGGTGGAGCCTCTCAATCCACCTACTGTACACCCAGACCTCGGCCTCGGTTTCTGTTACTATGACACCTTGATTTTGCCGCAATGCTAAGCTCTTCAATCGCTCGGCCCAGCAAGGATCATTCAAGTCTCCTAGGCTAGGCTGCAGGTTGGTCAGGTCTCAAAGTGCGGTGCAATGTCCTAAAGTTTGGCACGTCAAGCCAATCCACTACGCCTTTGGGGAACAGGGAGGAAAACTCAACACGCCCGCGCGGCTTTATGCAACCGGTGTTGTTCAGCTTGCTTCTTCAATAGTCTGTACGTGGGTGAGTCGGGCCTAGTCCAAACAGCCTTTCCATTGTCTGTACCATTTCTTGTGTTGCTCGAAGAATGCCATGGTGAAAACAGTCTGCGGGCCAAGTCTTATGAAGCTTGGCACCCACCCGCGGAATATCCAAAGCAGACCTTCCTTCCGACCCGCATCTCGAATCATCTGCAGAATGGGTAGTTGAGATCCTATGCTGCTCATGATCCTCGACTTGACCACATCGACGGGGCTGCAGACTGTGGTTGTCACAAATCCTGCTGCTAAAGATGCGCAGAAGTGGGTTGTGAGATTGTCAAGCATGTTCAGCGAGAGACAAATAGATTTGAAATAATCATAGGAAGCGAGTTGTGAAGCACTCGCCAGGACCGCGCGAGCGGAATTTGGACCCACTCCGCGCCAGATACTCGACAACCCTTCTTCGCGGATCATGTGGATCAAACCAGCCAAAGCGTTTTTGTAGTTCTTCCGGAGCTCGGCCGGCTTTGACGCGTCGGATTGCATACGCACATTGAGTACATCTCCGGGATTTCCCGCTATGCCACCCAACAGTCCTGCCAAAGAGGACAAAGCGATCAAGGTTGTCATGGGCAAGTTCGGGCGCGGATTCGAGGGCGTGGGTGATGCGGCATAGCGAGTCTTCAGGTCTTCATAAACGCCAAATCGTACGGTAGAATAGGTCGATTGGCGGAGAAGCGCTGCTGAGATGCCTGCGTAGAGGCCAGGGAGGCCTTGGTTTCGAAGGATGAATGTAAAGGTCCCTCGCATCGTCTTTGGCGCGTTGGGAGTGCGTGTTTGCAACCGAACTTTGACTGTATGAAGCTCATTAGAGGTGGGGCCTGGGATCGACGGAGCTCAATGATTACCCAGATCTAGAGGATGGGTGACCATGGCAGCCATTGAAGATGCGCTTCCTCCAAACCAGAATGGATATTGGAGCGTTGCAGCGGCCTTCCACTCATCGGCCGTGTTGATCGACATCGTGTGCTGTGTCCACGACGATAGGTGTCTGGCTTCGGTCGTGATCTTGACGACGAGCTAGAAGTCAGGTATATCGAGAACAGTAACAGGGACAAAGGAAGG